CTTTTTTGATATCTCAAATGCATCTGGAGATCTGGGAGGCTTCTTGCTGTCTGCTGACATTCAAATAATGGAGGTCCAGCGCATTCAGCTCGGCAAAGAACTCATGCTCTTCCTCAACACTGAAGTCCTCAGACATTTTTCTTTCGTTGTTTCTTTCTTTGCACAGGTAAACAGCACATTTCTTCTTCTACGCTTGCATTATCGGCAGAGCAGACGCTGAATGCGCACTTTCATCTGGTTAGGTCTGCCGGCTTCCGTAGCGTCGTGAACGCGCATGTGCGCGCTTTCAGGAAATCCTATACACTACTGTTTATGCTCTAAAAACATTCTAAATGACTTCGTTTCGAGTAAATTCTGGATGCTACCCACTCAGGACACTTGGAATACATTGGACGAGCAGTATGGAGGAATATTGACACGTTTTTTGTGGACTTTTATGGACCTTTCTGTCTCGGGCACCATGGACCTCCATTATTTGAATGTCAGCAGACAGCAAGAAGCCTCCCAGATCTCCGGATGCATTTGAGATATCAAAAAAGTACTCCAGAGTGTTGTTCAGCATGGGGGTGAGTAGAAAATGAAGGCTAATCATGTTTTCGGTGTACTTTTCCTTTAATGTAAATGGGCACCATGAAGGAGGAGATGTGGAGCACTCAGCCTCACTGACAAAGATGTGAGTTGTTTGAGAGGACCAGTGACACATTGGTGGAAAATGACGGAATTAGGCAACGTTTTACGTGCCCGAGGGGTCCCCTCATTAATGGAGGAGCAGAAGGTCATTAAAACAAGAGAGCTAGTCTCTAAAACAGACATGGCTATGGCTTGATGCTAACATGTTTGTTAGCTGTCAGAATTCCGAGAAAAAAGTCAGAATTCTGACTTTTTTTCCATGTTAAACTGAAACTATTCCTTATTTGTTCACATTAATTATGTTTTTGATAAAAAATACTTTTGGTAAAAGGCCATCAGAACGCTTATAATATTGTGTCTCAGCCCCCCCCCCCCCCCCCCCCCCCCCCACCCCCCCCCCCCCCTTCAGTGTCCACCATATTGGATCAGTCCATTTGCTGCACATATTCAGAAAGGTCCAAACAGACAGCAGCAAACCATTTGAAAACAAACCATGCAAAGAGCAGTGTTGCCAACTTAGCGCTTTAGTCGCTATATTTAGCCACTTTTCAGACCCCTCTAACACTTTGATTTCTAAAAAGCTCCTAGCGCCAAATCTAGCGACTTTTTTCTGCTACTGGAGACTTTGGAGACAACATCTAAAAGCACCGAACTCTGCTCTCCAGAGCGAGTAGATTGGTAACCCCGCCTCCTGCTCTCCTCTATCTTGTCTGCTGTCATGATTCATGCAGCTATTATTTCATCCAAATGAAAAATGGAGAACAGATAAGCAGATCATGGCTTGTCTACAGTGAAAAGAACGACTGGGTTATTTACTTTGGCCTTTTTGGAAACACAGGAAGGAGCAATCAGCTAAGTGAGCTTAGTGCTTGGAGAAAATCTTTCATTCCTTTAGAGACAGCATGAAAAGTCAGCTGAGTACAAAAGGAAAACAAGAAGAAAAGGGACAAGAAGAGAGGGACACAACCTAGAACAGATGATGGATGTCTATTCTAGTAACATTTCTCTATCTGTAGAATAGTGTAGATCTATTTTATGTGTTGTCGTCTTAATTCATAGGACCCCAAATTTCCTAAATCCGCCCCTGATGCTGAGGTATTTTTTATATTTATGCTGCTATCAGCTTAGCAGCTGGAGGACATAGGTACCACTTTTCTTCTGCTTGATTCTATCTCTATTCTCCAATTCTGCAGTATCTGTTACTTCCACCCATAACTTTATGTTCTCTCTGCTTTTTCTGGTCATAGTCGCTTCATCTGGTCTGTTTCTGTTCAACTGAGACATCCTCCTGCAAATTGATTTTCATGATTACAATTTGATGGTTAATGGTTAATTGTGTCTCTGCTTCTTTTTCTATGTCTGCTTCTGTCTCCTTGAACCCCAGTGGGCCTCAGCAGATGGCCGCTCACACTGAGCCTGGTTCTGCTGGAGGTTTCTTCCTGTTCAAAGGGAGACTTTCCTCTCCACTGTCGCTGCATGCATGCTTAGTGTGAGGGAGTCAACAACAAAATGAGTTCATTAGCATGTCTTGCAAGTCAATGACTGGATACAATAAACTGTTTTTCGAGAACTTTTAATCAAACCATGTTTTGAATTGGTGATATATAAATAAACTGAATAACACTAATTGTTGTAGTTCTAATGTTAGTTACCCCTATTGAATGTAATGGTCTGATTAGTCGCTATATATGTGTAAGTTGTTAGGTCAGTTGATTTTTTTTTTTTTTTTGACCCTATTAAATTTTTTTTTTTTTACCTCCTTTATTTGTAAATTTAACTATTTGGGGTACAAAAAAACATTTTTTCTACCTGTGATTCCTTATGATATTTGAATCGATATTGTCAAATGTATTGATAGAAATGTTGAATTGTTACATAAACGGCAAATAAAGTAACAGCACTTTAAAGGCTGTAGTTTTGTGATTTAAAGAAGTCATTGCAATATTTAATATACTTTTCTTTGTTAAATTATTGAAAAAAGTTTGCTGGGGACGGAGTTAAGTTTTTGTAAACCTAATATTTGGCAGTGAGAAAAGTTCAGGAACTCCTGCTCTAAAGCAACATTTTTAATTTGGAGATTCTATGAGAGGTTAAACCACTGGAGAAAAATGCTGAACAAAAAAACTTGTTGAAATTCTTCAACTTAAATAAAAATCCACGGAACAAAAACTTAAAATATTTCAAAACCTAATAAAAGCAATAAATAGATCAGCTGCTCACATTCTGGCAGGGCACAGCTGGAGCTCACTTATAAAGATTTTGGATATTTTCTGTATCAATGTAAATTGTTAATAGTTTAATTACACGTCAATCACAAACCACCTGTTATTCTTTATTTAAGAACAAGAAATATGCAACATTAGAATTAGCCAACTACACACAGTAAATGCATTTTAAAAGGCTGATGTTTTAACCTTAAACATGCATGATTTCTAAAAAAAAAAAAGCATCTGACAAAAATATTTTCAGACCATTTTTATTGATTCAATTCTGTTTAGTTGGTCTAAATTAAGCATCATTTAAAAAAAAAGAATAAAAGGTCAGGAAAATTCCACAGAAATCATTTATTTTATTACAATCTTTAAAATCACACTACAGCCATTAAATGAAAACAAAGTATATAAAGATTAAGGTTTAGTTAGAAACCCTTTAAGGCGCCTCCTCCTTTTGTTAGATAATATAGAGCAAATACTCAGGCACATACTGACGCTCCGTTACAGTGTGAGGGTTAAAAACCAGGAATCATCACAGTCCTAAAATCATACAAAATATCTAAGTCTTGTAGTGACTTTCCACTCATTGTCGTTATTCTCCAACAGTTTTAATTCGGTTTGCTGAATCAACCAAAGCAGGTATCATTCCTCTGGGCCCCGTCTACACTGATCTGATGCAGCATCAAGGCAAAAATTAACAATTATTTTAAAGTTTGTGTTTTGAAATGTGTCTTTAAAAAGAAGCGATCCAAAGCTGGACAAGGGTGCGACCCCACATGGTAGGGAGGGATAATACTAATGCACAGGCTTTATTCTGTACATGACTTGTGGACTCAGTCACTCTTTATCATCGTGAGAAGTTAATAAAGCAGATTTAACATTAGGGAATACAAGGCAGGTGCCTAGGGCCCCAAGTTCCTGGGGGCCCCATAAAACTCATTTTACAGCTATTCCTTATTTGTGCACATTAAGTTTCTTTTTGATAAAAATCCTTTCATTAAAATGCCATCAGAACGCTTATAATATTGTGTCTCAGCCCCCCCTCTTCAGTGTCCACCATATTGGATCAGTCCATTTGCTGCACATGTTCAGAAAGGTCAAAAGAGACAGCAGCAAACCATTTGGAAAGAAACTATTGCCAACTTAGCGCTTTAGTCGCTATATTGAGCCACTTTTCAGACCCCTCTAGCACTTTGATTTCTAAAAAGCTCCTAGCGCCAAATCTAGAGACTTTTTTCTGCTACTGGAGACTTTGGAGACAACATCTAAAAGCAGCGAACTCTGCTCTCCAGAGCGAGTAGATTGGTAACCCAGCCTCCTGCTCTCCTCTATCTTGTCTGCTGTCATGATTCATGCAGCTATTATTTCATCCAAATGAAAAATGGAGAACAGATAAGCAGATCATGGCTTGTCTACAGTGAAAAGAAGGACTGGGTTATTTACTTTGGCCTTTTTGGAAACACAGGAAGGAGCAATCAGCTAAGTGAGCTTAGTGCTTGGAAAAAATCTTTCATTCCTTTAGAGACAGCATGAAAAGTCAGCTGAGTACAAAACATAGAGAGGAAAACAAGAAGAAAAGGGACAAGAAGAGAGGGACAAAATGGGTTTTATGCGTTGTCTTCTCAATTCAGAGGGACCCCTGCCTGTCTTTGCCTAGGGCCCCAAATTTCTTATATCCGTTCCTGGCTTTTTATACAGGTCAAATTTCACCAGGAAAAAAGGAAAACCGTGAAATGAAAAGCAAATTAAAAAAAATGCTAAAAGGGCAAGTATCCGATAAAACAAATAAAAAAAAACTTCAATTACAAAGTGCATCAATTTGGTCTACTTCCCTACACGCCGTTCTTTTTGTCCTCTGATTGTAGCTTTTATTAACTGAAGCATCCCATAAACTTAGCTGATCCGTTTAAGGAGGAAAGGAGGAGAAGTTCAGGGAGGATGGAAGGTTATAGATCGACTGACACTAATTGGAAAAAGACTTTTAGAAATAACCACATGGGAAAACTAAAAATACTTATGAAATATTTCTGATGTGAATCAGGAAAATGGGGAAAAGCTTCAGTATTTTCTTACTAGTACACCCAGAATTTCATGAAGCATTTATTATTTTAATCAAAAACAGTAACGATGTTTGCTTTCTGTTTTTAAATCTATCCACTTGGCTTCAATCTTTATTCATTCCGTTAAAAAGAGATTCATTTATTCCTCCGTCAATCTTATTTATCGCTCTGCTGAACTTCCATAACACTTCAGACTTATCAGCCGTCTACCAAAGCTGTAGCAGATGTGTTTGTTAAACCAGAAGTGGACGGAGTGCTGCAATCATGGTGAAAAATGCGCTGATAAGCAGAGGAATCCATCATGGGGCTGATACTGCAGGTTATTAGAGGGGAGATTCGGGCAGAGTTGAAGGGTCCCAGTCATTAGTGGAGCTCCTTTCATTAGCTTACAGCTTGGATCGCAGGGGCTTCAGGTACTTCTGGAAGGATTCATGGACCTACAGAAAAAAATACCAGTTTCAAAAAGAAGAAAGATAAAAAAAATTCAATCACACTGGAGTTTCAATCTGTTTGACTTGTATTAGAATGTTTTTTCTCATATTCTAAGAGAAAGAGGCTTTTTATTCAACAGTGGAAACAATTTTACCTCTAAACTAAATGTGAGTGTAGCTTAGATTGAGGTCAGCAGCTTAGTGTTGAAGCAGCCCGACAGCTAATGCTCTGCCAGTAAATAGAAAGACTTTTCTAGATGCAGCAGAAAGAGGAACTCAGTATTTAGTGATGGAAATATTACACATATTAAGCCACCGCAGCTGTTTGCTTATTAATGGTCCTTTTAGTCACAAAGCTAAAAGCTTTGTTGTTTTAGATCTGGATTTCCTGCGATAGAATAACAAAGCTCAGGTTAAAAAATTAATGAATTTTTATCTGTTTTACAAATAAAATCAAAAAACGACTCTGGTAGGCGTTTCAGGTGCCTCTGGACCAGGACCAGCAGAATAAAGAACAGTTTTTTCCTCAGAGCTGTCACTTTATTGAACTCTAATCCTCCCTGATCCCAACCTGCTCATATAGTGATAGACCAGGGGTCACAATTAAAAATCATCGCAGTGCGGATAAATAAAATCAACCAGTAAACGTCTGGAGACATTTTTTATTATAATTTGTTACTTTAAACAGAATTTAACACCGAAATAAAATGCAGGTGTTTATTAATAATAAAAATTATTAAAATCTAAATGGTTTTTGAAGTAAAGAACAACAATAGTTCAGTTTGGTATATAGATAATTCCCTGACTCACTTTCTTAAAAATTTTTATAAAACACCTTTCTTTTTCTGTCTTAATGTTGGCAGTGAGCTTTAGGCTGCCCTGCAAGGCTTTAAACCTGGGTTTAACCAGAGACTAAGCCATTCTCAAGCACATATCAAGGAGCTCATTTTGAGCCTGGATCCAGATTTATTGTTGATTCTGTTCATGGTGGAGAATCCTGCTTCACAGCAGCAGGTTGAGCCAAACATCCTCTAAATGTGCAGGGTCATCTTTGAGCACGCCATTTCACTTTTCTTTCACCAGTTCACCGCAGTTCTTCCAGTAGTCCACACTTTCTCTGCTCTCTTTTTCTCATGGTCTTCTCCTTCTTTCCCATCGCCCGGCTTGCCACAGGTTTGCCTGCTGTGTCTAAAAGTAGCAGCAGCAGCAACCCAGACTGACAGCTCATTGGCTCATTTGGATCACGTGCAGCCTGGAGCCGGACGCTCCCCAGGGCTTTACCGTATTAACAGGAGAAGAGGGGCAAGTGACGTTTTGACACGGTCGTCAGACAACGTGCAGTAATTTATAAATGTTTTAAATCAGGTCCAGATTAGCCAACAGGTGGGTCGGATCCAGACCATCCTGCTGTAGCAGCATTTCTATTGGTCTGCATGGAGGTTAGCTACATTTTTCTTAATGTTCAAAGTGTGCGTTAGAAGAGCTTGTATTGGGCTTGAAGTGAAGAGAATATAATCTGTGAAACATAATTTGAAAAGAATGCTATTTGTAAAAAAGAATAAAACATGAAATCTATTAGATCTGAAAAAAGTATTTAAAATATATATATTTTAAACAACAACTTATGAGAAAACAGCAAAGTTACTCTTAAATTCTTTTTTGAATTCAAATATTTTTCAGCAGCAGCAGCAACCCAGACTGACAGCTCATTGGCTCATTTGGATCACGTGCAGCCTGGAGCCGGACGCTCCCCAGGGCTTTACCGTATTAACAGGAGAAGAGGAGCAAGTGAAATTAGACACTGTCGTCAGACAACATGCAGTAATTTATTAATGTTTTAAATCAGATTGAGTCCGGATTAGCCAGCAGGTGGGTCCGGATCCGGACCCTGGTCCGCTAATCTGTGACCTCTGTGATAGACGCTCCTCTCCCTCTTCACACCTGCCTCCATTTTGTTATTTGCAACATGATAATGTTAACTTGCACTGCTGACTGTTACCTTGACTGAAACAGTGATTTGCACTGCCAACTGTTTATTTACAGTATTAATTGTTTACATATACAGTTGTAAACTTTAACTAATACAGAATGACCTTCCACTGCACTTTAATTAGGAAAGCTTCTGTCCAAGTTTTAGTTTTATTTATTTATTTTGTAGTAATAGCATTGAATATTCTGCATCGCTGCTATTAAACTTCTTGTTAGACCTAAACTGCATTTCATTGCCTTTTACCTGTACCTGTGTAATGACAAAGTTGAATCTAATCTAATCTAATAAAACGCATTTTTGTTTATCCCAGTTAGATCTTTCTGTTACAGAATAGCATTTAGCTGCATGTTCTGGGTGTGTGTTTCTATGAGATCCAGTCTGGACGCCAATTTTTCCCCCGTCCCTCAGATCAGTTGGTCTCCTTCGCACAGAGCAGTGTTTTCAACATGGAAAACATCCAGGAAATCAATAAATTCCTATCCTCAGCTTAGCTGTGCATCTCTGCAGCTCCTCCAGAGCTCCTACGAGCCCCCTGGCTGCTTTTTCAAATAAAAACTTCTTTTGTTTTTACCTCTGTGGCATTAAGAGGTGAACGGCGAGCCCACTCGAACATATTCTCATAGACGTTTCCGTCATAACGGCCCAGGACTGAATTCAGCTTCTTGTCGTGGATGTCGAAGGCGTCGACCAGCGCCACTGCGTTGGGTCGCAGCTGAGAGAGAAGCTCTTTCACACGAACTGAAATCTGCAGGACCTGGGGGACACTCAGCAGTGCAGCCTGCAAGGAAAACAAAATACTGATCAGAATCTGTTTTCTTAGGCAAAAATTTGGACACACAACCACAGTCGGCTTTCCCCTCTATGGTCGGACGTCTTAAATATAAAAACTAAATATTTGTGGGAAGAATATGTCAGGTTTCTGTTATGTTTTTTTTTTTTTTTTTTTTGAGTATTCAGTCTTGCTTTACTCCTTGTTTTCTAGTGTTAGTGGTTTATTTTTATTTTGCTGTGTTCTTTGGTTTTTTAGTCTGAGTTCTGTTATGTTTTCTTTTGAGTGTTTAGTTTTCTTTTCTCCATGTTTAATAATCCTAGTAATTTTATTATTATTTTGTTGTCATTTCCACTCTTCCAGGTTTCTATTTGTTGCTCTTTGCTGCCCTCTTGTGTTCTCCTTCTTCCCTATCTCTTTCCCTCTCTTGTTCTGTGCACACCTGCTCCCAGTTTCCTCATTAGCCCCCTCTTTGTCTCAGTCTCCTTTAAAAGCCCTGTCTCTTCAGTTCCCCTTTGCTGGGTCCTCTTCATAAACCGTCTAACTTAATTAAACTTGCTCCAACTCAGTCTTCCAGAGTCTTCCTCGTTGAGATAGTGATTCCACTGATGTCTCCATGGTTTCATTGTTAGTTTGGACTTTGTTTTCATTATTGGATTTTGGATAACCTGTCTTTATTTTCAGTTTCTCTTTCATTAAATCTAAAAGAAATTCACCTCTGCCTTCCCGCCTCTGCTTTTGGGTCAACAATCCTTAACTAAATCCTGACAGAATAAGCTTAAATTTGTCTTTCTGTCCTTGGTAATGTGAATGCATACACACTGTTTTTATAGGAGAAGATGAGAAGGTCGAATTGAAGCAAATATTGTAGTATTGTCCTGGTTGTTATGGGCTGTTGAAGTTTATCTACACTGTTATTCAAAAAAAGGTGAAAAAATAAAATCCACTGGACTTTGTTTCCAAGTTTGAAGACATTTCGCTTCCCATCCAGGAAGCTTTTTTTAATACAAAATATCAGAAATAGCGTTGAGTTCAAGGCTTTATATAGTAGCCCAACAAAACCCTGTTTTTGTTTTGAAAACGTTTGTTAGAATAATTGTATATAAATGTATCTGTGTAATGTTATCATGCATAAAGCTGTGTGCTATGTGCATGTTTTCATATCCACCTTTTCTGAAGTATACTGTGATTTGTAGACTTGGTTTTGGGGAGGTTGTGGTCGATCTATGAGCAGCACTCGACCTGCTGAAGTTTGGTGAAAAGCTTTAACAGCTTAAACTTTGACTGAACCCTGAAATTTATAGGATGTTTACTGAGACTTCAAGTCTGAATTTTTGATGTTGTTTCTGATCTCTAGAGCAGTCTCAGCTGTTGTAACAAGGGACCCCTGATTTCTAATAAATAGCGAGCAGAACGCTGGGACTGCAGAGTGAGGTGGAGATTGTAAACTCTGCAGTCTCTTCCTGCTATCCTCGCGAGTAAAACTAAATTAATTGTCTCTGTGCCTTCTTTCTTTCCCTGCATGTATGTATGATCTTTTAGGTGCTTAAACCTGACGTTAAAAATGAAAAGGCTGACCGAGTCCACCCCTTTGGAATGGGGGGTCGTTTGGCTTCTTTTGTTGATCTTATTTTCATATTCGAGCACAGGAGGAAAAAGCTCTACAAAGGGTCATAATTTTATACTCCTGTATTACTAATGGTGGTATCAATGAATACCAACAAATAGGGCACCGATACCATTTTTAGAGCCAAAAGTTTATTCAACTATTGTCACCCATTCCATGTAGGCAATAAAAAGTTCTACTGGATTCACTTTGTTTTAGTCTTTTTTTCCTGCTTCACAAAGGTAGGCAGCAGCTTAACAAACCATGATGGCAATTATTTTACATCTAAGTAGTCTGCAGTTCTATATATATATACACACACATCAATTTCAAACAGATGGTATCAGTCAATACTGCACAGCCAGGTATCGGTGCCAAAAAATGACATTGCCAAAACACTTATTAAATCCAAAGCTCTAAAAAAGATTGTGTTTAACTTTCCACCATTTTTTTTTATGAGACCTGGCGTTATTTATAAACCATCATGTAAAAGTGGATATATGTCCAGCATATTAAAATGAACACATGAAAATAAAAAACTGATTAAATAAAAATTTTTTGCACTCAAAGCAGTTTTCCCTTAAGATAACAGCTTTACCTACAAGTTTGCTTTCAACTTTGCCACGGCATGATTCTGCCCCTACTGTACTTTTTCTCCAAATGTTAAAATGGTATTCATGTCGATTTTTAGTTTCATCAGACCCACAGGACTTTTTCGCAGATCATTTAGCCTGTAATAATAGCTTTTTCAATCCAAAATGTTAGAAATAGCGTTGAGTTCCAGGTTTTATCCAGCAGCCCAACAAAGCCTTGCTTTTGTTTAGAAAACATGCAAATAGAAACGGGACGAACGGGTCCCCCCCTTTGGAATGGGGGTCATTTAGCTTCTTTTGTTAGCCTGCAATGCCCCATACCTGTCTATGTCTCTGAAAGGGGGGTCGTTAGAGGGAATTGTTGGCCTGGCTGAATAAGCGAGGTCTTCTGTTCTCTTGTAAAGGAGTTGGGGTTACGATAATAGACCCCCATTCCAAAGGGGTGGACCCATTCGTCCGTTTCAATTTGCATGTTTTCTAAACAAAATGTCTTCACACTTAGAAAAAAAGTCAAAGATAAAAGTCTTAACAGTCCAGAATGTGTGGGATCCGCAGAGATGTTGGCTGCCCTTTTCCTGACCTGGACAAGTCCTGGATGGAGGGAAGGTCTACAGACCTGAACGTCTGCTGCTGGGTCCAGTGGCCGAGCCAAACCACTTTACAGACTGATTAATGGCCACATCAAAGATGACCAAACAAAACAAAATGATCCAGATTTCCACCATAAAAGTCGACAGGAAGTATTTAGGAGCTTAGATTGAGACAAGATCAAACAGCTAACTGAGCAAAGGGAGATGACAGGTTTCAACAGGCCGGTCTGCAGATATGAGAGCTTAACTTGCCTGCAGGAAGTCTCCAGAGTTCCTTGTGATTCCATGCATGGCGTAGAGCAGAGCCAGGGTGGACAGCACAGAGTGTATCGCTGTGTCGCCGACTCCTTTCAGCTTGTCATGGAAGACTTTCACCACAACATAGTGACAGTGGGCCTAAGGGGAGCAGATGGCAGGGGAACCGAGGGAAAATATGAGTTTCTACAGCAAAATGGATTGAGATCATTTACAACACGAATCTACACATTAGGATTAAGAAAAAAAAACATCCTTTAGTTTTATTTATTTCTTTTTTTTACAAATGAAAAGTGAATTTACTGTAACTGTAGTAGAAATGAAACTTACATCAGAGGCTCTGACCAGGTCGATGGCGCTGTTGTTCCAGGCGTCCTCCTGGGACTTCCTGTGCTGCAGCTCCTGCTGGATGCTTCTGGCTGCCATCTCAACCAGACTATAAACACACACAGAAAACCTGCATCAAAGACTGCGTGTTGCTCTTATAAACTTCACACAGATGTAGGGGTGTAGATCACACCCATCATAGTTATTCAATTCAGTATCAACTTTCTGACCCAACGATTCGATTATTCTCCATACTCAAGAATACACCGCGAAATGATTCGATGAATTGGTTAAATTTTTTTCTACTTTACAGGCTAAACAATTTTTCAAATTTGAAATAAATCAATGAAAGCTGTAATATTGTATCGTATTTTATTTGAGAAACAGAAGTAAAAAAGTTGTACTCCACCTAGGCTTCTAAAACCTCATTCACTGAAAAATAATAATGCCTCTGTGTTATAGATTCTGAAAGGTCTCGCATAAAAAAATACTGCAAGTGGAAAGAGGGTAGTGGCTAAATGAAGCGAGGTAGGAGGGCAAAATAAGTTAAGCGCCAACGCAGCACTGGAGTGCTGGAAAAAAAAAAAGAAAAAAAAAAAAAGAATCGATTCTCTTGCGGACATGTCGATGGATTAGATCGTGTGTTGGATTGATGCATCGATACAAAACGATTAATATTTACACCCCTACACAGATGCAGGATCTAATTAGTTCTAAGCCTGAGTTAAACCTCAGTATAAATCCAGATGTTCCGTTTCTGGATCCATATGTAAATATTAGGGATGCACGATATAATCGGCCCCCTATCGGTATCGGCCTTAAAACTGAATATCGGACATCGGCCACCCCACCGATATTTAACCCGATATTTGATCAGCTTCAGCTTTCTAAAGTCAAAAAAAAAATAAAAAATACTACTTCTTCCTCAAAAACTTCTTTTTTTTACAGACTTAAAAACTTCTAAAGACGAGGGAAAAAATATTGATCCATTAAAATATCCCAATATCTTCCTATGCTGATATATTGTCATTTAAAAACACCATATCAATCTCTTTTACTAATTAAATATTGCTATATGTCATCGTTATGCTACGAAATCCCCTGAAAATTCACGAAATTTTGCCATATTTTTATATGTTGATATATTGACGCGGTATCGCTCTATTTTACTAACAAAATCTCACAAGAATTTGCAAAATATCACGAGAGTTTGTAACAGAACAATGAAATTTCACAAGATTTTGAAAGTAAAATAGATCGATACCGCGTTTTTAAAAATCTATTTGATATCAGCATATGAAAATATATTTGAGTATATTATTTTTCAAAGTGTCAGAAATGGATAATAAAACTGCTATTTTCAATGACTACTTATTTTTGTCCAGCTTTAACATCGGTATCGATATCGGTTATCAAAATGAGCACCTTGATCTGTGCTTGAGAATGGCTTAGTCTCCATTCAAACCCAGGTTTAAAGCCTTGCAGGGCAGCCTAAAGCCCACTGCCAACATTTAGACAGAAAAAAGAAAGAAAATAACAAAAAAAAAAACCACTCAGTTCAAGTGTTTTATATACTATGTGAATCAGGAAATTGTCTATAAACCAAACTGACCAATTGTTCTCTACTTAAAAAAAAAACACTTTAGATTTTAAAATGAAAACATAACATATTTTTAATATTTTTTTTTATTTGAAAAGTCAGTGTATAACATGGATGCATAAACACCTGCATTTTACTTCAGTGTTAAATTCTGTTTAAAGTAACAGAATATGATAAAAAAGATTTTTACTGGTTGTTGATTTTCTTTATTCCGACTTTACTGATTTTTAATTGGTGACCTCTGCTCTAGAGGAAAGAGCGCCTCTAGAAGTGAATAGAATATGATCTGTATGACGCAATTGGGGAAAAAAAAAAAAAGAATTATATATATATATATACACAGGTGCTGGTCATAAAATTAGAATATCATGAAAAAGTATATTGATTTCAGTAATTCCATTTAAAAAGTGAAACTTGTATATTATATTCATACATTACATACAAACTCATATATTTCAGATGTTTATTTTGTTTAATTTTGATGATTACAAATGACAACAAATGAAAATCTCAAATTCATCATATCAGAAAATTAGAATATTACTGAAGACCAATAAAAACAAAGGATTTATAGAAATGTTGGCCAACTGAAAAGTATGAACATGAAAAGTATGAGCATGTACAGCACTCAGTATTTAGTTGGGCCTCCTTTGGCCTGTATTACTGCAGCAATGCGGCGTGGCATGGAGTCGATCAGTCTGTGGCACTGCTCAGGTGTTATGATAGCCCAGGTTGCTCTAATAGTGGCTTTTAGCTCTTCTGAATTGTTGGGTCTGGTGTATTGCATCTTCTTCTTCACAATACCCCATAGATTTTCTATGGGGTTAAGGTCAGGAGAGTTTGCTGGCCAATTAAGAACAGGGATACCATGGTCCTTCAACCAGGTACTGGTAGCTTTGGCACTGTGTGCAGGTGCCAAGTCCTGCTGGAAAATGAAATCTGCATCTCCAAAAAGTTGGTCAGCTGCAGGAAGCATGAAGTGCTCTAAAACTTCCTGGTATGTGGCTGCGTTGACCCTGGACCTCAGAAAACACAATGGACCAACACCAGCAGATGACATGGCACCCCCAAACCATCACTGACTGTGGAAACTTTACACTGGACTTCAAGCAACGTGGATGAAGTGCCTCTCTTCTTTTCCTCCAGACTCTGGGACCTTGATTTCCAAAGGAAATGCAAAATTTACTTTCATCAGAGAACATGACTTTGGACCACTCACCAGCAGTCCAGTCCTGTTTCTCTTTAGCCCAGGCAAGACGCTTCTGACGCTGTCTGTGGTTCAAGAGTGGCTTGACACAAGGAATGCGACAGCAGAAACCCATGTCTTTCATACGTCTGTGTGTGGTGGTTCTTGAAGCACTCACTCCAGCTGCAGTCCACTCTTTGTGAATCTCCCCCATATTTTTGAATGGGTTTTGTTTCACAATCCTCTCCAGGGTGCGGTTATCTCTCTTGCTTGTACACTTTTTTCGACCACATCTTTTCCTTCCCTTCGCCTCTCTATTAATGTGCTTGGACACTGAGCTCTGTGAACAGCCAGCCTCTTTAGCGATGACCTTTTGTGTCTTGCCCTCCTTGTGCAAGGTGTCGATGGTCGTCTTTTGGACAACTGTCAAGTCAGCAGTCTTCCCCATGATTGTGTAGCCTATAGAACTAGACTGAAAGACCATTTAAAGGCTTTTGCAGGTGGTTTGAGTTAATTAGCTGATTAGAGTGTGGCACCAGGGGCCATCAATTTTGAACCTTTTCACAATATTCTAATTTTCTGATATGATGAATTTGAGATTTTCATTTGTTGTCATTTGTAATCATCAAAATTAAACAAAATAAACATCTGAAATATATGAGTTTGTATGTAATGTATGAATATAATATACAAGTTTCACTTTTTAAATGGAATTACTGAAATCAATCTACTTTTTCATGATATTCTAATTTTATGACCAGCACCTATATATATATATATATATATAATATATATATATATATATATATATATATATATATATATATATATATATATATATATAGTTTAAATAAAACAATAAAAGATAAAATCTTTAAAAAAAATGTGAAAATATAACATGTGAAAATATTAATATTTAGAAATTATTTTTACGAAATAAAAGTTTCAAAATACAAAAATTAAAAAAAAAGAGGAAATGAGGAAATTTGAATTCATTTTCCTCAGATACTTTTTTCAGTTTTATTTCTAGCAACCATTTTTTTCATTTCAGCTTACTAAATGTGTTCCTTGCTTGCAAAAAATAATGGAACCAAATTCACTCCATAGCTCTATTGAAAGCCTGTTTAATGACATCAATGAGAAGTTACGTTTCCAGTCTATAACCAGCCATGAAGGGAAACAGGAAGTAGGGAAAATGTTGGAGGTGATCTGGTCAGATGAGACCAAAATGAAACTCTGAGGTCGACAAGCGAAAAGTTGGATGTGGTGGAAACACCCTGAACAAACCTTTCTCATAGTAAAACATGTGACAGTATGACGGTAAACGGTATCGGAGGAAATAAACTTGTTAGCGGTAGCAAAACTGAAATGAGGGCAGAAGTTGACCTTCCTGCAGGAAAACAATTAAACAGAACTTCAGCAGAGAGGTTCAGATCTTCAGATTGCCCAGAGCCAACAGGTAAATACATTTTATAAACACTCTCCATCCAACCTGACTAAGCTTGAAATACTTTACTTAGAAAAAAGGACCAAGCTTAGTCGCTCTTAATGCAAAGGGATGCAGGAAAAGCACCCAAACAGATCAGCAGCTGCAATTACAGTAAAAAGGTGACTTTACAGAGTTGTTGACTGAAGATGCCGAAAGCAAATACAAGTGCTGGTCATAAAATTAGAATATCATGAAAAAGTAGATTGATTTCAGTAATTCCATTTAAAAAGTGAAACTTGTATATTATATTCATACATTACATACAAACTCATATATTTCAGATGTTTATTTTGTTTAATTTTGATGATTACAAATGACAACAAATGAAAATCTCAAATTCATCATATCAGAAAATTAGAATATTGTGAAAAGGTTCAAAATTGATGGCCCCTGGTGCCACACTCTAATCAGCTAATTAACTCAAACCACCTGCAAAAGCCTTTAAATGGTCTTTCAGTCTAGTTCTATAGGCTACACAATCATGGGGAAGACTGCTGACTTGACAGTTGTCCAAAAGACGACCATCGACACCTTGCACAAGGAGGGCAAGACACAAAAGGTCATCGCTAAAGAGGCTGGCTGTTCACAGAGCTCAGTGTCCAAGCACATTAATAGAGAGGCGAAGGGAAGGAAAAGATGTGGTCGAAAAAAGTGTACAAGCAAGAGAGATAACCGCACCCTGGAGAGGATTGTGAAACAAAACCCATTCAAAAATGTGGGGGAGATTCACAAAGAGTGGACTGCAGCTGGAGTGAGTGCTTCAAGAACCACCACACACAGAGGTATGAAAGACATGGGTTTCTGCTGTCGCATTCCTTGTGTCAAGCCACTCTTGAACCACAGACAGCGTCAGAAGCGTCTTGCCTGGGCTAAAGAGAAAGAACTGGACTGCTGGTGAGTGGTCCAAAGTCATGTTCTCTGATGAAAGTAAATTTTGCATTTCCTTTGGAAATCAAGGTCCCAGAGTCTGGAGGAAAAGAAGAGAGGCACTTCATCCACGTTGCTTGAAGTCCAGTGTAAAGTTTCCACAGTCAGTGATGGTTTGGGGTGCCATGTCATCTGCTGGTGTTGGTCCATTGTGTTTTCTGAGGTCCAGGGTCAACGCAGCCACATACCAGGAAGTTTTAGAGCACTTCATGCTTCCTGCAGCTGACCAACTTTTTGGAGATGCAGATTTCATTTTCCAACAGGACTTGGCACCTGCACACAGTGCCAAAGCTACCAGTACCTGGTTGAAGGACCATGGTATCCCTGTTCTTAATTGGCCAGCAAACTCTCCTGACCTTAACCCCATAGAAAATCTATGGGGTATTGTGAAGAAGAAGATGCAATACACCAGACCCAACAATTCAGAAGAGCTAAAAGCCACTATTAGAGCAACCTGGGCTATCATAACACCTGAGCAGTGCCACAGACTGATCGACTCCATGCCACGCCGCATTGCTGCAGTAATACAGGCCAAAGGAGGCCCAACTAAATACTGAGTGCTGTACATGCTCATACTTTTCATGTTCATACTTTTCAGTTGGCCAACATTTCTATAAATCCTTTGTTTTTATTGGTCTTCAGTAATATTCTAATTTTCTGATATGATGAATTTGAGATTTTCATTTGTTGTCATTTGTAATCATCAAAATTAAACAAAATAAACATCTGAAATATATGAGTTTGTATGTAATGTATGAATATAATATACAAGTTTCACTTTTTAAATGGAATTACTGAAATCAATCTACTTTTTCATGATATTCTAATTTTATGACCAGCACCTGTATATAGAGCTCCCACTGCAGAACTTTATTTGTAAAAAAAAAAAAGCAAACAAACAGAAAGCAGCCATTTTCTGCAGAACATACAGCACAGCATTGAGATGAAGCCAATATTTGACACACAGGACTGTAACGCCTTCTCCAAAGACAAACTCCAGCACTTTTGATGCTTTTGTGGATCTCAAAGAACCATTCATTCATTAACTGACTGAACCGTAACCAAAATCTAACAGGATAAAGATAACGGACAAAGAAAGGATTCTTTTTTGGGATCATTTGGCTACGTAAACACAGCAGCCTAAGTGAACCAAATCTGATTTTTTTGCCAATATGCGACCTGGATCTGATCTTTTCATGACAGTCGGAACAACACAGATTAGATTTTTTTTTTTCAATGTGACCCAGACCACTTGGCTCTGTGTATACTGAATCCAATACATATTGGATCTTTTCAAATGCGACCAGGTCGAATAAATCCAACATGGCTGTTCGGACACAGAACTTCATTAATACCTAAAGGTCACTATTCTGCATCTCGCTACGCAGAAACGGGAAGAAAAACAACCACCGTGGTGGACGATAATGCAGAGATTAGTCCTTATTTTTAACCATCTTGAAAAGATCATGTTTTTAAGGTTGGTGAAAGACGCTAGATGTTCTCCAGCGCTACCATCCATGTTTACTTCCATAAACACAGAGCACACTCGCTTTTGACGTCATTGCGTCCTCTACTGCGCATGCAGGACACTTACCGTATTTTCGCGACTATAAGGCGCATATAAATGTCTTTTTTTCCCCTCAAAATGTGCGGTGCGCCCTATGTGTGTTGTTATTGCGGACGTTGTTGAGACCGCCATGAGAACGTTAAAGGGGGAAGTATGGGCGTGGATTGGCTGCCATGCAAATGGACAGAAACTGCCGCCTATGGTGATTTTTAAGAGAAAGACTTTACCTAAAGATACTTTTCCAGCTGGAGTCGTTATTAAGGCAAATGAAAAGGGCTGGATGGATGAGGAGATGATGAAAGAGTGGCTGAGGGAGGTGTATGTGAGGAGACCAGGTGGTTTTTTCCACGCATCACCATCTCTGTTAATCTGTGACTCCATGTGTGCCCATCTCGCTGTTATTCCGGGAGGTCTGACAAAGGAACTTCAACCGCTCGACATCGGTGTGAACCGGCCGTTAAGGCTGCGAGCGGCGTGGGAGCGATGGATGACCGACGGAGACCACAGTTTCACGAAAAGTGGAAGGCAGCGCCGGGCAAGTTACGCCACCGTTTGCGGATGGATTGTAGATGCTTGGACTAATGTGTCTGCTGGCTCTGTTGTTCAAGCTTTCGCAAAAGCCGGCATCATTTCCGAGGAGCCGCCCGGCACGGAAAGTGACCCTGACAGCAAAGAAGGGGAAATTGGCATGTCTGATTTAGTGCAGCTGTTTAATTCAGAAACAGAGGATGATGACTTTGATGGGTTTGATTAATACTTTGTAATAAATACATGAATAAAGCACAAACATACTCAGTTTTGCCCCCACTCTATTTTTAAATATGCAGTAGAGGTATTTAAATGTTGTAGAGGATATGTACCAGTATATAAAACCTGCGCCCTATAGTGCGGTGCGCCTTACGGTCGTGAAAATACGGTAAGCTGTGCGAATGCAGTTCACACAGGAGATCGCATACAAGTCGCATATATTTGGAAAGGTGAAAAACAATGAAAAAAAAAAAACACAAAAAATTGGAATTTAGCATTAAGGCCTGTAGTGTGAACATCACTGTTATTAGCCTCCTTCCCACAGACGGACTCTCTGTTCTCACCACAGCAAATGGATTCAGGCGGGACTAAAGTGGGCAGCATACAGTGATGTAATCAGAGACATATCATCTTCCTCAGAGAAAACGATAGAGGAAAAACTCTGGCTGACAGAGAACGACTGAGGGAAACAGACGTTGATGGAGACAAATCAAATACCGGAAAAACCTCATTCCATTACAAACGACCAACATTTCTCTGCACGCTGGTGATTAGGCTGAAATAAAGAATCTCTGAAACTCATCTAGTTCACCTCCCAGTCTGGCTGGCAGAACTTACTAATTCTGGAAAGATAATCTTATAAAAGATGTCCCACGCCTCTTTGATGCTGAGGCTTTCACTCACATGGCAGCTCGGTGCTTGTAGATCTCCACCAGGCTGCTCAGGTCATTGATGTCCACCACGGGGGGTCTGGCGGCGACGGCCTGAGGCTGCACCCTCCTGTCCCGTGACTCATTCAGGTAGGACACGATGCCACTCAGCTGCTGGCCTGCTCTGGCCTGCCGGTAGCTCTTCACCAGGTACCTTCGGGGGGGGGGGGATTTACCATTAGGCAATACTAGGCAGTTGGGATGGAACGGTTTATGAAAACCGTCCGAACCGTTCGGTTCGACTGTCTCGGTTCGGTTCACGTGTGTTTCGTTCGGTTCATGCACTGCAAAAAATATAAATCTCAATAAGTTATTTTTTCTTAAAATAAGTGTGTTTTTCCTTGATTTGAGGAGATAAGTAAGACACTTTGCCAATGGAACAAGACAATTTCCTTTTAAAATAAGAAAAAACTATTTTATCGTCTTATTTCAAGTAAATATTATCTAACTATCTTATTTTAAGAGTGAAAATACTCATTCCATTGGCAAATCATCTTATTTACCTGCTCAAATTAAGGCTAAATATACTTAATTTAAGCCATTTTTTACTTATTTCTGGATTGTTTTTGCAGTGTGCGCTGCTCCTTTTTCTCATAGGCGAAGCGTTTAAACTCCAGAGCAGAAGGTGGCGGTACTGCGACCAAAGCCAACCACCACTGAGTTCCTTGGAGATCGTAGAGGGCATGCGCCAGATCATTAAATTGAAGCACCAAAACATGCAGAAATGATCCATGGTTTCCGCGGATCATTAAAAAGAATTACAATTCATTAATTTTTTTATTTTTTTTTCATTAATTTTTATGGGATTTCGGGGTACACTGGAAAAAGGATCTAAAAATAAGTAGAAATGTCTTAAATTAAGTGTATTTACGCTTAATTTGAGTAGGTAAATGAGATAGTTTACCAATGGAATGAGTATTTTTGCTCTTAAAATAAGAAAATTAGATAAAATGCACCTGAAATAAGACAATGCAATTGTGTTTTCTTATTGTAAGTGTAAATTGTCTTGTTCCTTTGGCAAAATCTCTCTTTTACCTACTGAATCCAAGAACAAATACACTTATTTTAAGAAAAAAAAAAACTTATCTAAATTTCGTTTTTTTTTTCCAGTGTAACAATCAACCGAACCGAACCGAACCGGGGATTTTGTGAACCGTTCCACCCCTACTAGGCAGTTGCTTAGAGACCAAAGTTCCCCATAAAACTCTGTTTACATGTATGGTTAAGACAACTATTCCTTATTTATTTTTTTGAATAAAAATCCTTTTGCTAAAATGCCGTCGCCTTTTTGGAAACACAGGAAGGAGCAATCAGCTAAGTGAGCTTAGTGCTTGGAAAAAAAATCTTCCTTTAGAGACAGCATGAACAGTCAGCTGAGTACAAAACATAGAGAGGAAAACAAGAAGAAAAGGGACAAGAAGAGAGGGACAAAATGGGTTTTATGTGTCATCTTCTCAATTCATAGGGCCTCGGGCCCCAAATTTCCTAAATCGGCCCCTTGTTTAAAAATACTAGAAACAGATTTAGGAGCAACTGAAACTGTATGAGTTAAAATGGGATGTTTTAGAGCCAAACATGGAGGCGATTTTGGTGACATAATGTGGAGAAAATACAGAACTGTATTGAGCAGAGCTGAAAGCCACACGCTTCATGAAGACAACCTGACATTCTCAGGTCTTTTGTTCCTTTAGTGGATCCCGTTTCACCCCCTCCCTACAGCCTTCTCTTTCTGGGTGACAATGTTCAGGTATGAGCAAACTGTGGGAAGGAGCTGCTGGAACTGGTTTCACTGGGAAGCGGAGCCTCTGGAAAAAGGCTGAAAAATCACCCGGCAGGTTTCTGAAACACATCTGCTGACCTTTCAGGATCTAAGGACCCAAAACAGGCAGCTCCTCCTGTTTGTTTATAGTGAGGGCGGAGGCAGGCCGTGTCTCCAGGGTTTCTGTCTAACTGTAAACAGCCGTGTGGTTGAATGTTTACATCTCAGCCTGGCTGGGAGCTCTGTGGCCTTTACACTTTGTTCTATAGTTAAACGTACCTTGCAGTCTGCAGCATCATGACCGTGTTCTCGCCCTCATAGGTGCAGGTGGGTGTAAACTCCACGTAAATGTCTGGCAAGGCGCTGCTACGGGAGTAACCGTGGCCACCACATGACATGCGGCATACTTCGATAGCAGAGTTGGCTTCCCAAGTGGTGAAGGCCTTAAGACCAGCAGAGAGGGCGTGGAGCTACAGGACAAAGAGATTCAGTTTAGGAAATCATTCAATACTTCAAGATAAACGGCTGATTTAATTCCCAAGAAAGGTTTATGATCCTCTGCTTTCTTTTTCTGCAAATAATACAGCAAACTAATGGAGCGCACTCGCCATCATTCCCAATGTAACCATAATACAAACAGCCAGACTTTAAAGGTGCAAAGCTACGTTCATTAACACTTTTTAAATATAAACACCAGTAACTCTGGTTGCATACGTTTTTCTGAAAGAGAATTTTGCTGGAGCATTATTTATCATTTTTGTGTTTGGAGTCCTCTTTTTGCTCAATTGTTTGTAAATAAATTTTGACCTGTTTTTCAGTGTAGTCCTGTTTCTCTGACTGTGTCTAACTGGATGTTCTCTCTTCATCCTCTGACATGGGAGCTGGCTCGGAGCTCGTCTGCCTGGCTGTGTTTCCTGGACGGGGCCGCCTTTTACTAACCTGACTCCGCCAGATGGATTTGCTCCGCATATCCACCTGGAAACCTTCCGTTGAAGTAATTTTGGGAAGGGGCGAAAATACTGGTTAGCTGATTGGCCTATGTTGGTGATAGACGGGCCAAATAAACCAATCAGATCAACGAAGCATATGACGTACTAACAGAGCAAAGACGAAGAGGAGGCAATTGATAGATCAAACTCTTGCCGAAACCAGTCGGGAGAAGAGCAAAAACATCTTTTCCTCTGAGAAAAGCCTCCAGAGCAGTGTTTTGCTCTTCTTTCAGTGAAGAAATACTCTGTAATTCCGATAAAACTTGCTCGATAGCCACGCTAACGCTAGTTTCATCGGCTGAAGCCGCCATGTTCTTTAGACTGAACTGTCGCGCTTCTCGTTGCGTCACACCTCAACCCGCCTCAAAGCCAACGCTGATTGGACATTCGTTTGGTGAACGGTTCCAAATTTTCTTTAACGGAGAGTCTCCAGACTGATCTGCGAGTGAAACCTTGAAAGCTCGCGAGATCAGGATGGTCTCACGAGGCTAGCCTTTTGCAGCTGCTTTTTCTATGTCTGCTTCTGTCTCCTTGAACCCCAGTCGGCCTCAGCAGATTGCCGCTCACAGTGAGCCTGGTTCTGCTGGAGGTTTCTTCCTGTTAAAATGGAGTTTTTCCTCTCCACTGTCGCTACAAGCATGCTTAGTGTGAGGGATTGCTGCAATCGACTGGTTTTCCTTAGATAGAAAACTTTTGATTATTTTGACTGGAGGATCTTTTTGAATTGTAAAATGCATCGAGATAACATGTTGAGAAATAGCGCTATATAAATAAACGGAATTGAAATAGAACAAAACTACAGACCCCAATAGAACGAAAGCTTAGTCTTTGATTTGCATCTGCTTAGAAAGATGGACCTCCATGTGGCTTAGAAGCATCAGAGCTCCACCTACAGAAGGCATTGGTTCAAACTGACAGAATAAAATAATTCTCCTGCATAGGAGTCGAAACATCTTCAGGAAAAATGAGCGAAGGTCCGGCTGCCTCAGATTTAAGCCTGTTTTCTTATAAGTAAAGAAAGTCTGTGTTTATATAAACAATAACAGGTATATTGTCTCCGAAATCCCACTTCCTCTTTCACCGCCCTGCTCCGCTCCAGATCGCTGATGCATTGCAGGTTAGTGAGGCTCCATTAAGTAGCTGGTTCCTGATAGTTCTGCTGTACAGACAGCAGATGGCGCCACGTCTGTTTAAACCTGCTAATCCCACCCTATGCTGGAGTTCTATTTAGGCTAAAAAGGACCCTCTAAACACTATTAAAACAGTCTCTTATTTTATCATGATCAAAAAGTTTTTTTTTTTTTTTGTATAGGTATATGACGTGACTTTGCACCATTAAATAATTTAAATGAAGTATTTGTATCTAATTGAAAATCAACCTTAAAGGAATAGTACACCCAAAACATGATTAGCCTTCATTTTCTACTCACCCCAATGCTGAACAACACTCTGGAGTACTTTTTTGATATCTCAAATGCATCTGGAGATCTGGGAGGCTTCTTGCTGTCTGCTGACATTCAAATAATGGAGGTCTATGGCGCCCGAGGCAGAAAGGTCCATAAAAGTCCACAAAAAACGTGTCAATATTCCTCCATACTGCTCGTCCAATGTATTCCAAGTGTCCTGAGTGGGTAGCGTCCATAATTTACTCGAAACGAAGTCATTTAGAATATTTTTAGAGCATAAACAGTAGTGTATAGGATTTCCTAAAAGCGCGTTCACGAGTCTACGGAAACCGCGGCAGACCAAACCAGATGAAAGTGCGCATTCAGCTCGGCAAAGAACTCATGCTCTTCCTCAACACTGAAGTCCTCAGACATTTTTCTTTCGTTGTTTCTTTCTTTGCACAGGTAAACAGCACATTTCTTCTTCTACGCTTGCATTATCGACAGAGCAGACGCTGAATGCGCACTTTCGTCTGGTTTGGTCTGCCGCGGTTTCCGTAGACTCGTGAACGCCCTTTTAGGAAATCCTATACACTACTGTTTATGCTCTAAAAACATTCTAAATGACTTCGTTTCGAGTAAATTCTGGATGCTACCCACTCAGGACACTTGGAATACATTGGACGAGCAGTATGGAGGAATATTGACACGTTTGTTGTGGACTTTTATGGACCTTTCTGCCTCGGGCGCCATAGACCTCCATTATTTGAATGTCAGCAGACAGCAAGAAGCCTCCCAGATCTCCAGATGCATTTGAGATATCAAAAAAGTACTCCAGAGTGTTGTTCAGCATGGGGGTGAGTAGAAAATGAAGGCTAATCATGTTTTGGGTGTACTGTTCCTTTAAAGCTTTTGCTGAGTTTTATTGAGTTTCTTCAGACGTTATCTGGTCAGTACCTCTGGCAGCTGGCTGAAGTCGCCCCGGTTGATGTCTTCAGAGATACAGTGGTATATCTCAGTCATATACTGGCCCACAAATGTGAAAGCATAGGCCATAGCCAGCAGAGGGAAGAGCTTGTACTGCTGCGTCTGATAGTCCAGGATCTGAGGCTCTGGCTCCCTGTAGATCGGAATCACACGGGTTACTTCATTCACTCATTCATTAATTCGAAGGAGGATGTGGTAACACATCAAATGACTAAAAACAAATCATGATGGGTTGTTGAACCTGGTCTAAAGGCAATTAATTAATCTGGAAATGCTGAGTACTCTGCTTCAGATGATGTCTAACCCTAAGCTATATCATTCAATCTTAAGTTCTGAAGCAGTCTTACAGGTTCGCTGTAAGAGCTGTTCGTCAATAAAAGGGTTTATCAGAGTTGATAAATGTTTTGTTTTAATATCAGTAATCTTTTTTTTTTTTTTTTTTTTTTTACTGACGGCGTAAAGAGTCAGTTAAAAAGAAGGAGGTTACAAGAGGTAAAAAGAAGGAGAAGCCATCTGACCTGTGAGGAGGAGAGGCCTAGCTCTGTAACTTTCCTCTTATTTAAACTGAAGTTCAGGAAAAAAACTGTTTAGTTTTCCATTCAGGAATAATCGTCCGAATTTTGCATCCGAAAATCAAGTTGGACGTGGTGGTGGCGTTTAGCGCTCATTAAGAGTCAATGTAGGCAATAACTGACTGAGATAGACCCTGAATCTATTTTATGCAGTAAGTTAGTGGCAATTTAATGGGTTTAACAGGAAAAGAGACGCAATTACAAAATCAAACGCAGCAGCTTTGGTAGGATATACAGAATAAAATCTGTTAATTGCGCGAGAAAGGTTAGGAGTCGCACAGCGCATATAGAGCAGGAGGGGGGCAGACTAAAGCAATAACACCTCTTTTTTTTTTTTTTTTTTCCCCAAAACAAAACACTTTACTTAATCATATTTAGTTACTTAATACAATTGTTTCATGTTAGCAGGGTAGGGCATAAAACAATTGTGTTAGAGGAACTAAATAAGATTAAGTAAATGCCAGAAATGGTTGCATTATTCTTTTCAGTGTAACCATGATACGGGTTTAGGAGGACAGAAAGAAGATTAAGCAGTTACCCTCTTTGAGCCTCATTAAAAACAATGAGGGTCAGTAGAGGAGAGATTAAAAAAAAACAAAACAACAAAAAATTTAAATTTCAGAAAAATAATATAGTAAATATGGATCCTCTTAGCCTCACATAAAACAAGTGCTACAATGGACCAAGTAGCACTAAATTGGTGACTTAGAAATGACGCTGTCAAGGAACGCTATGGACAGCGGAAACATGCAAGAGGAGGAGAGTTTAGTGTCAGAGGTCGTGGATGAGTCTCCTCCGTCATCCATTTTTTTATTTAGAGGAGGAAAGCGGGGACGAAGATGTTGTGGAAGAGGACGCCAGGGCGGCAGAAGCTTGGTTTGGTGTAGAAGGCTTCCAGTCGTACATGTTTGAGCCCTTGCCTCGCAACGCTGCCAGTTCTGTTAGCTCTACGCCTGCCGAAGACACAGACGTCCATCCCCGTGAACACTGGGACGCAACTCAATGGGAAAGGAAAGGATTCTGATTTCAACCGTTGCGTATATTAGCTGCGACATATGAATCAAGATGCTATGACCGAAAAAATTTGATTGACAGATGACCTTTGATATATGATTGGCCGAATTTATGTATAGGCTGACGTAAAACTAACTGGCCTGCAGAAGATAACGAAAAAAAAAATGGATTTTAAGACAGAATTTTTTTTTAAATAGAATTTTTCTAACTTTTTGGACAATATCGTCTGATAAAGAGGACATTCATATGAAAATGTAAATTATGAAATGCTAAATGGACTACATGTGAACTGTAGAATCTGTATTTGATTTGTAAAAATGTTTTATTTTAGTTTTAGTGTCTAGATAAATCTTTTTTTAGATTTGTAAATCAGAATGCATTTACCGAGAAAAACAAATCCGAATACTGATGTTCTGTTAAAACCCAAATCTTGATGTGAAAAATAAAACCACAACAATTAACAGCAATATTAGATCTTTCTCCTTTCAAAAAAAATAAAAATAAAATAAAATAAATAAATAAATAAAACTTACAATAATAAAAACATTTATTCATCTTTGAACTCTTTTCCCTGCTTTTCTTCATGTTTCCAGGCAGTAAATGACCTGTTAGGCTCATATGGATTTAAAATCTTTAAGTTTCTATGTAAGAATGAAGTGGAGCAGCTGCGTTGCTCTGCAGTGTTGTGTGCTTCGGTTTGAGTGGACTGACCCCGGCCGGATCTCAGACTGGTGGCGGACGACGCTGTAGCGTATGGCGATGGTGCAGGACTTGGAGAGGGCCCGAGCTGACTCCCCTACAATCATTGAGCGGACAAACACCATGGTGCCATAGGTCAGCTTGGAACTGGGTGGCTTCACATAGGTCCCATCTGGCCCCACCTAGTGGTGACAAAATGACACATCAGCACTGAAGCCTTATTATGACTGCATGTTTTCTAGGTAAGAGGTCTGCAACCTTTTAGGCAGTGTTGGGAAAGTTCTCTTTCTACGTGAACTAGTTCAAAGTTCAGTTCACACATTTTAAAATGAACTAGTTCAGTTCATAATTCAAAACCAAAAAATGAACTAGTTCATAGTTCTTTTTTTTTTTTTTCATATATTGCTCAATTACACCATAGCCTACTGTAGAACCACAGACAGCAATTATTTTATCAGTTGTAACTCTGAAACTGTGCGTCAGATTTCATCTTCATATCCAGTTTTGAATCCTTATCCAACCAGGGTTTACATTAGCATTGAGGGGACAGCATTTCCCCATTGTTGCTTTAACGCTTTGTTGCTGTCCATTCACTTCACACTAGTAGCAGCTGCAGCTTTCACCCCTACAGTATATTCTCAAAAACATCAGGAAAAATGTGCTGCTTGAATGGTCTTTTTTATGGGTAATTATTAAAAGAAAAATAGGAAAGCAGTCTTTAAGGTGCAAATGTTTTTTTTATTTTTTTTTTATAATTTTTTCCATTTGAAATTCCATTTCAATACATACTAAAAGGAATACTGGAATCCTGGAAAATTATACCAGGCAGGTTTAACAAACAAGTTACAGGGATAGTAAAACCCTCAAGAACAGGGGTCTTCTATGTTTTCCAGACCAAGGACCCCCACACTGATGGCGAGATGGAGCGGGGACCCCCTAACTATATATATTGTATGAAATTGTGTCCTATAGTCACTCTATTACAGATGGAGTAATGTAAAGAAATTAATTTCTCCCTGGGATTATTAAAGTTTTTCTGATTCCTGGTTGTTGTGAAGGAAACGGCGCCCAGCTTGAAAGAGCTCCTGTGTGTCGCTGAATGTGTGCATTGATGACTGAAAGACATCTTCTGTCTCCATTTATCTGTTTACTACAGTGTGTTGATTTCATGTTAATGAGTATTTAAAGACATTTCAATTAGTGGGGGGAAAAATTGCAGGGGGGGAATATAAAAATATCAACTAACCATGCAGACCCTCATGCAGTACCTCCGTAGACCCCCTAGGGGTCGCGGATCCCCTGTTGAAGACCTCCGCTCAAGAAGATTTTACTAACACAAACTGAGGGACCAGGCTGAGGTAGGAATTTAAGGTTACTGAAGTGCGGATTTTTTTACTGAAAGCCGGCGGGCAAACTTGTTGCCATCATCCTCACCGACCACCTGGTCATAAACCTGTTTTAAGCGATCATACTGCTGCTTTGTCGCATCCACGGTCGCTTCCACGCTGCATTTTGTTTTGATGACGCACGCGGCTTTAGGCTACGACGCTGGTAGCTGCTGTTGCCAGATTGGGTGTTTTTCCCGCTACATATTAAGGCCTGTTTACGGTGTGATTTAGCCGGGGTTTCGCCTGGAGGACTCTATAGAAATCTGGCAACCTATTGAACGGAGTTGAACTGAGAGAGCGTGCCGTTCACAGACACCAGAATGAAAGAGTTCACAATAACGTTCATCAGGCAGTAATGCAGTACGTTCAGTTCACGTTCGCCCAAAATATGAACGAGTTCATGAACTTTCGTTCAATGAACGCGTTCAGGCACAACACTGCTTTTAGGAGCCATTTTGCCCAGTGAAATAAAAGCTGTTTCAAACCAACATCATTACATCACCCTCTAATAAAAAACTGCTTTTTATTTTTATAAAATATATGCCGAAGAGAATCTGTTTCCATTTCAAATTACCTACAGTTTATTGGTGTTTTTTAGGTTATAAATCAAGCATGGATTTTCTTTTATAGGATATTTTCTGATATCTAATGACAAGAAAGGAAGAGCTAAAAACATACATTTGTTATCAAACTACATTCAAAACCATTAGCTGGCTCTTTAAAATCGTCAGCCATTAATAAAGGAAAAGTCCGCTCATATTCAGAATTCAAACTTCTGAAAGTACTTTAAATATGAAATTATTACAAACTGTTCAATAAATGATCAGTGTTTTTAATTAAGAGTCATTTTCATGTGAATGTGCTTTACTGGAGGCATCCATGTTTGTCAAAGAACACTACTGCCACCTACTGGTTTGTGACGTCACGGTGCGGTATCGGCTGTTGATCAAGTGCCAGTGCTGTATCTGGTGTTTGTCACAACGCGCTATTATCCAAGTCATCTTTAAAACATTCTTCTTCCAAATGTTGGCTACATATTACGGGTTTTTTCTCTGGCCAGAAGTTCGATGGCAAATCCTCCCTCTTCAAGTTGGCGATCCAACGACCAACCCGTCCGTGGAGGATCAGGAATCAGAAAGGTGGAATAACTCTTTTTTTTCACTTTTACCCGATGTATTCCAGCATCCAGCTGCCATGCACGTGGGCATTGTCAGTTTCACTATAGCTCTGGTGAATTTCAATGGTGAAGTCCTCTGGAAATCTTCAATAATTGTTGTTGATTGCAGATGTGTCTAGTAGTTCCCATTGATTTTGCTTGTAAAGCGGGGAGAATGGCGCTAGGCTTACCGCACCGTGACGTCACTGCTGGAAGATGGCAGGAGGGAGGGGTTAAGGCTGATTTATACTCAGAAACCAGGTCGCCTGCATGAGTGTCGCAGTTAACGCAGATATGCCCCGCCCCTTCCAAAGACACTCTGCTGCACCTCTCCGAAATTGTAGGTGAGCAGACAGGAGGCCTCTGATCGGTCAAATCTACATCCTCTCTACTCTATGCGTATTTCCTGCTTGTTACCTTACTGGCTTGTTTTTTTTTTTTTTTGTATGACCGCCATTGTGGAAAACAACTCATGAAAATGGACCAGCTAGAACACTGAGGTGCACGAGAACGCTGGGACCCTTTTCCAACCTGGATCCCTGCTCTTTTTGGCCCTTCATTGTTACACAAATTGCCCGCACTTCCTCGCCGCCTCGGCCGTATCCAGACCCACAGCTAGTTCCTGATTGTCCCTCTTGCGTTGTGGCATGGAATAACATAGCGCAGACCACGCTTCAATATTGAATATAAATCAAAAATATCTGCAACATACCTGCGACACACTGCTGCGCGAGGATAACCAGCCCTTTACTATATTGGGGCAAAAACGGCCGTTCCCGGACTCAGTGATCGCGATGAAAAAGGTTTTTATTTTTGACACATTAATGCAAAATTCATTAAATCATTTTGAACAAATTTTTAGGTATAAATAACGATCCATTGATTATTCCTCGCTGACCGGACCTCTCCTTTAAGAGCCATTGCAGAGGCTCCAAAGAGCCACTTGAGACTGAGGTTGCAGACCTCTAGAACTAGAATCTAGATCTTCAGAATCACAGTCTAATGAACATCACATTAATACCTCAGCAGTTATTCAATGTTGGTAAGAGTGCAATAAAATAATGTTCATATCTTTGCAGAGAGATGCTCCGGTTCTGAGGTAGTCTGATTACCTTGGAATACTTCATCAACATATTCTCTCGAGGAATTCTCACGTTCTCCAATTTCAGGAATCCATTATCAACTTCATTAAAGCCAAACTTGGGGCCAATATCACCAACAACAATACCTGAGGGAGAAAAGCAGAGAAGAGAGTAACTCAAACAGATGACAGATGGTTTGGTTACAAATACTACAGTAAACCCTTTCTAACAGACTGGGATTACCTGGCAGAGGCTCATGGGTGGTCATGTCGCGGATGGGAACGATGAAAGCATGCAGGCCGTGGCAGTTTCCCAGACTGTAGAGCTGGGCTAAGACAATGGCATGGTTGGAGGTCTTCCCCACTGGAACAGAAGGGAGAGAGGATCAGTTTGGCTCTATCAGTGCAGAAACTCCTCATGTCTATCACAGGATTGTGACGCCGCTTACGTCCTCCGGGCCACCATTTGATGGAGCTGACGGTCGGACTGTTCAGGACAAACTCCTGTGTGGCTGGATCGTACGTCGCTGTGGTCTCCAGCCCCCTGAGATGTGTCCCTGCGTCCAGAAACAGTTTAAAAATCAAAGCCCAACAGGACACAAGTTTAAAAAATGAGGATATTTAGTTATGGATTAATAATTATGACTGTATAACAACCTGTTTAGGCCACATGGGTTTGAATTTCAATGCAAAGAAAAGCCAATTCAGTATGCAGCTACGACACAAAGGAGTAAAGCATCTTGTAGTGTTTGACAGATCTCAGCATGGTGCTGAAATATATTGAGATTATGAGAAAGTGAGACACAAACACAGGCCCCAAACAATGCTTTAACAAAGCGTGAGGTGATAGAGAGGAAAGGGAAGGGGTCATGCTAACAGCTGGAGGTTAATCTACAGGAGGAGCCGGGAATTTTAAGCTTAAGGTTTTAGTCGCTGTGGACAGAAGTTCATCTGCTTTAGAAACTTTAACCGTGCTTCTCATGTGGAGTGGAGAAGATAAGCTATCACATATTACGACTTCATGAGACACTTTAACAATCAGATATTTACCTGCATATCCCTGAAGAAAAAAAAAACAAATTACCTCACAGATAAAACTTAAAAGTCACTTTCAGCTGCTTCTGGACTGCGATGCAAGTTCAGTGACTTATCTGTGAGGTAAAAGCAGAACTGAGCCTGGTTCTGCTGGAGGTTTCTTCCTGTTAAAAGGGAGTTTTTCCTCTCCACTGTCACTATGAGCATGCTTAGTGTGAGGGATTGCCTGGTTTTCCTTAGCTAGAAAACTTTGGATCAATCTGACTGGATGATCTGGTGAACTGTAAAGTGCCTTGAGATGACATGTGTTGTGAACTGGAGCCATAGAAATAACCTGAATTTAATAAAAATTACAAGACAAAACACTGCTGTGTGACAAACTGAAGGTTTGGACGGGTCCGTTTTATTTTACCGTGGCCGATCTCGGTCTGAGCGTAGGTGCCGATGATCTCTAGGTTCCAGGCGGGCATGAAGAAACGGTCCATTTGAGCCGGAGTGGCCTGGTTGAGCAGGGTGGGCAGGAACATCGCCAAGTGAAGATCCAAGGGCGATGGCCTGCCGGGGTGAACACAACTGGGCCGCGCAAGCCGTAAGGAGGGGGAGGGGGGGCAAACAGGGAAGAAAAGCAGGGGGGGTTTATGGAAAAGGTGTGGAGGGAGATATTAATGATGGATGGAAGCCATCAGATAGAAAGTTAAGGCAGGTGAATTACAGAGGAAGATTCAGATTGTTTTCATCAAGAGAGAGATGGGAATGATTCCCATGGTTCAGAGGGAAGCAGAGAAGGGGAGAGAGAAAACAGCAAAGAGAAAAGCAACAAAGACAAAACAGCTGGTGAGCAAAAAAAACCCCAAAAAACACATGCATATTTGATTCCAGCATAATTATGGTTTTCATTCAATCCAACCTCATTCCCTCATTTCCAATGAAAATCTCATATCAGTGTTTATAGAATCACAAACTGCTTTTGATTTATGGTTTTGTTCTCTAGTGATGCTCTAAACCAAACCGACATCTGACCATTGGCTCAAACGCAGCGGCTGCTTCTCTTTTTGATTCGGTCCACTAAAGTAGACATGGCCGCCGCCCTGATCACACAGCGCCGCTCGTTCACCGTCTAATCCCACAATTACCACTAGACTAAAATCTCAGCAGCCAATCAGAACACAGAACTCCTGGTTATTAGTCTTCATTTGTCAAAGATAGTAATCAATTATGACACATTTGATCATAATGAACATCATTGGTGGATTATTATAGCATGGAAACAAGCAGGAAACAGGTTAGTTTAACAGATGGTGTTAATCCCACAGGAGAACAATGTTAGTTCTAGAGCAGCTACAGGAGCTTTTTAGGACATTTTGTTAGAAAAATCATTCCTAATATGAGCTCTCCTGTTAGCAGAAAGGAGGCCCGACTCCACTACATGATACCCATCTGTCAAACACACACAAGAATCTTCCTTTTTCTCTCCTTGGTACCAAACTGTTGGACATAAAAATTGGGGTTTGGGCTTTTTAACCTTACAGAATGTGTCTCTTAGGGCCTCAGGAACTGATACAGTGAGTGATTTAGTCTCTACATCCAGGACTGACCGTGACCCAGCTCAGTCTGGGCATATGTGCCCACGGCCTGGTAGGACTCTGCCAGAGACAGCCATTTCTTGGCCTGCTGAGGGTCGCACAGACTGCGCAGGCTTGGGATGAACATGGTAAAGTGCAGCCCAAAAGCTTCGTGTTGGTTCCCTATAGCCATTCTGGGTGAATGGGAGTTAAAGCTCAGATTCACTTTCAATCAACAGACAACAAAACACATCAGCTGGTATAAATAGAAAGAGATCTGGTGAAGACAAAGTCAGACTCTGAAAGATGTCTAAGATTATGACTTAAATTAGGACTTAAAAAAAGACAAGGGTATAATGCATACTCCAAAAAAGTAAAAAAAAACAAAACAAAAAAACAATCCACTGGACTTTGTTTCCAAATTTGAAGACGTTTCTCTTCCCATCCAGGAAGTTTTTCAATTTAAAATGTCAGAAATAGCGTTGAGTTCCAGGCTTTATACAGCAGCCCAACAGAGGCTTTTTTTTTGTTTAGAAAACAAATTGAAATTGCGAGGAATTGAATTGCAAATTGAAACAGATGAATGGGTCCACCCCTTTGGAATGGGGGTCAATTGTCTTCTTTTGTAAGCCTGTAATTCATGTTGGTGGAGAAACCAAGCTGGCTTCTTCAGAAAGGACCAGAAGAGACGGGCAGAGTTGAAGTGAAGATGGGGCAGGTGGAGGTTCACTAACCTGACTCCACCAGATGGATTAGCTCCGCATATCCATCTGGAAACCTTCCGTTGAAGTAATTTTGGGAAGGGGCGAAAATACTGGTTAGCTGATTGGCCTATGTTGGTGATAGACGGGCCAAATAAACCAATCAGATCAACGAAGCATATGACGTACTAACAGAGCGACGACGAAGAGGAGCCAATTGATAGATCAAACTCTTGCCAAAACCAGTCGGGAGAAGAGCAAAAACATCTTTTCCTCTGAGAAAAGCCTCCAGAGCAGTGTTTTGCTCTTCTTTCAGTGAAGAAATACTCTGTAATTCCAATAAAACTTGCTCGATAGCCACGCTAACGCTAGTTTCATGGGCTGAAGCTGCCATGTACTTTAGACTGAACTGTCGCGCTTCTCGTTGCGTCACACCTCAACCCGCCTCAAAGCCAACGCTGATTGGACGTTCGTTTGGTGAACGGCTACAAATTTTCTTTAACGGAGAGTCTCCAGACTGATCTGCGAGTGAAACCTTGAAAGCTCGCGAGATCAGGATGGTCTCACGAGTCTAGAGGTTCACCTTCCCTATAGTTAAACAACCCTAAAGTTACAGCCGGAGATACGTGACATGGTTCAAATCAAAGTACATATTCCGTAAAAGACCCGACCGCTGTGTCAACCCTGCCAATCCAATTAGCAAACATAATAAATTTCATTTTAACATTTCCAGCCTGCTGAGGTCATACCCAGGAAGACCGAATGCTGTCAGTGCAGCAGAGCGTTACAGGTTTCCTTTCTTTACCACTTTCCTTACAATTCACAATTATCCACCACTTTGGTGTTTCTCATAAATCCTCATAAAACACATGAAGGTTTGTGGTTGAAATGTGGCTTGTGTGAATAAAAGTTGAAGCGGTATAAACTGCGCTGCTTCTGCCTTCAGAAATGCTGTAATCTGGCAGCCTGTACAACCTCCGACACACTTATAATCTCCTCTGAACTTTGCTCAGGCTGATTTTTGTTTGTTTCAAACTCAGTTATTACGTCCAATGTAAGGTTTTTTTCTCACCCTGTCACATCTTTCAGATGCTTGCAGGCAACTTTCTGACTATCGTGGGTAAACTTCCTTCATAAAACGGAGCCAATATGTAGAATATGTTAAATGTCGCTTTCTTAATGCAACCAGCTGGTTGGTTTCCTATCGGCTGGCTATAAAAGCAGAGGAGCTGGTCTTCAGTCAGGCTAAAATGGATCTACATCAGGTTTAATGAATGACATACTGGGTTCCTCACTGGGAATAAATTAGTCCACTTGTTTAAAAGAGAAATTTTAGTTAAAGGAAAAGTCCGCTCATATTCAGAAATCAAACTTCTGAAAGTTCTTTAAATATGAAATTATTCCATAAATGATCAGTGTTTTTATTTCAGAGTAATTTTCCTGTGAATGTGCTTTACTGGAGGCATCCATGTTTGTCAAAGAACACTACTGCCACCTACTGGTTAGTGACGTCACGGTGCGGTATCGGCTGTTGATCAAGTCCCAGTGCTGTATCTGGTGTTTGTCACAACGCGCTATTATCCAAGTCATCTTGAAAACATTCTTTTTCCAAATGTCGGCTACATATTACGGGTTTTCAGTAGCAGTTGAGCAAAAATGGCCGCTCCCAGACTCAGTGATCGCAAAAAAATTACTGTTTTTATTTTTTTCCTGATGAAAGCTACATCTATTATTTCACCGGAAACATATTATTTTTAGATATAGATAATGATCCATTGATTATTCCTTGCTGACCGGACTTTTCCTTTAAAGCTGAGGCTATTAGCATCATTTTATATAATATCTCCATGTGAGTATTTGCAAGTTGTAGTTGCAAACTAGTGAGCGGTTTGTCTCAGCGTACCTCTTGTAGTAGTAGATCTCCTCCGGGTCTGCGATGCCATACTCGCGGAGCTTTAGGATCATCTGAGCGCTCTTTCGAACGGCCTGGTCATAGCGTTCACTGCGGGACAAGAAGTTTGGGTCCTCCTCGTTGAAGTCTGGATCACTGAAAACCAGCGACTCTACAGAAGATAAACAAAAAATATTCAACATTATGAAGGCAGAGCTATTTTAATAGCCCAGAGGAGGAAATTATTAGTATTAAATCTGTCACATATTAGGGCTGGACAAAATGTTTTTCCTTCTTGTTTTTTTAATCAGTGATGCTTAGAAAATTGTTTAACAGTAGGTTCTATGATGCACTTTATCTTATTATTATGAAAATTAAATAAATGTTTTTAAAAAATGTGTTTTTGCATGAATAGGGATGAATATTTAATTCATATGGGATTCAAATTTATGGCATTCATTAAGGGCATCCAACATTTTTGTTCAGTCCTCGGGTGAAAAATGAAATCCTTGATTTTGTGGATTTGTCTTCTGACACATTAGGTTTTTCAAAGGACGCCGGTGTTCTGTCAGATGAGCATACTCCGTCAGACCAGCATACACATAGTCAATATGCAACACGTCAGATTTGCATACACGCATGCTAGTCCCGTTTATCCCTTTAGTTTTGTACAAAAAAAATACACTTTAAACTATCTCCACAGGCGTGTATCTCTTTAGTCACAATTTAAGGTCAGACAGCAATGCACTTAAAAAAATACACCCAAAAGTAAGTAATTAAATTGTTTATTTTGTACTTGACTAAAGGGATACATGCCTATCGTGGTAGTTTAAAGTGTATTTTTCGTACAAAAATGAAAGATAAACTAAAAGAATAAATGGGTTTTGATTATGGGTATGCTGGTCTGATATGACAGAACACCTGCACTCACTAGCAGGAATCCTGGTAGGTCTATTACTACTTCTGGGATATACCAGTGAAGATTCTCAGCCGTCCAGGTCATAGTCATTCCAAAAAAGTTTAAAAACAATTTTCTATTCAAAATGTCAGGAAAAAGTTTGAGGTTTTATACAGTAGCCCGACAAAGCCTCGTTTTGGCTTAGAAACATGCAAATTGAAATGGACGATTGGATTGGGGGTCATTTGGTTTTTTTGTTAGCTTGTAATACCCCATACCTGTCTATGTCTCTGAAAGGGGGGGCATTAAAGGGAATTGTTGGCCTGACTGAAGAGGCGAATTGAAAAAGCTTCCTGGATGGGAAGCGAACCGTCTTCAAACTTGGAAACAATGTCCAGTGGATTGTTTTTTAACTTTTTTGGAACACTTCTGGGATGAAAGAAGGCTGCTGCTCTTCTTCTCTACAGTAAAGACCTTTTTTCTATCTGAAAATATTCATATAAAAAAAATTACCACTGCTAATCAATGAGCGGAAATCAAAGATGTGCCGCCCTACTGTTTACAATCTATGACTGTTTAACGCATTACATTTGGAGCATGTTCCTATAGATCACCCTTAATCAGAAGATTTCTATTTTATCCCATAAAGTATATAAAAATAACACTGAATGCATGTTTTAGTTATTTTAACCTACAACATGTTTGACATTTTAAGGTGGGAATAACAGAAAAGCATGAGATTACAAAAATGCTTTCTACGGATGAGGATTAGGGCCACTGGGAAAAAAAAAAAAAAGTTAAGTGATTTTTTAATTTTATTTCAGTTTAACATAGGAAAAAAAGTGAGAATTCTGACTTTTTTTCTCAGAATTCTGACTGTATTCTGAAAATTAAAAAAGTCAGAATTCTGACTTTAATCTCAGAATTCTGACTTTTTCATTATCAGAATACAGTCAGAATTCTGAGAAAAAAGTCAGAATTCTGACTTTTTTCTCATACTAAACTGAAATAAAATTTAAAAATTAGTTAACTTTTTTTTTTTTCCAGTGGCCCTAATCCTTTTCCGTAGCTTTCCATTTGAATATTCAAATAAATGTTTTTGCATTTGTTTTACCCCGTGTACAGATAAACATAGACTTAACATGATGCCAGTGGTGACATTGCTTGGTTTTATTACCTGTTTGGCATAGATATGAGCAAAGGAAACTAAAGCCGAATTTACACCTCATACCTGCCCAATCACTATAATATAAAACATCTTATAAATAGGACTTTATATGAGATTTAACGCAGAATTCCTTCTTAATGATGATTAAGAGGGACACAGATCTGAAACTTAGAATTAAGTTTGCAGGTTTTGTTTTGGTAGCTTTCCTAATTAATGTGTTAAGCTCTTATGGCAGTCAGGAAGATAACTGTGAGCAAAACCAGCTTTAAAAACTAATAAACGTCATTCCAAGCTCACCAATTTCTCGTCTTCTTTTGGTCTTCTCCGGGCCTCCGTCCAAAATATACGTCAATTTTTCGGCGTCAAACGCCGCATTTTGGCGTTCTCGTATAATATCGGGATTCATGGCTCTATAAGCAGAGCGAAACACGCGACTTTATGGACGGAAAACAAGCGAAAAACTGTTGTATAACTAGAGACACCTCTGTCACCTGCTGGAGACCCCGGTAATGTCCTCACTGCGCAGCCGCAGAGGGGCGGGCGCACGTACGTTACGTGTGTACCCGGAAGTCCTTCTCCTTCTCCGGACTTCACTTATTTTTTATAGTTATTAATCATGTCTATGCTTCCCCCGGCCGCAGTGTTCCGGCTTCCTTGGGAAGTGAACTCTTTGAAGGAAGGGGAATCAGTGCGAACATTCGGCAGGTCGGGATTTTGGTTTCGGTTCCGAATCGCACAGTTTCTGGCTTTGTTTTCTCGCAGGGATGGACTAGTGAACCTTCCTGGGTCAGGGTTACCTGGGTTGGCCGCAGGGCAACGTTAAACATTATATATAGTTTAGAACAATTTGATTTTAAATAATATTTTAATAGTACCACAGTGTTGTGACATTAGGATTCACCTGCTGAGAGGAGGACTTTGATAATCTTTCTTCCCCATATTTTTTGTTACACTGATATCTTGTTTTATGGCTTTGCAGGCTGGTCTGCTATCAGCCAGATGAATCCAGAGCCACCCTCTCTGCCCAGCATGCTTCCAAAGAGCACCTTGTGTTTGTCCACACCCAGTTTGTTGAACCATTTAACCCGATAATAGGAGCCCAGTACCTGGTTTTGGGTGAAACAGAAAACTCTGAAGGTAACAGACCTCTCTCATAGTAGGCCACATTTTCAAAGTTAGGTATACATATATAAGTTTGAGAACTTCTCTATCACATGTTTGCATGTAGTAGTGATTGTTTAATGAGGCATCTTGAAGCCAAACTGGATTGATACTGTCTCACAGAATACTGACACCTGCTGGACATTTAAAGACACTACAGGCAGCTTATTGGGCAGACTAAACTCAACAGATTCTATGGCCTAGTACAATGATATCATTTAAATTATTGTTGGTTATATTGTATTATTTCATATCTATGTTTAAACTGAAAAGTTTTTTGATATTTTTAGATGCAGCCAATAAATCCTGTAAACTTATATCATAACGTGAAAATTCAGGGGAAATGAGGATGCTTGTGGGTGAGGATTTTAAATCCTATAAAAAAAAAAAAAGTACAGTAAAAAAACAGCAAATAAACTAAGAGTCAATTTGAAATAAACTTTAATTCAGATAAGTTGAGTGATAACTTACAGGAAAAATGTGACACAATTAAAAAATTTAAATAAAAAAGCAACGGCTGTTCCGATTTCTTTCAGGCTGCTTCAAAATTATTGATTATTTTAATGATAAACCGCAAAAGATTAGATTTTTTTTTTAGCAGATGCATTATGTTGACAGATACGTTTTTAAACACAGTTTAAGTCAGTTAGAAAGAACTCCTGTATCGGTCCCATAACTTTCTTGAAACAACAAGCGTACCGACACAGCGTTTTGCTCTCTGTGCTCAAAGCATGCACCAACGCATCTGGTTTTTGATGGACCCAGCACTAGATGCAGAATTTTTTATTTTTTTTTATTTTGTCTTAGAATAAATTAATATCAAACTGATATTTTTTTTTATTCTAACCTTTGATTTGAATGGCAACTGGACTGGGTTCATATAGTGCTTTTTTTTAGTCATGCTGACCAGGGCAAATATTAGATTAGAGCTACATTCACATGATAAACCAATGCACCAATTGCCTCACAACTTAGACCCTTTGACACACAAACAGGGGGGGATTTACCATTAGGCAAAACTAGGCAGTTGCCCAGGGCCCCAAGTTCCATAAAAATCCTTTTGGTAAAATGCCATCAGAACGCTGATAATATTAACTGTGTCTCAGCCCCCCCCCCCCTTCAGTGTCCACCATATTGGATCAGTCCATTTGCTGCACATGTTCAGAAAGGTCCAAACAGACAGCAGCAAACCATTTGAAAACAGACGATACAAAGAGCAGTGTTGCCAACTTAGCGCTTTAGTCGCTATATTTAGCCACTTTTCAGACCCCTCTAGCACTTTGATTTCTAAAAAGCTCCTAGCGCCAAATCTAGAGACTTTTTTCTGCTACTGGAGACTTTGGAGACAACATCTAAAAGCAGCGAACTCTGCTCTCCAGAGCGAGTAGATTGGTAACCCCGCCTCCTGCTCTCCTCTATCTTGTCTGCTGTCATGATTCATGTAGCTATTATTTCATCCAAATGAAAAATGGAGAACAGATAAGCAGATCATGGCTTGTCTACAGTGAAAAGAACGACTGGGTTATTTACTTTGGCCTTTTTGGAAACACAGGAAGGAGCAATCAGCTAAGTGAGCTTAGTGCTTGGAAAAAATCTTTCATTCCTTTAGAGACAGCATGAAAAGTCAGCTGAGTACAAAACATAGAGAGGAAAACAAGAAGAAAAGTGACAAGAAGAGAGGGACACAACCTAGAACAGATCATGGATGTCTATTATATTAACATTTCTCTATCTGTAGAATGGGTCTGTTTTATGTGTTGTCTTCTCAATTCAGAGGGCCCCCTGCCTGTCTTTGCCTAGGGCCCCAAATTTCCTATATCCGCCCCTGCACATAAATGTACTTTTAATTGGTGTTAATAAAATAGTTTGAGAGAATAAAAGACAAAATTCTTAGGATTTAGTGAATGGATGTTTAAGTGAATGTCACACTGCTCAGTTTGACTTTATTATATTTTTATATTTCAAATCAGGTGAGGTGTCATTGATGTGTTTGGCAAACGGTCTGCTTTCTTCGGAAGGGACTTTAAAAGAAACAAGCAGAGGCTTCCTTGTATCACCTACCCACATCCGTTTGTCCTACAGGGGTCGGAGTGACGGTTCGTGCCCGTGTGCTGAACTGTGTTGACGGTGTAAACATTGCACTTCTGCAGAGGGCTGTCGCAGAGCAGCGGAGTTTCTTCGCTGAGAGGGAGAGCAAACGGGTGGAGGCGACGCACCCAGGGGATGGAACCTGATGAAGGCCTCCATGCTGTGACGCTGGCAGGGCTACACTACCTTTCATTAACTTTTATTCCTTCTGAATTACATCTGTCTGGTTGACTGATAAAGTGCTAGATATTATCTATTGCTGCATGTTTGGAAAAATAAATTAGTTCTCCAGAAGATTCAGCAGTCCCGTCTATTGTTAGATGTTTATTTGATGGTTTCTGATACTTTTTAACAATATTCAGCTTTATGCAACCTTATTGTTTTGTATTTTTCAAAGCTTATTTAAAAGTAACAGATTTACCTGTTTGGTGAATGAGAACAGATGTGGAATATTTTTTTATTCTATTTGTTATTTCAATAAAGAACATATTTTTATAGCTGTGAATTACTGCTGTGTGTAAAAATAAAAAAAAATCCCTGGAAAATCTGATCTCACTGAATCTTTGCGCCTCTTGTTCCAACTTCTCTACGATGTAGGAATATCCTGAAGTCTCAGGAAATAAGTTATTAGATTTTTTGAATAAAGCAACCAATCTTAGAAATAAACTAATGACGTCTTCAGGCTCAGGAAAGGATGGAGCGGAGCAGATATTTCAGTTTTAAAAAGCGAAAATTGTACCTAAATAAATGACCCAAGTTTATTTTTGGTAATAGAAAACATATTATGTACATTTTTAATCAGAAGTTTCCCCGCCGTCCCAAATCTGACCAAACCGCTTTGACCTACAATGAATCATGAGAAACGAAGGGATGTTGGATATTTTTCGGTAATACTGTAGCTCTGACGAACAAATACCAGGATTTCTAGAAGCTCTGTCATTTGCTGAGTCCAGAGGATGTCCTAGAAACTACTAATCACTGCTGGCTGATCTTACCCCATTGATGGACACTGCTTCTAATTAACTGAGGTATTTTTGTTTGGCCATCTAAGCAGCAAGTTATGCTTACAGCTGTTCCTAAACTAAGTCAAAAAACAATCCACTGGAATTTGTTTTGAAGTTTGAAGACGTTTTGCTTCCCATTCAGGAAGCTTTTTTAATTCAGAAATCCTGGAGTAATGTTGAGTTCTGGGCTATAAAGTTCCTAAAGCCTAGCCTGACGTAGTCCTACTCAATTCTAGTCAGAATATGAGTCTGATGCTGCTCCATAGAGCTGTGATTATGGGGCGTGTTTCGAACGAACCAGAAAAAAAAAATACCTCTGCACTCAATTGGATAGACCTACAACCAATAAGAGCAACGGATGTGACGTATGTTAAGCGAGGCATAGTTGTTGTCAACAAAAATCAAAGCGTGCAGATGCACGCCTATAATTAGAAGATGAGCCTTGATCGCGTTTCTCTGTTCCTCTTTTAAAATAAATTTGCTGTCGATATCTTCTAGAACAGACCTAATAGCAGAATCTACACACCTCAACTCTCCATGTGGTTGATTACGTTTCTGTTGATCATCTGTCCATCATCGTATAAAGCCCGCCCTGACAATTTGATTGGCCCGCCAGATATTGTGCGAGCATACTCGCACTACTGTTGAGCAATGCCAGACCGAACTTCCCGACCTCAAACGTTGTGGGCGGGACTAAGTTCGGAATGGCACCCAGGCTAGCTAAAGCCTGGAACTCAACGCTAATTCTGAGATTTTGAATTGAGAAAGCTTCCTGGATGGGAAGCGAAATGTCTTCAAACTTGGAAACAAAGTCCAGTGGATTGTTTTTTAAAGTAGTTTTGGAATGAGTGCATTTTGAAGCACTAATTCACTGTCTTGTTATGTTTCAGTAAAGTCTGAGGGCCTGGTCTCCAAAGTATCCACATAAATGGGATGATTTTCTTGGGCTATTAATGACTGCATGTACAATAACATGCAAGTAGAATATGTTTAAATGTGCGTAGACATTTTCTGCCATTATATCGATGCCTCCTTTGTGACTGCAGAGATGGAGCTAACACACCAGCATCAAACTGGGCAGTTTGTCAAAGTGGACTCTGGTTGCTGATTGGTGGAGCTGGTTGGCCGTCATCTGCTGGTCGGAGATCAAAGCTTTCTTTACTTTATCTAACTTTATTCTAATATTTTCATGACTATTGACAACATATGTTGTAAGGCAGGTTCTGTTCCAGGTAGCAGCTCGCCATTAATTGACCCACAACTGGCTTCACCTGGCCAATTCCTGCAGATATTCAACACACAGCGCCACCTGTCGGTTTCTAAAGACCAAGGTAGTGCAGCTGCTCTGGTGGCTTCCCCCCCACACTACTGATTGGCGAAACTCACCTCAGCTTATAAAATGTGCTTGTGCTCTATGATTGGTTAGACTCACGGGTGTGTCTTGTGTTTTGTTCAGGTATGACGGAGTATTAAGGCCAGGCTAGATATTTCTTTTTCTTCTATTTCAAGAGTAAAGTCATAGAATTATGAGAATAGTCATAAAATTACGAGAAAAAATTCACGAGAATAATAAAAAAAATACGAGAATAAAGTCGTAATATTAGGAGAATAAAGTCCTTAAATTATGAGAAACAAGTTGTATTTTATGACAACTCTTAAAAGAAGCCCTTTCTTCCCTAAAATGAGGAATGTGGAGCATCATGTGAAGTTATACTTTAGCATCGGTTTGACAATTACAGAAATCTTTTAGCAGCAGCATCAAACTGGGCAGGATGTCAAAGTGGACTCTGGTTGCTGATTGGTGGAGCTGGTTGGACTTAATCTGCTGGTCGGAGATCGAAGCTTTCTTTCTGAAACGGGTTGTTGTATGATGACTTCATTCTGATAATATTAAGACTTTATTTTCATAATAAAAGGGAAACAAACTCTAGCCTGGCCCTAATACTCCGTAATTTTCAGGTGATTGGGGAAAAAAAGGGTTAGAAGGGTTAAAATCTGTCGTTAAAAATGCTTTTCAAATTTCAATTTGCACGATTTAGATTTTAAAAATGAAAAGGCTGGTTTTCTTTTTCAGTGACTCTTCTGGTCCTCCATACTAAGAGTTTTTTTTTTTTATTATTAGTATTTAAAAGATGTTACTTTGAGCTTAGAGGTCATCCAAGTTTCAAAAAAACTAATCTGTGACCGCTATCCCAGCTGCTCCACAGAACCCATTAGCTGTTCCCAGTTGGCTTAACTTGGTTAAAGTTCAGTTCATAGAAATATCTTATCTCAAAGCAAGATAATCTTTGAATTGCTGACAGCTCAGGTTGGAATTGCAACAGTATTTCTAGGCTTGTGAAAATGCGAGGATTGTTGAGACTCGTAGTGAATCTAAAAAGCCTGCATCTTCACAAGGTTTGGTGCTTTGTTCATGAATTTGAGACTGAAAATGATCTTATCTGTGAATTATAGTGTCCTGAATTTACACACCTTTCTATAGTCTGTGTTGATGATAATATTCAAGATAACAGATTTATGGCCTGTCCAGGATCTACGTCATCCATGTCCCTTGCCCAATGACCTTTTGAGATGGGCACCAGCCAACAATGGATGCATAAATTGATAAATTGTACATAGTACTGATTAACAAGAGGGCAAAATTTAAATGCTTTTATTCAATGCCAAGTTTATTTCTAACAACTCTGATTCTCCATAAAACATCAAACAATCTTATTAATTATTATTAATTAAACACAGAATCAAGCTAAAATGATCATGTCTCATATTTTCTAATAACAATACTACTCAATATAAACAGTGTATATACAGTTTATTTATATTACATCAAAAGAGAACAAATATTTCCCCTCCAGGATTCTTAGTTAAGAAAAATGCACCTCATTAGGAATCATTCTGTCATCCAAACTACTATGATTTAACAGTATATCTTCCGAGTTAATCTATTATATTGTCATTAACAAAAGTATATTTCATAACCAAACCTAAAGAAAACACAAAGCACTTAATAGTAAACATAAATTAGATATATGTTGACTTAAGTTCAGAATACAGATAAACTTATATCACACCTCCAGTCATTAGCACTCTCTTGGACTTTGACACAATTCTCAATGTTGGCACAGTCAGTTTTGGATCAGCTCCCCTGTAAAACAGGAGGCTAAGCTAAGCATTTCTCTATGGATTTAATCATAAAAGCTGCAATGGAAGCCAATCCACCAGAAAAGACAGCAGTAACACCTGAAATAACTGGACCAAACAACACCAGGAGCAGCAAACTCCAACCTAAACAACCAAGCAAACTCTATTCCTGGCTACATACATACATATGTAGCTACATAGTACATATTTTATTAACAGATCTTGTAAGCTTTTCATTATGCAGCAGACTATCTTCATTTTAATAATAATAATTGAACTTTATTGATCTCACATTGGAGATATCTACTTCTGCATTCAACCCATCCACTTGGGGAGCAGTGGGCTGCCATCATAGGGCACCCAGGAGTCAGGGGTCTCGCTCAGAAACCCAGAGTGGCAGTCTGTGGGAGTGGGTTTTCAACACAGAACCCCAGGGTTCCAAGCTCTATGCCCTAACCACTAGGCCACCACTTCCTGTACCTCTGAGTTTAACCCATCCACTTGAGGAGCAGTGGGCTGCCATTGTTGGGCGCCCGGGAGCAATCTGGGGTCTCGCTCAGAAACCCAGAGTGGCAGTCTGTGGGAGTGGGTTTTAAACTTACAACCCCTGGATTCCAAGCTTGCATAAGTATTATTGCTGTTGCTAGGAATTGACATGGGCATTATCAGTTTTTGACTGCCATCAACCAAAAACAAAGCCACAGCCATTTTTAACCACGTTGGTTCATCAACACCCTCAACAATCTTGACCAGTACCAAATACCTACCTGAATATCGCTTAGTATTTTATTTACACGCGCGATCTACATCTTAACTCCTTGTTTTGATATGCTTCAGCTTTCAAATGTATAACATGCTTTCTCAGTTTTTCAGCAAATGCTCCATTATGCTTCCACTACATTTCCGTCTAAATCTACGTCCACAAACCACAACTGATAAACAGCAGGTTCCTTCTGCGCACATCCTCAGCCTTGGTTTCTCTCTGCTCTAGCTATTATTGCTAGTCTTTTTGTGTAAGTTTGACAATTAAAACTTTGTCCATGCTTAGTAAGTGAAAAAGGATCTAAACAAATTTCATGATTCAATTTTTTTTCAGGATTCTCTAGCTGCCTAGTGTACAATCAAGAAAGATTAGCCCCATTTCCACTACCCTCTGAAAACCGACCTGTGCCAAGCTTCGATCAGTTAACAGTGCTGATCTCTGTTCCTTAAGACCATTTACACACAGCGCTAACATGGCTCCTCGCCTCCTAGTGGCGGTCTGAGGTACTACTGCTCTCAAGAGTTAAACAAGCAAACCAACATGGCGGCACCCGTAACATTCAGGAAGTTTGCGGAGGGTCAGGCGAAGAAGGCAGCCTTTGTTGAATTTAGTTGACAATGTCAGCGTTTGGTAGTGGATATTAAAAAACGACAGTCCAATTGGGACTTACAGACGCAGGAAACAACAACAGACGTTGAGATTCATCACACTGCTAAGCAGAATCATCACTGGAAATCATGTGGCACAGGAGAAAAGCTAGTATTTTTATGAATGTCTGAAGTTTCATGAATACGGAGGCTAACTGTCAGAAGATGACACGGTCTGCTCATGCACTCTTTGTTATCTGAGAACCGAACCTGAACTGAACTGCGCCGAGTCCTACTGATGAACTAGTACCATGTTAGAGCGGTTCGGTTGTGTCTGGCATGCTCCCGTTCAGTTCTGCATACCATTTACACTCAACAGTTATCTCTGTTTTATCCTCCATATCTTCTGCCTCCATGCTAACTTTTAAATAAATGAAACCCAATTGATATAGGTTTCTTGATCTGTTCCTACGGTGCCTAGCATACTGTTGCAATGGTCATTATGGCCTCAGAGTTAGATGCTCAGAAGAAGTTTATGTTCTTTACCTACCAACTCATAAAATTGACTCTGGTCAAATTATCAAACTTGACCTTCTTCAATTCTTTGATGAGATAAAAGTGATGAAAGTTTGAGTCATCTTAAATACTTGTGGTATTATTTAAAGTGAATTTAGAAATGGAAAAATTTTGAAGAGTTGTTTGCTGGGGTATATTCAGACTCTTTGGAGGAGGCAGGCAACATCGGTAAGCCTGACGCTGGGTCTTTCTTACAATGACTCAGAGCTTCCTTGTAGTTGATCTTATCCTTTGTGATAGGGTCTATGATGTCCTTTTTGTAGCCTTCCTCATTTTGCAGATACTTCATTGTTGTGCCGTCAATCATTTCTGATCCAATGGCATCACAAACGTCAACTCTGCGACCAGTAGCGGGATCTACTAGCCCCCCCGTCAGGTGCTGGGCCTCCATGTATCGAATTGCTGAATCTTTTGGCATCCAGCCCTTCTGAACGGCTTCTCCGACAGACAGACGTTCTTTGGTCATGGGGTCTTCAACTCCAGTGAAAGCTTTCTCTGCATTAAGCAGCCTTTGGACTTGGCTACCCTCAATGAGACCTCTTTGTGCCGCCTTGTGAACCTTATATCTCTCACTATTACTGATGTCGATGATGCCCCCTGTTGCCGCTTGAGCCTCCAACAGCCTTTGGGCAGTGATAGGGTCAATCAACTTTTGCAAAGTGGCGTTGTGGATGGTAAAGCAGGTGTCTGTATATGTGTCCAATATTCCTGCAATCGGCTGCAGTTCAATGGCAGAGGTAATGTCTAAAGATGGAGATTTCACTGATGGATTTGGCTTTTGGGTGTCTGAGTTGAATTTGGATTGCTTGTTCTTATCACCTGCAACAAGAAGGGCAAACTCTGAGATAGGAAGCTTGCCTTGTTTGTATAATTGTAAATCATACTCTGTTAGTCTTCCTTCCTTAATAGCATCTCTGACAGGATACTGCTTTCCACTCTTACGATCCTGTAGGACAGATGTTTCTCCATCAGGGCCCACGGAGGTTACATCTTCCCAATCACATTCTAGCTCCTCCAGTTGAATATACTGCTGGCGATCAACCAGCCCCCCGATGTAGGCATCATAAGGAGACATGTCTTTGCCAGTTTCTGGATCCAAAATTGTGATTTTGGTAGAGACATTGGTTTCTTTGGTCATGGTCTCCCCTTGTTCCTCTTTCTGTAGGTGCATCAGAATCTCATGGATTGTACTGTCCCGTTGATGAATCTTATCTTTCTCTTCCAAGATCTGCCTCTCCAACTGCTGGACATCCGATTCCATCTTCAGACTTCTCTTTTTGCTCATGTGTGTTCTTTCACTCATCAGTCGACTGCGTTGCTGGAAAGAGAGATGTATGTCGTGTTTCTTTGCTTCAAGAGTCCTGAGTTCTCTGGTCAAACTGTTATTTTCCCTTAATAGGGCCTCTTTGTTTAGATTAAGAGTTACCTCATCTCTTGAATTATTAGATTTCTTGCTCATCAAAATGTTGACTTTGTTATTAAGACGTCTAATTTCGTCCTCCTTGTCTTGTCTGGCAAATTTGTTCTGTGACACCTGCTCCCTCAGACGACGTCTCTCAGCTTCAAGAGCTTGATCTTTCTCCACACGAACAACCTCTTTGTACACTGTCTTTTCATTAGACTTCTCTTTCTGCAGAATCTGAAGCTTTAAATTGACATTACGGATTTCCCTCTGTAGGCGCAAAATATTGTGAGTTTCCTTCTCCATATCAAAACGCAAACCATTTGTCATTCTCTCCAGCTTTGGATCTCTTTCAATCTTCAGTACTTCCTCAACTACTACACTCTCCTCAACCGAATGTGGGGTATTTTCCAGTTGTGTGATGCGTAGTCGGATCTCTTTAAGCTTTGATTCAGCTTGAATCCTTTTTTTGCGCTCATCACTCTCCCTTAAAGTACACTCTTTGTCTTCCAACTTGGTCCTTAGTTGCTGTACCTCTAGATCCAACTGACGACGACTCTTTACTTCTTCATCCAGCCTCCTGCTGAGCCTATCATATTCCTCTACTTGCCTTGAGTCCCTCTTAAGGCGTACAACCTCCTGAACAACCAGTTTCTCTTCTGGTTTCTGTCTCTCCAACAGAATGTATTTGTGTTGTAGGTCAAAAACCATCTCCTCAATATTTCGCCTTATTTGTGCTTCCTCTCGCACGGCCCTGCGCAAACGGTCAGCTTCCTTCTCTAGCAGTGGATCTGGCTCATACTTGATTACATCTCTGGAGACAATTTGGGTCTCTATTTTTGACTTTTCCTCCTTCCATTCGTCTCTCTCTTTATGCAGTTGTCTAACTTGGTCCTGGAGGGATGTACACTGGCTGCTCAGGCGGTTCTCCTGATCATTAAGCCTTTGGATCTCTCGCTTGTTTTCAGGGCTTGTTTCCTCTTTCACCACCTCTTGGAGAACTTCTTTGAGCTCTACTCTTGGTTTCTCTGAATAAAGCCTGTTCAAATCAACAGTTACCGCTGCAATCTCATTTTTAAGATCAGCAAATTGTACATCTGAATACTCGATTTTTTTTCGAAGACGAGTAATCTCCATCTCTGTATTAGGGTCGGTTACATAGATCTCGTTTACAACTTCTTTCACCTCGAAACCTGCCGTCCTGTCTTGAACCTCTCTGTAGCGTTTCTGTAGCTCCAATATTTCCTTGGACAAAAAGCTGTTTTCAGACTTCTCTTCCTCCAAGCTTGTTTGGAGCTTGCTGAATTCTGCGAGAAGTTCAGGGTCTTGCTCAACCCTTCTTACCTCCCTAGAAAGGGCTTTTGACTGAATGTTCGGAATAAGCTTTTCAAGTGTGTTTATCTGATTTCTTATCTGAAAGATTTCATCATGGAGAAGCCTGCATTTATTTTTCTCCTCAGAAATGTCAGCCTCAAATGTTCTTAATACATTGAATGTTTGGCCATTCTGTCCTTCACTACCAAATAATCTCTCTTTGATTGGTGATCCATTCTGCTGCAAAGCTGTGACTTCCTTCTTCATTTGGACTTCCTCTCTTTCTTTCATTCGGATTTCATGTCTAGTTTTTGCTATCTCGTGTCGCATCTTGGCGGCCTCTTCCTCCAGCTGAGGATCTACTTCAAGCTCTATTACCTCTCTAGTCACCAGTCTGGGGGACATGTGTTTAAGGGCGTCCTGGAGCTCACTTATTTTCTTGTTTATTGCTTCAATCTCTGACTGGGTTGAGCTCCGCCTCAGGACTTCATTGTTAAGTTTGTTCTTTAAATGAGCCAGATCACCTTCCAGTTTAGGATCACGGTAGTACTGCAGTACTTCTGTCTCCTCAAAGCTCCCCTGACTCTTGATGGACATCATTTTGTTTTTTAAAGTTTTTAGCTCCATGTGGGCACGGACCGTCCTCTCCTTCTCTTCCTCTAGTTCTTTTAGCAAGCCATCTACTTCAAAGCCACTTTTTTGATGGTTTTCAAGCTCCACCTGCTGCTGTGACACCATCTGAACAACTTCTTCATTCTGTAGTAGAAGGAATAAATTTAAAAATCATGTTTTGTTATTTTTCAGTGTGGCTTAACTTTTTAAAATTTACATATTTTAAATGTAATCTTTTACAAAAGCAAGGTTGATGAACTTGTGACCTTTAGCCTTACTTGATAAATGAGATTCCTAGCCAAGCCCATGTGTCTTTGGCGTTGAGTGTTTTCTGCTGTTGCTTCTGCAAAACGGTTCACCAATTTTTTCTCCTGTAATGAACATATCTATAATAAAAATCGTATCTTAAAAAACAAAATAATTTAGAAATATAAAAAGTGTCTGAATGTTACCTCGTTCTCAATGGCATCAACCAGTGTGAGCATTTGAACCCTTTTTGGAAGAGTCATTCCAATATCTTCAAGGGTACCGTTGTATTTATTAGCATTCGCCTCATAATCCTACAAAGATACCTGTGTTAGTTTTACATACTCCATTTGTTTATCTACCTTATGGTATGTGAAGTTTATTTTCCACAGCAGTATAATATTTAAAGAAAACATTTTTTTACTGGTATTGAAATAGATATTAAAATCCTCCTTCTCACATATAAAGCCTTAAATGGCCAAGCTCCATCTTATATCAGAGATCTGATTGTTCCTTATGTTCCTAACAGAGCACTTCGCTCTCAATCTGCAGGTTTACTAGTGGTTCCTAGAATTTCTAAAAGTAGAATGGGAGGCAGATCTTTTAGTTATCAGGCTCCTCTCCTGTGGAACCAACTACCAGTTTTAGTCCGTGAGGCAGACACCCTGTCTACTTTTAAGGCTAGGCTTAAAACTTTCCTTTCTGATAAAGCTTCTAGTTAGGTTGGCTCAGGTTATCCTGAGCTATCTCTATAGTTCTGCTGCTATAGGCTTAGACTGCTGGAGGACATAGGGACCCCTTTTTCATCATTCTGCTTCATTCTATCTCTATTCTCCCACTCTGCAGAATCTGTTAGTTCAATCTCTAACGTTCTGCTCTCTCTGCTTTTTCTCATAGTAGCTTCATCTGGTCTGTTCCTGTTTGGCTGTGACTCCATCCTGGAGAGAAATATCAGCTGTGCTGCTGCCATCAACACCCTTGTTTATAGATGCTGGAGATCGGCCTGTTTTCCAGTGTAGTCCTGTTTCTCTGACTGTGTCTAACTGGATGTTTTCTCTTCATCCTCTGACATGGGAGCTGGCTCAGAGCTCATCTGCCTGGCTGTGTGTTTCCTGGACGGGGCCGCCTTTTACAGCTGCTTTTTGCATCTCTCCTTTTGTCTCCTTGAACCCCAGTGGGCCTCAGCAGATGGCCGCTCACACTGAGCCTGGTTCTGCTGGAGGTTTCTTCCTGTTAAAAGTGAGTTTTTCCTCTCCACTGTCGCTACAAGCATGCTTAGTGTGAGGGATTGTATTTGAGTCAATGAGTCGATGCAATCAACTGGTTTTCCTTAGATAGAAAACTTTGAATCAATTTGACTGGATGATCTGGTTGAACTGTAAAGTGCCTTGAGATGACATGTGTTGTGAATTTGGCGCTATATAAATAAACCGAATTGAATTGAAGTCAAACATGCTTGTTATTTATAGTATTATTGTGCCATAAGCCATGATGTTATTTTTAACATTGGTGGAGGAAGATGTCCTTTTACTCCTCTTCACCACCACCTCATGTAAAAACTCCCAAAAACACATTAAAGAGGCATTAAAACCCAAGCAATGAGTAAAAAATGTACCTGCAAGTTTGCACGCTTTGTATATAACAGCTTTTGTGCGTGTGTAAATTACAGACGTCACAGATTCATCCTTCATCCTCTAACTGCCTCACTCCTCCTACTCTAGCGTGCACTTTCTCAAGCTCACTATTGAGGGCTTTATTTGTGAGTATTTACATGCAGGAGCACTAAAATGGCACTAAAGATGGACTCGCAAAAAGCGCCACTTGAGCTTCTGTCTGCAGGCTGCTACACAGTAAAGTTCTTAAAGCTTAAACTACTACAAGTAAAACATCAGGTTACTGTAGTTGTACAACTATGCACGGGTCAGTTTTTAGAATGAAGAAAGTTTATTTGTGGTTATTCTATGGTATAGGCAATTATCACATCAAATAGACGGTGAATCATTAATAATGTCAAATTTAGGACTTGTGGGTAAGAGATGAATTATTAGGGAAAACAACCCTGTCCTTGATTTTGTGATACAGAAGCAAAATTATTTATATGATATTTAATTCCAGATTCTTATTTAATTTCTTATTTTTGAACCATTGACATTTGTTTTAATGTAATATTTTGTATTATTTTAGGTATAATAAGCCTTTTTAATCACTTTTGTGAAGTCTATACAGAGATTTTAATTGGCATGTCCTGGAGGAACTACAGCAGGGGTGGAAAGTAATGAATTACATTTACTCAATTTACTGTAATTGAGTACTTTTTATGAGTAATTTGTAATTTTCTGAGTAGTTTTTGAAATATGTAATTTTTACTTTTACGCAAGTAAATTTTAACCTAAGTAGTTTTACTTTGCTACATTTAAAACCCCCTCACGTTACTGAGTAAAAAAAATAAAATAAATAAATAAAATACTGATGGTGAAAAGATTAAATGTGGCCCTGCCTTGCATTTACCCTTTGCATTGTCTCATAATCCAGTGCTGCGCTTCGGAAAATGGCAGTTGCTAATCACAACTTAGGGAGTATGGATGAGGAAAGGCCTGAAGAGGAAACATATTCTGGAGACGAAAGCCAGAAAAACCCTCGGCCATATTTGGAAGGATTATTTGTTTTCAAATGCACAAAAGGGAACAATGTGATAATACAGTGCAACATGTGCCTGCCCAGCAAAACGGAGCTTTCGGCTTTTAAAACATCAACAATTTATGAAAAAATGTGCCGGTAAGTTATTTATATGGTGTTTTCTGTTGGACAGTAGGATTGAAAATTGTTTGCACTTTATGGTTCAGGTTGTGACTGTCCTTGTGCTGTGAGGAAGTATGATCTTTTGCAAGTGTGGATTTCCACTGAAATACGCCTGAAATCGATTAAAACACCTTGTGCTCAATTCAATTACTGACTCATCCTTTTTTTTGCATTAAATAACTCAAAGTAACTAAGTAACTTTTACTCAAATTACATTTTAAATGAGGTAATTTTGTACTTTTACTTAAATAAATTTTGAGATGGGTAATTTTACTTTTACTGTGAGTAGAATCTAGGCAAAGTAAAGATACTTTTACTCAATTACAATTTTTTAGTACTCTTTCCACCTCTGAACTACAGTGCCTTAAAAAGTATTCCACCCCCTCAAACTTTTCGACCTTTCGCCAGATTTCAGGCTTCAAACGTAAAGGTATAAAACTGTAATTCCTTGTGAAGGATCCATAAGTGGAACACAATCATGAAGTGGAAGGGCTTTCAATGGAGTTACCATTATTATTTTTCACGTCATCAATACCAAATTCAATCTAATTGGATGGGAATCTACGTTGCATTTGACGCACCACTACAAGATGAATCGACAGATTCGGCGGTATTCATTGGCGGCAAATCATTGCAGCTTGGTGGCGGCGTCGTTAGCATAGTAGCATGGACGACGAGATGATTGAAAATGAACACAACGGAGATCTAGTCCTATTGGCAGACATCCATTTAAAATGTAGGCAACGGGATGAAAAAAGTGGTTTCTACTTTTACTTTTATACTTTAAGTAAATTTACAAGCCTGTACTTTGTTACTTTTACTTGAGTAAAGAAGTTTAATCAGTACTTCCACTTTTACCAGAGTATTTTTTAACACAAGTATCTGTACTTTTACTCAAGTACGGAAAGTGAGTACCTTTGCCATCTCTGCCTGTCATAGCAATACTAGTTTTTAAGGGAACATCAACAGCAAAATCACCAAGTCGGAAAGAAAAGGTTTTCTACAAACAAACATGTCATGATACCGCTCATGATAAAAGTTGATAGATTCTATATTCTAGAGGGAACAAAATGTACAATTCTTTAAAATATGTTACGACACAGTTTTATCTTCTCTGCTCTTACATTGAGTAGATTCTGCAGATCTTGAGAGATGGCGGTAACTCTGTCCACATCCTCCTCCTTTTGTTTCAGGTACTTCATCACTTTCTAAATGCAGAAATATTGGATTAATCTTTGAGATACTAATTAATGTGAATAATCTGTAAACAGATGGATAATTAATTAAAATAAAGAAGTTCTTGACAACCAATCAGATAACTTTCATACCTCTTGGGAGCTCTGCTTTGCCGTCACCTGCGACACTCCATCACTGGTGTTTATATTATTTGTTGGCAGGTTGTCCAGGGAAGAGTGGAGGTATTTGCACAAGCTCTGGAACTCCTGGTACTTTGATGAAGCCTCTTGTAAAATGTTCTCTCTAAGGGGAGTATCACAGGACCGTATTGTGCCGATTTTTCTTTTTGGACTTTTTCCTTTTATGTTATTTCTTCTTAAAATATCAAGTTAGAAAATCCCAGTTTTCCTTTTTCTTAAAGGATATTTTGATAAATATACTCTCAAAGGTTTTAAATAATAGCAACAATATTTATATAATCTGCTTTTTCTAGTCCTTATTTATCAAATTCATGATTGACTCTATGCCATTTAGCAATACACTGGGACTGACCTGAAGTAGCCTCAGTTTGACTCACCTTTCCTTTAGCTGGTTGGTAACATTTGCGTAGCGACTCTGCAGCTGCTTGACGTCCCTCGTCTGGCGTTGGATGTCTGGACAGAACTCCTGGTAGCCTTGCTGCAGAGAGCTGCAAAAGTTCTCAGTGGCCTCCAGATCCTCATCCAGTTTTATCATATCGTCCTGGATCCTTGCAGCAAACCTCTGCTGGCTCTAAGTACAACAACAGAGATTTATAAGCTAGAATGTACCCTACATTGCCGAAAAGTATTCCATCACCTTGCAAATCTCTGAATTTAGTTTTTCTAGCTTATGCTGTAGTCACAGCTGTATAAAATTAAACAGGTCATCCAGAATGCTTCTATAAACAATTGTGAACGATTTAGTCACTCTCAGGAGCTTGGTGAACTCCTGCATTATGCAGTGATAGGATGACAGCTGATCAATAACTCCAGGCCATAGATTCCCTTGCTACCAAATATTTCATGTTCCATCGTTAATGGCCTTATGACAAGGTGGAAGTAACAGCTTACCCAGAGTTTGTTTGTACCATAAACTCTTGGTTTGTTTTTGCTCAGCAGTCCGTTTCATGAGGCAGGTTTAATGAACACTCTACATTGTCTAAACCTGAAAACAGGGAAACTCTGACTTTTCCATTTCACAAAGGGAGTTTCCTCAACCTCTGTTTCAGTAACATTCTCCGCATAGCTAACCTGGTCAGCAAAAGATTTTCTTCAGAGAGTCTCTGCTCTCCTTACAGCCAATAACACTCATTCATTTGCTGATATAGTGAGATTTAAATCAACTTTGCATGATCCCGCAATACATTTGCGAAATTTCGCAAAACGTTTTGCCATGTCAGCGAACTGAAAGTAAAACAAACACACAACAGTGGAGGTGCAAAGTGTACTGCTATGGGAGGATAATACGCCCATGTGTCAGCTACAACCATGGAGGATGATTTGGAAAGGTTCTTAATAGATAGAGAAGTCCCAGAACACGACATTACACGAATGAAGAGAGACAAGGTCAGTATGCAATTCTACGGAGCCCCTAAAGGGACATGGAGGGAAAAAAATAAACTTTTGTGAGAACTATTGCGGGATCTAACAAAAGTTTATTTTTTCCCCTCCATGTCCCTTTAGACAGTGTTGGGAAAGTTCTCTTTCTACGTGAACTAGTTCAAAGTTCAGTTCACACATTTTAAAATGAACTAGTTCAGTTCATAGTTCATAATTCAAAATTTTGAACAAAGTTCACAGTTCCAAAAAATGAACTAGTTCATAATTCTTTTTTTTTTTTTCATGTATTGCTCAATTACACCATAGCCTACTGTAGAACCACAGACAGCAATTATTATATCAGTTGTAACTCTGAAACTGTGCGTCAGATTTCATCTTCATATCCAGTTTTGAATCCTTATCCAAGGATCCAAGGGTCGTGGGAAGACAGAAATCATGATTTGGACACAGGTTTGACTCAGGAAACATAAAGATTGTGACAAAGTCCAAAGGAACGGGTTGGCAGAGGCAAACAGTAACTTGGTTTACTGTTGTGGGGAAAAGCAGGTTATTTTATCTTTACAAAGAGAGAACAGTTCATCCTATGGCCCTTATTGCATGATGATCAGCCCTGTTCTGATCTGGGCAATGTTCGTTCTCCGTTACTTTTGTACTCTCTCTTTTGTAGCTTTAGCGCTGTTTCTCTGTCTTTTAAACACATCCTCCTTTTTTTATTTAATTTTTTTGCATTTCTGCATTAAAATGTCTAGTTCCTGTAGGGTGAAATAGGCACTTCCTGTTGCCTGTTGTCATGGTTACTCGTGGAGTCGGTGCTCCACTGATAATGGCTTTACATACTTGTTGCCAATGCGCTTAACTCTGAGTGGACCTACTTAGAGTTGATGAACAGCAGCCGTTGTGAAACTGAGCACTCAGAGTTCCAGACTTTAGGTCAGATCAGTTTAGAGTTGCGGATATAAATCTGAATTTGTTAAACCTGCTTCATGAAACGGACCCCAGCTGTTTGGTCAACTTTTGTTTGGAAAGGTCTTTGGTTTATAGCTCTGATTTCAAGATGTCAATTTTGTTTTTATTTCGATTTGAAAGACTGTTTGAAATTGGATTTGGTTTTGCTTTTTCAAAAAGTGAACAAAAACACTAAACTGTCAGACCTTTAAAATCTGAGTTTTAATTTTACTTCTCCTTTACCCTGACTGAGCCAGACCGTAAAACAGTGTATGCATTTGTTGTATATTTCCTCACCTGAATGTCCTCCTCGTGGGTTTGAATTGCATTTGCTATGTCTGGAATCAGACCGTCTTCACTGAGTTTTCTTTCAAGTCCAGAAACAAGGCCATCCACCCTTTGAATTTGACTCTCCAGGCTAAGAGACGCATTTGCTCTGAGAGAAACACATAAATACAGAAAGTTACAATAAAAAAGACACCAAAACATTTTAATGCATCAGCTGAATCAAATTATGTATCATTTTTTAAACCCAGCAGAACAGTCAAAACTTTCCCACCACTACCAATACTTCTATTAATAATACACCTGCTACAAAAATAAAGATAAGACAAGCTTACTTTTGATCGTAGAGGTCCGCCAGCGCAGTTAAGCTGTCATACTTGTTGATAGCAGCACTGAGTTGAAGCGACAGTCCAGACAAGGTGTTGTTAGGATCCTCAGACAGCAATGGCTGTAGGTCAGCCTCTGCTGACTGGATCTGCTGTTCCACATCCTTGAGTTCCTCGGCAGCTTGCTGCATAAGAAACAAATTATTTAAAACAGCTCTTAATTGTTCGCTCAATTGCAAACAGAAGTATATGCAGCATTCATATTATAGGTGTATCTTAATCAATCAGAATGTACTGTAATATAATTGATTAAGGTATCGAGGTATTCTGTAATAAAAGGGCAGCAGGTCTTTGAGGACAGCATCCCTGGAAGGGGTTTACCGGATCTGAAATTTCACCCTACTGGATGCTGCTCCAGCCTGGCTGACAAAGAAACTCTCTTGAATCTCTTGATTTTAGTATAGATGCCAGAAACTGACATATGCAGATTAATTCCAACCCCAGTGATGCATTTCCCACATTTTCTATAAATTTATTTATATTAAATAATGGATTACTGCTAAAAATTCTGACTCTTCTGGTATGTTCATGTACTGCTTGTCCTCGGGTCCTTTTGCATTATTGACTGCCTCATTTTGGTGTGACATAGATATCAAAATGTTAAGAAAGCTGTGAGGCAGACAACATGTCTACTCTTAAGGTTAGGCTTGAAACTTTCCTTTTCAATAAAACGTATAGTTACAGTGGCTCTGGTTATCCTGAGATAGATCTATAGTTATGCTGCTATAGGCTTAGACTGCTGGAGGACATAGGGAACCCTTTCATCATTCTATCTCTATTCTCTCACTTTGCATAATTCTTTATCCTCTCTCTGTTTTTTCTCATAGTAGCTTCATCTGGTCTGTTCCTGTTTGGCTGTGACTCCATCCTGGAGAGAAATATCAGCTGTGCTGCTGCCATCAACACCTTTGTTTATAGATGTTGGAGATCGGCCTGTTTTTCAGTGCAGTCCTCTTTCTCTGAATAGAATGAAGCAGAATAATGAAATGGGGGCCCCTATGTCCTCCAGCAGTCTAAGCCTATAGCAGCATAACTATAGAGATAGCTCAGGATAACCTGAGCCACTCTAACTAGAAGCTTTATCAAAAAGGAAAGTTTTAAGCCTAGCCTTAAAAGTAGACAGGGTGTCTTCCTCACGGACTAAAACTGGTAGTTGGTTCCACAGGAGAGGAGCCTGAGAACTAAAAGATGTGCCTCCCATTCTACTTTTAGAAATTCTAGGAACCACTAGTAAACCTGCAGATTGAGAGCGAAGTGCTCTGTTAGGAACATAAGGAACAATCAGATCTCTGATATCAGATGGAGCTTGGCCATTTAAGGCTTTATATGTGAGAAGGAGGATTTTAAATTCTATTCTGGATTTAACAGGAAGCCAATGAAGAGAAGCCAGGATAGGAGAGATATGATCTCTCTTTTTCATTTTCATCAGAACTCTGGCTGCAGCATTTTGGATCAGCTGAAGGCTTTTAACTACAGTTTGTGGACTTCCTGATAGTAAAGAATTACAATAGTCCGGCCTTGAAGTAACAAATGCCTGGACTAGTTTCTCAGCATCACCCCTGGACAGGAGATTTCTAATTTTTGCAATATTCCACAGATGAAAGAAGGAAATTCTAGAAACCTCTTTGATATGGGATTTAAATGACAGGTCCTGATCAAATATATCACCAAGATTTTTTACTTTATTTTCTGAGATCAGTTTAATCCCATCCAAATGAAGTGACTGGCTAATCAGCTTCTTTTTCAAAGACTCTGGTCCAAAGACTATAACTTCTGTTTCGCCTGCATTCAGGAGCGGAAAGTTTACTTTCATCTGAATACAGGACTTAAGACCATCCATCCATTATCTGACACGCTTGTCCCAATTGGTGTCTATCTCCAGCAGTCAACGGGCGAGAGGCAGGGTCCACCCTGGACAGGTTGCCAGTCCATCGCAGGGCAACACGTAGACAAACAGGACAAACAACCATTCCCGCACACACTCACACCTAAGGAGAATCTAGAGAAGCTAATTAACCTAACATTCATGTTTTTGGACTGTGGGAGGAAGCCAGAGTACCTGGAGAGAACCCACACATGCCCGGGGAGAACATGCAAACTCCTGGTTTTTCTGGTTTTGGTGGTTTTTCTCCCTGCACTTATCTAAAATCTAAACAGGGTGCCTTCAGAAAGTGCCTTCCTCAATGAAACCGTCAGCGTTTGAGTCAGCTCACCTCCTGCTCCCTCAGCCTCTGTGCCAGATCTCCAGCCGGATCGTTTCGGCTCAGTGGCGTTCTCAGACGGCTCAGCATGCTCTCCTCTATGCTGGCCAGGTCTGCGTCCAGCTGGTCCAGCTGCTGGCCCAGAGCGGCTAATCTTGGGTCTGGGGAGTCTGAGGAAATCAGAGGGGATTGGGGAAAAGGGGATTGATGCGAGTGTTTGTATCTGTGGAACCTGAGACATTGATGACTGAGTCTAAATCTCAATATGATGGTAAAGAAGTGAAAGACAAATACCTGACTGTTGAGCTCCGGAGAAATTTGATCTGTGGTTATCCAGGGACGCTACCAGAGCTTCTCTCCTTTTCTTGATATCTTCCAGGTCATTGCACAAACTGATAAGACACACAAACGGAGCGGAGGCGTGAGTAGGATACATTTTCAACTATCAAAACTGTTCTTTAAATAAAAATGCAGCCTTGCAGTGCTTACAGGCCAACTTTATCAATGGCATCTGGGTCAGGAGGTAAGATCTGGAAGCAAACTCCTGGGAAAGTTTTAGTTTCTCCATCAGCGGAGATAACATCCCAGTTGAGATCACCAGAGAGGGATTTCAGAGTAAACGTTTCCCCTCTTGATGTTGAAGCCTAAAGACAAAAAAATATAAAGTAAATCAGACTAAAAAGATACAGAAAGAGTCTGATGGATGCAGCCTTCAGCCCAGTGAAATGGAGGATCCACCTGGTCTGTTTCCCAGTCACAAACAGACTCCACTGTTAAGGGTTCCGGGGAGGAGATTCGACGCAGTTTCAGAGGAGAGATGGTTGAACTTCGTATCTTCAGGTCACTCAGCTGTTCTTCACAGTCCTGCACAATTGCTTCCTCTCCCTGGTGGGAAGCAAAACCAGTGAAGTTGGTAAAGATTGGGATTAGCCACTGAAGTTGCTATGGAAATATGAGGAAAGGAGGAGTTTAGCTCTCCATCTCCTCAGCAAACAAAGCATTATGGATTTTCATCATAGGTCTATGGATGACAGTTTTTTTTTTCTAAAGCCTCATAAAGGGTTAATCATTTTTTCATTTGTAGACATTTTCAGAAAATATAAAGATAAGTAATTTGTCAACAGGAAATAAATGGGTGTTTTTAGAGTTCCTTGGTGTATCTGATTACCTGATCCTGACCTGTTCTGCCTCTGAACCACCAAGCCTGCCTGTTCCCATTCTGATCTGTTTGCCTGACCTAGCTTAGGACTCCTGGATGACTGAGCCTGCCTGTTCCCATTCTGATCTGTTTGCCTGACCTGGCTTAGGACTCCTGGATGACTGAGCCTGCCTGTTCCCATTCGGATCTGTTTGCCTGACCTGGCTTAGGACTCCTGGATGACTGAGCCTGCCTGTTCCCATTCTGATCTGTTTGCCTGACCTGGCTTAGGACTCCTGGATGACTGAGCCTGCCTGTTCCCATTCTGATCTGTTTGCCTGACCTGGCTTAGGACTCCTGGATGACTGAGCCTGCCTGTTCCCATTCTGATCTGTTTGCCTGACCTGGCTTAGGACTCCTGGACGACTGAGCCTGCCTGTTCCCATTCTGATCTGTTTGCCTGACCTGGCTTAGGACTCCTGGATGACTGAGCCTGCCTGTTCCTGTTCTGATCTGTTTGCCTGACCTGGCTTAGGACTCCTGGATGACTGAGCCTGCCTGTTCCTGTTCTGATCTGTTTGCCTGACCTGGCTTAGGACTCCTGGATGACTGAGCCTGCCTGTTCCTGTTCTGATCTGTTTGCCTGACCTGGCTTAGGACTCCTGGATGACTGAGCCTGCCTGTTCCCATTCTGATCTGTTTGCCTGACCTGGCTTAGGACTCCTGGATGACTGAGCCTGCCTGTTCCTGTTCTGATCTGTTTGCCTGACCTGGCTTAGGACTCCTGGATGACTGAGCCTGCCTGTTCCCATTCTGATCTGTTTGCCTGACCTGGCTTAGGACTCCTGGATGACTGAGCCTGCCTGTTCCCATTCTGATCTGTTTGCCTGACCTGGCTTGGATACCCTAGCCGCTGCTACTCCAACCTGTTTTTAAATAAACCTTTTTGAGTAATCCCACTGTCTGTCTAGCCTGAATACTGGGTCCTCTATTCTGATATCCTGTCTTACTGTGAGCTTTTATAACTCCTTACACTCCCAGGCTGAACACTAGACCGATGCTTAAATATTTCTTGCTAAGTTACTGGATTTCTTCTAGTACCTTGTTTTTTATCTCACCTCCAGCTGCAGAAGCGTCCTTGACTGACTGTTCTTACTGACCGACTTTGGGTCCAGGGTTCTTCTGAGTTGAGTCAGTGTCTCTGACAGCTGCTCTGTGTCTGTTTTGAACTGAAAAAAGGTTGAGACATGTTCATGTTATTGTTTGAAATCATCTAAGCATGTTTTACTACTAGATCATGCCAGTAGCATCACATCTTCCAGTTGTTTCACTAACTACCTTTTTGAATTCATCGACATTGTCCAGATGGGTTTCCTGACAAATGCAGAGATTAAGGAACTTCTGCCACTCGTTCCTTACAGCCTCAGAATGGGTCTAAAAGTAAAGACACATTATTATTATGATTATTATTATTACCCATTCAGCATTGGGCTGGATGAAATCTGAAGGCTGATTTAAGTACCTGTATTATTTCACTGGCTGGGTGGTTCAGTTCGATGAGTCGGTTACCTTCGTCCTGGAGTCTGATCACTTCACTCTCATGGATCAAAAGACCATCGTTTTTAAAATTCTGATTGCGAGGAAATCAAGCACTCGTTATAATCAAATGTAAATGTAGTTTTCAAACCCACAGCTCCCCATGGTGATGTATAACACACATCCCTTGTCATGTCATAAACATAATCTCCAGCTTGTTTTTTAAGACTTCAGCTATTATCTGATTTCTTATATATCGAAAAGCCACGTAAAACAGAATAAAGTGAGATTAAAATCAATATTGTTGCTCCACATCCCATCAGTTCTGACCTCATACTGCCTACGAAGATGCGGTGGATCCACCATATGGTCGCTCCAGTCCTGCTTTGTGATCTTGTCCTGCTCTTCTTTAAAGAAGTTCAGTTCCTTCATGCAGCCCTGCATGTACTCGTAGAGGCTGTTCAGGTAGTGGCGGCGCCACTTGGAGTTGTCCTTGGAGACAAAGTCAAGATAACAAGAGTGAAAACTAAAATGTGTAAACATTTTCTTTCCTATTTCCCCTTTTAATAATAAAAAATAAATAAAAAAGCAGACCAGAATGTTTAAAGAAAAATGTATCACCTCAACGTAAAATATATAAAAAAAAAGGAAAACAAACTTACAAGCAGGTTGCTATATTGTTTCTTAAAGATGGCATATTTCTCCTGAAAGACAAGGCAGTGACATATCCTGTTGGTTAAATATATTCACACTCTTTGAACTTTTTTCACATTTTTTCCCAATGGAAAGTTATGGAGAAGCTTGAGCTGAGGTTATGCGCAGAGACAAGGTGAGGAGTCTATGGTAACTCTGGAGAAACAGCAGAGATCCACAGTTCAAGTGGGAAATTGTCGTAATGCATGTCACAAATCTGTTGTTAAAGACAATCTTAAGAATTCTATTCTGCAGGTTTTCACACACTATGTAGGGAATATTCCGGTGCTAAATTGGTCCAGTCCAAGACCTAAATCCACTGGAGAAACTGTTGAAAGACTTGACCATTTTCTCTATACTCTCGCTGTAATCTAACTGATTTTAGTTTAACAAAAAATATATTATTCTGAATACTTTAGCCTCTATTTCTATTTCAATAATATCATGATGAGTAGTACGTTGCGTTGGTATCACACAGATTTTGCGGCCTTTATGCTGCAAAATTTGAAAAGATTTCGGAATTGCAGATGTTAAGTTGTGAGTTATGAAGGCTAAGATGCTTAAGTGACTATTTTACAATCTGAAACCAGGGCTGACATATGGGAGTCAGATGTCAGAAGTTAGACGTGTATTCCTCAACAGCCGCTAAATGGATTGCCTGGGAATTTTGTTCAGGATAATCCACAGCAGACTTAGCCCCTAAACCCCAGAGGAACTTAGGAGCAAATTCCGCCTGATATTACATATATGAATTAAAGCAAGTACAGCTCCCAAACTATTAATTGGAAATACAATTGTTTGTATTTTTATAACAGAAAGGCTTTGAGGAATATTTTTCTGGTGGAACCACTATTTTTAATTTCACCATGTCTGATTTATAGGTGATTAAACAAAGAAAAAATGAAAAGTAAATCTAGCCTCACCATTTTTTTCCCCCAAAACAAACACTGCAAAACACCATGAAAGCCCATTTGAAACTCTGGATGAACCTCAGACTTTATAGATCCACATCTTAACTATAACTCAAGCAAAATTGGACTGAATAATTTGAAGCCTGTTTTTTCCACAAATGTTTTAGTGGGCAGTGAGCAAGGCGGAAATGTGATTTTGCACAATGCCAAAAATGCATTTTTCTCACTCATAGAAGGGAATCTGGTCAGACAAATATGCTGATTTACTTTATCGGAGACCTTCTACATGAGGCAAAGCCTTTGCTCCAAACATTTAGCCGTTGTTTCATTGAAATTTACCAAAAATATCACCTAACTGAATAGAAAAGAAGAATAAAAGAGTAAGTTTATGTAACGCATGCCTGACACATCACCTGAAATGGGCGCACAATTACCTCTGACCCCTCCTTGGGCCATTATGGGCTGAAAATTAATACCTGTTGTTGCATTACCTGTTGTTGCATTACTCCCGCAGAGTCACACATGTCAGGTGGAATTTTAAATGACATTTTATTTGTTTACAGAGCAATAAAACAAAAAGTACTTGTGAAAACATAAGTTTGATACACATTTTAAACATTGTAAAGCCTCATTTGAAAGATGTGTGGATGAAACACCATGTGACTGTGTTATGGCCATTTCTATAAATAAATTAATATGATCAGGTGTGAGTTGGGCCCTGTAACGGGCCCGCAGGGTTTAAAGGATTAAAAATCTTGGACCTGTTAAACGGGGCCAAGGAGTTAAAGGGGCGGGACTTAGCTCACTTGATAACAGCAAAATCCATGCATTTCAAAATCTTGCCAAACCTTTTGTTTTGAGTAGAAGGATTTCTGACCTTGCTGCCAGATGAGCTGACACAAAGCTGGGAGCTGTAAGCTTTGATCTCTTTATGAAAGATGTTGTGAGCGCCGATCTGCTTCTCCAGTTCCACCATGGTTGGACCATAGTCCTCCGCATCCAACTGTTTCTGAAAGCAAAGGCAATAGAACACCTCAGCTGCTAAAACTTTGTCCAAACGATCTGTTATCGTGATGCCAGCTTCTTTAAACCATCAAGCTCTGGTGTTTGAGGGGATTCCCTTGTAATCTGCTCAGACTGTGTTTCTGCACTTACTTGCTTCTGATTCAAAATGGGCCCCCAGTTAATTCTGGGCAGCAATGACACATCGTCTATCTGGTCATAGACGTCTCTGTAGAAGGAACAGTCCTTCAACCATCGCTCGTGAAGGTGGATGATGCTGGGAATTTATTGAAACAGGAAACTGTCAATTAGACTATGGAAGTTAACCTTATTTTTGCTATAAATGCTTTGTTATAAGCTTGTAAATCTCTATAACTGCCAGGAAGCAAGAAAAATAAGCAACATATTTCTCATAATTAAATGGTGAGTGACCATGCTTTTTGTGTGTTTTTTCTTTGGCCTCACTCTCTCTTAATCTCTTTGGCCTGCGGGTGTTTGAGCTTCTTGGCCTTATCAACGTCAAGAAAAAGGTCTTTGAGCAGGTTCTCTGCCTGGGACAGTTTGGTCGATATCTGACTTTGATGCTGGAAGGGGAGATCTCTCTTTTCATTTTCAGCATCCTGGTAAAAGAACATAACAGAAAACAAGATGGTTTATATTTGGGCATTTCATTCATAGATCATGGTATCAACAATGGCATGCCTAGAAAAGTTCTCAGATTTTATGATCAAACAGAGGTCATGGGTCAAAATCCCTACATGTTGGGCTTCACTAACATTTATACTGTTCATCAAAGGGTTGGACTGATGCATTTTCTTGGGTGAGGAGTTTAAACTCAGGAGGGTTAAATCAGTTGTATTCTACTTTGTTTCTTGGATTCCATAAAGACAGAAAACACTTTGGACAATGGCCATTAAGGACCACGTCTGGGAACTCTGAGTAAGACCCGTTGGAAGGAGAATTGTGTGTGGTTTTCTGGGAATTGTGCACTTACTTGTTCACTTACAAACGTACTGTAGGCATTAAATGAACAAGTTTGCTGAGCTTTTTCTATATAATAATCATGTTTTCATAAATTCTATTTAATACAGCTCAACAGGCAGAAGTCCAGACCCAATGATAAGTCAGAGTCAAAACCAAACAGAAAATGTAAAACATTTCCAGCAAATGTTGAATCTTTAATGAATATCTGCTCATAGTTTTACAGCCTTTATTGGTAAATCTGCCGGATGACATCATGCATGTCTTTCTGCTGATCTCCAATGATCTCGTGATGGGCTGTGTTAAGTCTAAACATCAGATCTCTAAATATTTCTATTTGAAACAAAGGGAGGGCTAGAAAACAAAATCTTAACATCATAGATGGAGCAACCAGATTGATGATATGCATCGATACAGGGAAATGGATATGTGGTAGTGCATGCTCTTATTCTCACCACAGCCAGCATCTCTTCTGACTTCAGGATGTCCTTCTCTACCTGGTCGGCATTGGTTTGCATCTTGGCGATCAGCAGAGCCAAGTTGCTGGCCTGGGACCTGCAGGGAGGAGGTCACAGGTTCAGATGAAAACTATAATTTAGATGGTTCAGTCTTGGTCCATTTTAAAACTCCAGAATCATCTGTCTGATAAACAGTCCATCAAGTCAAACTAACAAGGTATTCTTAAAAGGCCATGATTGTGGCAAATCATGATTTGCCAAAAATCGTGGCAAATTACAGACTTACATTCATGCAGATGAAAGGAGGTTCATTCAGTATCTTTGAGGCAACAGTAGAGTCGGACTACCCATGCAAGATGCCATGGGTAGTCTTCAAAAACCCTAAAATGGCATCAAGGGACCTAAACTAAGCTCATATCAGACGATGGGTGTTAACCTGCTGCAAAACAAAGCAGAGACAGGACTCCCACAATTTACTTATGTAGGAGTCCTACCAGTGACTCTGCCAAAAACATAACCAAGGTGGAGACATTCACTACCAGGATAGAATTAAGAGTCCATGAATGCAGTCTAGAGAGAAGTAGAATCAATCAAAGACATTACTTCAAAGCTAGGACAAGGTAGTGATTCCGTACAACTAATCCATTCCATGTGACTCTCCTTCCATCAACCATCTTTGAGGTAAAACCCCTGTCTCACCAATTGTTGTTGGTGTCCCAGCCCTTATTTTCAGGGGTAAAGAGTTCGGAAGCCTTGCAGCTGCAATTCAGGACCCTTGAGGCCTGAGGGAGAGGCTCTTGGACTATCTTGATCCCTTAGATGGAGACCTCATGTACTGGAGTACTGGGCAGGTAATTACTGGAAGCTAAGATGTAAGCCAGGAAGCAAGCTTGGGATGTACTGGAGCAGATTCTCACTCACTCTGGTGGAATAGGTGCAAGGCATTGGCTCAGAGGGTGCTTGCATGATATGGTTTTGATTTTAGTAACCTTGACATGGTGGTCAGCTCCGGGGATATGAAGAGGAACTGTTGTGCCTTGGGTGACGTTTCGAAGACGAAACCTCTCCTTGGGTTTAATGCAGCCACAACTTTCTGGACTCTAGCACCACAGCTTGTTCCTATTTACACGGTGTATGTTTTATACCCTCATATTCATCTGCTCATGTTGCCACCGTAAAATGTTAGCAGGTATGGAGACCAGCCAGAAGGCCTCTACTGAGAACCTCTGCAGTGTATTCAGATTGCGTGCTCAAATCAATGAATAACTTCTCCATCTACACACCAGTAGGGGCAAAGATTATGGCTGTCTACCATTGACTCCCCTCTTTGTGTTGAGAGCCAAAAGTTGTCTTCAATTTCATCTGTCCTGAACTCTAAGATGGTAAATGTGGTTGGAAAATTTAAATTTCTCTTATTTAATAAATTGATGCAAAGTGTCTGTAATTTGTTTCTGACTACTTTCCATTATTGTAAGTAAGGAGGAACGAACACCGCCCAGATCAGAACAGGGCTGATTACCGTGCAATAAGGGCCATAGGATGAACTGTTCTCTCTTTGCAAAGAAAAAAATAAAGTGCCGACTGAGTGAAACCCATCAATCTCAATTTATTTAGCTGGAGTGGATAGTTTAATACTTGCTTTTCTCCACAACAGTAAACCAAGTGACTGTTTGCTTCTGCCAACCTGTACCTTTGGACTTTGTCACAATCTTTATGTTTCCTGGGTCAAAACTCTGTCCACATCATGATTTTTGTCTTCCCAAGACTTCATCCACCCATTGATGGGGGCCTTGCCAATAAAGTCAGATGCCTGTATGATTCTAGAAGCTGGGGTCAAGGTTTTCACCTCCTGATTAACTAGGGGGATACAGACCAAGGTAGAGCTCATGCACTAGCTTGGTACATCATGCACAGACCTTTCATCAAGGAGTTTTATTGTTCTCATCTGAAACAACTTGGGGGTCCTTCAGTAGCTTAACAAAAGGAAGGGCACTTTAAATGTGCACTTTTTAAGCATGTAATGGCTGTGATTTAACTAGGATTTCATGTCTCCCTGTTATTCCTGCCACATTTCTTTGCTTCAATCAACCCTATTCAGCTAACCTGTCCTATGTCTTATTGTCTTTCATTATGCAGCACTTTATAAAATCTTTGTCTCTCTGTCTCTCTGTGCCAGTAGAAAACTAGCCTTCCTTCCCTGCTCTTTTTTTTCTCCTAAAGATTGTCTTGATTAAGGCCCGTAGATCAGGTATAACCAAAATCGGTCCTCAAGGGACCGCTGTCCTGCAGGTTTGTGGAACTTTCCCGCTACTCCACCGCCGATTCTTATTGATTGTTGATTAACAGGCCTCGAGGACCGACTTTGGGCATGCCTTCCTTAGATTATTTCCTACTTGCTGAATTTCTCTTGATACCTGGACACCAACACCCACTTGAATTTCTGACAGTAGTTCTCTACCTGATCTCTCTGCTAAGTATATTTAAATTTGTCTCCTTATGAAGACCATTGCCAATTTATTGACAAAGAAATAGAAGTTTGAATTAAGATTTGAATTGTTACAATTTATTTTGACTGTGATGCCTTTGGTGTAACGTTGTATAGACTTAAGAGGATTGCTAAAAGGGTTTGTCTGCTTTGACACCCTCTCTCCAAACCTTCAGGCTGTTTTCCTTTGTTCCTTTCATTATCACTTCTTTGCATTGCTTTTAGACGATACCTCACCTGTACATCCACTAATATTTTCTATGACGTCAAATTAGGGAAACAGGAGTCTATAGCAATTCCCCAGGAGTGCTTTAGTCTTTTATAGTTAATTATATCTACTTGGTTTAATTCCCCTTCTCACTCATAGTGTTGCATTCAGGAAAATATTATGAAAGCATATGAACATTGTTTTCAGGTGGACCTGTAAGTGTTGCATGTAAAGGAAAGCTTTTTTGCATATGGCAAAAGATAAGCATTTAGATTCACGTCTATGACGCTGTGTTGAGCAGAAACATCAAAGGCTAAAGTTAGAGAAAAGAAACACACCCATATTTCTTATTTACTCTCACTTATATCACCACAATTTGCCCCCTGACCCACCCTGTGGGAGGTTTCTTTTGTCGATGTTGCATTATAATGATTGAGTTTATATCCGCTCAGGCTTTTTTATCTTTGTCTAAAACAGTCTGCTCTGCTTTAAATATTTGAATTGTTGGATTAACCAGCAACATAAGAACACTTTCTAAAATGCTTACATTGGTGTTTAATTGTGCGTGAGATTGGCAGAAAGTTATAGGTCTGTGGGTGTGTTCTTGTAGTTGTTATGGAGGGGGCTGCTTTTAAAAATCAAATTTCACCTCAACTCAACAATGTTTTCCAATAAACTACCTGTCCTAGATGGAGTGATATAAGAGCAGCTAAAGGTAATGATCCAGAGACCAGCTCCACCTCGCCTCCTACCTGCTCACCCTTACAGTAATCTTAGCTGAAGTCTTTGTACCAGAACACTTGTTCATCATGTAGGGAGTTTCCTGAGAGCAAAAACAGTATATGCAGTGACTCACACCATGTCCAAATAACATTAGCACACACAACACACAGAACTCCCCTCCACTTGATACGTATGATAATGATACGTAAAATAAGCAGCAAGAAGCACATAACAAGCAATAAAAACACTAACAGTGTTGACAGTTAACGCGATTATATAATGAGTCGTATGATGGAACCTTGGATGAGTCAAGTGATCAGTTACAGACGCTTCATCCCGTATAGAACAGCAGACAGTAGATGCAGGTAAGAGACACAGGGGAAGGAAATCATACAGGTTTTTTTTTTCTTTTTTCAAATCAGACAAGAACAATGTTTTCTTCAAAATAACCCCATCTATTTTGGTATTTAATGCAAACCACAAGCAAAATCATTACAATTTATTGTGGAGACAGTTCAGGCTCTCACTAGCGGACTACAGAGTCAACACACTTTTGCATTTGAGATCTATCTATCTATCTATATATATATATATATATATATATATATATATATATATATATATATATATATATATATATATATATATATATATATATATATATATATATATATATATATATGTTTTTATTGGTTATAGTTTTAGATGTTAAATTATTTCTGCTTTGAAATGACATTAGCAACCCAAAAGACAAAACGCCAAGGGGACCAATTAATAAAATAGGAAATCAAATCTTACTACCCATTAAGATAAATAAAGTCTTTGAGAAGACAGAATTTTAACCCCAACTATCATAGCTGACCAGATACTTTACAATTTTCAATTTCCATTGGTGTTGTTGGGGAGCATTATTCAGAGACTGAAGTTTAAAGATCTCTGCACCATCACCCTAATCTTTTGGTCACTGCACAGATTTTCAATCAGATGTAAGCAGGGACTCCTGCTTTGCTGATCTAAAACATTAATATTATTGTTAAAGGACACAAATTGGACAAAAAAAGCCATTTTAAATTTAAATTCCCCAAAGAAAACCTTGGACTTATAATAAAACATGCTCTCTCTGACTCACTTTAAGGATCTGCAAAGTCAGATAAGAAACATAATGATTTAAAAAATGTTCTACTTATTAATAACATTTTTCGTACCGCTTGATCTCCTAATATATACACACAGGCACTAAAGTAACTTCACACTAAATTCATTGTTGCAGGCTTTTTTAACCTTCTTTATTCAGCTGGAGATGAGGCATGGTTTGAACAGTTTAGAACCAGCTGCACATTCAGGAAACATGAAACACATTCCGATTCTGGAAAAGCAGTCGGAAACCAGGATACATGTATATCAGACATTTCTGCATGGATAAATAATTATTTAGAAGAAAAACTCACTTGCTGATCTTGCTTGAGCTCTTTGGGGAGCCGTCTTTGGTCTCCTTCAGCTTTGACATTGTGGAAATCCCACATTAACGTCTCCCTCTCAGTTGCAAACTTCCTTTGTCTCCGTCTTTTTCACTGAGTCCTTCTTTATCGCTCCTCTCTCTGTGGTCCTTCTTAAACAGACACAAACACTCTGACATATGAGCCAGTATGGCTCCAAACACTGCTGACTCCTCCCAGACAGGGTAACAGGTGTGTTAACACCCAGATATCCTCCTTGTGGAGGAAGACCAGACTGACCTGTTCTCCGCACTGTCCTTCTGTTTCTCCTGCTCTTTGTTTACCCTTCATAGGGGTCCATGCTAACCGTAGACTACTTACCAACCTTTACCTTTTTAGGAAACAAAGAAATGAATTAAGTCAAATTCTTTGACACTTCTCTACTGTAAGCCTTACTTACTGTGCAGCTCTGGAACTACAGATAGGTTGTTAATATTACTAGCAATACTACAACACATCTCAGTAGAAGCAGTCACTTTATAAAAAGGCTATCCCTGATCTGAGGGGCGGCCTAATTCTGATAAAAATAAATAAAAATGTTTCTATTGTTTTAAATTCAATTCAGTTCATTTATATAGCGCCAATTGAATGCAAATGAAGGCACTTTACGTTTCACACTTAGCATGCTTGTGGCGACGGTGGAGAGAAAAAAAACTCTTTTAACAGGAAGAAACCTCCAGCAGAATCAGGCTGAGTGTGAGCGGCCATCTGCTGAGGCCCACTGGGGTTCAAGGAGACAGAAGCAGAGATACAGAAATAAGCAGAGATACAAAAGGCAACTATAAACCAGTTCCAAAGGCAGCCAGTCAGATGACCTCTGAGCCAGCTCCCATGTCAGAGGATGAAGAGACCACATCTAGCCTGTCAGTCACAGAAACAGGACTACACTGGAAAACAAGGGGAGCTTGAACATCTATAAACAAAGTTGGTGGCAGCAGCACAGCTGATATTTCTCTCCAGGATGGAGTCACAGCCAAACAGGAACAGACCAGATGAAGCTACTATGAGAAAAAGCAGAGAGAGCAGAACGTTAGAGATTGAACTAACAGATTCTGCAGAGTGGGAGAATAGAGATAGAATGAAGCAGAATGATGAAAAAGGGGTCCCTATGTCCTCCAGCAGTCTAAGCCTATAGCAGCAGAACTATAGAGATAGCTCTGGATAACCTGAGCAATTTTTTTGATAAACTGTAAGCTTTATCAAAAAATAGATAGGATGGACCAATTTTGTTGTTTCAAGAGATAGGCTTCTCCTTTGCTTCCCAAAGCACATAAGTGATTATCGCTTATATGCTTTGGGTTTTGTGCAACTTAGAGCTTTTCCATTGCCTCTCAAAATCCTGGGAATATGAAGTCAGTATTCTGCCAAAGGGGCACAAGCCAACAAATACTCATTTGATCTCAGAAGATCTCCTCGGAACCCTGTTCACCCTCCTCCCTAATGCCAATCCACTTTACCCTTCCTCCTCTTTACCAAACCTGGATCGGTCTGTGACTCCTGAGGCACAGACCAGATATTTCCCCCCTGGCGGTTCACCTCAGCCGCACCAGTAAGTAAACCAACAATAACTCCTGCACCACCTTCAGGGCACCAGCACTAACCTGTTCTGTCTTTTGCATACAGTGGATGTCAAACCCCAGTTTCCAGTTCCTGTTTACCTGTTAATATTTTATATTAAACCTTTAAAACTTTATCTGCCTCCTGTGAATGTTCTGCATGTGGGTTATAGTAATCCTTAGAAACAAGACTGTTTTCATACTTTAATTTGTCACAGAAAAAAGTTTTAAGATTGTTGCAGTTATCAGTTCATGAATAATAAGCCTACTTTTTAATCTGTCTCTGAACTTCCAGAGCGGTAGATTTGCGTGCTGTCGCGCTGCTCATTCAGCCATGTTCTGGAGTGAGATCGGTCCTCTGAACGCTGCAGTAATGTTGAACAGTCAGTCCATCAATTCCTGATGATTACTTTGTCACTAAAAGTATTTTTAAGTTTTCTTTCAGCAACAAAGTACACCTTTGTGCTTTACAGGGCAACAAAGCTGAGCTCCTCCAACTGGTGTTTGCTCAACTTTAGGTGAGACAAAAGTGTGAAAAAAGTAAACAACATTAAAGTAAAGAGAGATATTTGAACAACTGAATCATTGATTGTCTTTAGTGGACCATTTTCAATCATTTCTTTTTTCTTAAGGCGACTTCGGGTTCATAAAATGTAGGTTGTTGCTTAAGAAGAACTGAAATACACAATTTATGGATACAATTTCTGCAGAAAGGAGAGACAGTTGAACCCCAGACTGAACAGAACATGACACATGGTTACAAGCAGAGTATTGTTCTGACAGAACAATTGATCAGTTCATGAAGACAGAATGCTCCATCAGAATGACGAGGCAGGATGATCTCCTGACTGAATCATGGCACAGGAGTGGAGCATCCCCTCGCACAAATGTTTCATAAACACACATTAATTTTATAATCACATAAAATAAACCTAACAGCAACGTAGATACCAGTGAATGCTAGCACAATTTGTTTTTTGTTTCACTGTCATCTCTGAAGAACATCTAGAAGTTTCTCTCTTACAGCATCCCCAACTACCCCCCCATCCCCCACTCCCACTCCGCCGATGTTTCCTTTTTAGGCTGGTATGGTGATACGAGCCCGTATGTTTAACTGTGTTTATAATGTATACATTGTGCATTTGCAGTTAGCAATCAGTCACCTATGAAACAGGGCGTCACGTAATCTGAACAACAATCAAGGTCTTCAAGCATTATGTTCCTGTCGTTAACGTGCAAGGGCAATGCTTCTTTATTCTTGTGGTATTTGGATACTACTTGGTCAACCTCAGCTTTATTCTAATACCAGGCTGCCTAGATGTCCCACACCTCTAATATTTTGAGTTTTTGATACTTTTCACTAGGTACGCTGTTATGTAATAAGATCAATGTCAGTTACTTCGCATTGCTCTCACTGCTGTGTGTGTAAGGATAGCTGATAAAGATTGTTCCACAGTGGAAAAAAAGTGGGTGTGACTGTGGAAAAAAAATAAGTAGACAGAAAACAGAAGACACACATGACACTAAACAATATGTAAAGAACAGGTGATCTAAGGAAATGGAAGCATAGATGGTATTTAATCATAAATATATTTAAACAATATACATCTTGTCTGACCCTTCAACATGTTCCCATTCACCAAGTTTCTTCAAAATAACAGAAATGTGTTTGTAGACGGTTGAGGTCACTCAGATCATTTACTTCTAGGAACACTCTCGCTTAGATCCGGGGTATCCCGCAGTATTTTCAGCTAATGTGGTCTATTTAATTTAATTCTATTCTATTTTTATTGCGCCAATTCTCAACAAATGTCATCTCAGGGAACTTTAAGGTTTACCACATAATCCAGTCAGATTGATTCAGTTTTCTATCTAAGGAAAACCAATTGATTGCATCGACTCATTGACTCGAAGGCAATCCCTCACACTAAGCATACATGTAGTGACAGTGGAGAGGAAAAACTCCCTTTGAACAGGAAGAAACCTCCAGCAGAACCAGGCTCAGTGTGAGCGGCCATCTGCTGAGGCCGTCTGGGGTTCAAGAAGACAGAATCAGACATAGAAAAAGCAGCTGTAAAAGGCGACCCCGTCCAGGAAACACACTGACAGGCTGACGAGCTCCGAGCCAGCTCCCATGTCAGAGGATGAAGAGAGCACATCCAGTTAGTCACAGTCAGAGAAACAGGACTACACTGGAAAACAGGCCAATGTCGAACATGTATAAACAAAGTCTATATAAAATACTCTCAGAAATGTAGGTGTATTTAGCTTTTAGAATAACAACAGCACCTAAAATGCAGACTAACCTTTGCAGGTGAACTTATTTTGACCTTCTTCAAACCTTGAAATGCATGTTTTGAATGCAACTGGATGAGTCTAAACTTTCGGCTTCTGAATGCACCCAAAACAGAAGTTATAGTCTTTTGAACCGGAGTAACGGATTAGTCAGTCAATGCATCTGAAGACTGTTCTATCTGCCCAGAGAATTTATCATGGTTAGCATCACTGCTGTTTATATCCTTCTCAGTGCTAATACAAAGAGGCCAAGAAGATTCTTTACCAGGTTATCTCTGAGCTTCAGTCTGCTCACACAGAGGGCATTTTCATTATTGCTGGGGATTTTAATCAGGCTAATTTAAAGCCATGAAATCTCATTGAGATGATGTTTTGTGAATTGTAGCTATTTAACAAACTGAATTAAATTTAAATTTTCTGAAACACTTATCTATTCATCAATGCGTTCTATATTATTTGGTTAAACCCTGTAAATAGGTGAAGGAATTATGTATCTCTAATTACAAAGGAGCTTCTTAGATTATTCTCACTTATACATCCTTCTGTTCTCCCCAATGATACATACTAACTAGCTCTAAAAAGAGCGGGAATTTTGTATTTTCCATCTTAAATCTTAGTTTATTGTAATGAATCATATATGGTTCATATATTAATAACTAAAATGTTACTTTAGGACATTCCACTTTAGAGTATGACTGCTGCCACCTTCTGGTTTAGATGGGAACTGCTTCCCATGGGAAAAGCCAATCACCTGGTAGGGGTGGCCACAGCTCTTCCCCTGCTGTTAAGTGTGTATAGTCAATATAAAACTGCTCTATCAATTGTGCTGTGAAAAAAAAAACAATATCTCCTGAATAATGTTATTAATTCAGTTCACTGAACCACTGCAGAACCAAAGCAGCTTTGTTGGATTTGCATGGACGACAATGCAAATGCAAAAACTCTTGGACGGGTTGACTATGAATGATTGTAGTTGAATATTAATCAAAGTTCCATCAGTCTCACTAGCTACAGTAGGTACTATCTATATCAAGTTTATCAAGAATCAGCCTGAAATTACACTTAGAATGACATTTACAGTCTTCATTTCTGTTTATTGTAATGATATTCTGCTAAAAGCCACATTGATTTATAGTTATTAATAGAAAAGTTGGTTTCTTTCTCCAACCCCAGCTTGTCCGAATTCTTCCTTCTCAGATTTGTTTTGATGTCTCTAGTGGCAGACATGGATTTCTTAAACACACTGATAAAGTTACTTATTTTTGTAGGTTGAAGGAGATTTAGTAGTAAATGGTACAATGTGAACACATCATATTTGATTTTGTACTAAGGATTCCATATGCAGACTTCTCAGAATACAATAAGCACAGGAGCTTGTGGACAAGTGCCAGTTCCTAATCTACCACCAGCTCCTTGGTTGCTGATTTTCACAGATGCAGACTCACTTCACAGACGCCTTAAAAAAATCTATGAACTGATGCTGAGATCTTGGTCTTTTACTAAGAAATAACCTCGACTGGAGTCACAACTATATGCTCTTTACATGAAGGGGGTCAAGAGACTCTACCTTTTGAGGAGACTGAGATTTTTTTCCTTTATGGTTAAAATGTCAGACAAGAGACGTATTAATTCCTGATACTCAAGTGGTTAACTAAACTTGTTCATATTTATAGCCATTAAGTAGTCTATTCTAAAAAATAAACTGAAATGAATTCGGTTTCCTTGAACCCCAGTCGGCCTCAGCAGATGGCCACTCACACCGAGCCTCGTTCTGCTGGAGGTTTCTTCCTGTTAATATGGAGTTTTTCCTCTCCACTGTCACTACAAGCATGCTTAGTGTGAGGGATTGCTGAAGAGTCAATGAGTCGATGCAATCAGCTGGTCTTCCTTAGATAGAAAACTTTGAATCAACATTCATCTTTACCAAACTGAGCTTATTTACTCAGTAAGGAAGTTGAAATGTTAAAATATATGGTACAGAAAATAAAGTCGTTGTGCTCCTGAACCATCATAACTTAATTTTATTGTTGTTTAATTCATCACAAAGTATCAAACAGTCAAAAATGGTTCAAAGTCAGCAATGAGTTACATAAATTCGTTGTATCTTAGCAGATGGTATTGCACCATTTCCCAAAATCCCAAGCAAATGCAATATCAAAAAAGCTAAAATTTATGTTTTTCAATTAAATCATACAGAAGTAACCAAAAACAAATATACCCACACAATACATTTAGTAAACAAAGGTAACTCAGCAGCAATTATTTTGGTATGGCAAAATATGCGGACTGTAAAATTCATCCTGTTGTAAAAATAGATGAATTCCCTGAGCCCTTGTGATATTTCACAGAAAAAAACTTTTGTGCAGCATGTCACGTAGCATAAACTTCAAAGAGAAAAGCTCTCTAGAAACGTGCATATTTGGAAGAGTTGTATTCAGACACTTTGGAGGAGGCAGGAAGCATAGGTAAACCTGTTGCAGGGTCATTCTTACAGCGATCCAAAGCTTGTTTGTAGTTGATCTTCTCCTTTGTGATAGGGTCTACAATATCTTTGACATAGGCCGACTCGTTTTGGAGATCCCTTGCGATTGCATTGTCAATCATTCCTGATCCAATGGCATCCATAAGGCTCACTCTACCTCCAGTGGCGGGATCCACGAGTCCCCCGGTAAGGTGCTGGGCCTCCAAGTGTCGAATTGCCGTATCTTTTGGCGTCCAGCCCCTCTGAACGGCATTTCCCACAGACAAACACTCTTTGGTCAGGGGGTCTTGGACCCCAGTGAAAGCTTTCTCTGCATTAAGAAGCCTTTGGACTTGGCTGTCCTCAATGAGACCTCTTTGTAAGGCTTTGTTAACTTTGTATCTCTCACCGTTGCTAATGTCAGTGATGCCGCCTGTTGCTGCTTGAGCCTCCAGGAGCCTCTGGGCACTCATGGGTTCAATCAGTTTGCGCCAGGTGGCATTACGGATTGTACAGCAGGTATTTGTTTGCGTATCCATTATTCCAGCAATCGGTTGTGTTTCGTTAGCGGAGTTAATATCTAAGGGTAGTGATTTGACGGATGAATTTGGCTTTTTGGAGACTGAATTTGATTTGGATTGCTTGTTCTTATCACCTGCAACAAGAAGGGCAAACTCTGAGATAGGAAGCTCCCCTTTTCTGTATTGTTGTAAATCATATTCTGTTAGTCTTCCTTCCTTAATAGCATCTTTGATAGGGTACTGCTTTCCACTCGTACGATCCTGTAGGACAGATGTTTCTCCATCAGGACCAGTGGAAGTTACTTCTTCCCAATCACATTCTAGCTCCTGTAAGTGAATGTACTGCTGGCGATCAATCATGCCCCCAAGGTAGGCATCATAAGGAGAAATTTCTTTGCCAGTGTCTGGATCCAAAACAGTGACTTTTGTAGAGACATTGGTTTCTTTGGTCCTTGTCTCTGTGTCATCCTCTCTCTGTATGTACATCAACAAATCACGGATTATACTGTCTCGTTGATGAATGTTATCTTTCTCTTCCAAGATCTCCCTCTCAAACCGCTGGACGTCTGATTCCATCTTAACGCTTCTCTGCCTACTCTTCTGTGTTTTTTCACTCATCAGTCGGCTCTGTTGCTGGAAAGACATGCTGGTGTCGCGTTTCTTTGCTTCAAGAGTTCTGAATTCCCTGGTGAGGTCATCGTTGTCTCTTAATAGAGCCTCTTTTTTCATACGCATGCTTGTCTCATCTCTTGAAACGTTAGATTGGGAGCTCATCAAAGCATTAATTTTGTCATTGAGACGTCTGATTTCATCTTCCATGTCTTGTCGGGCAAACTTGTTCTGAGACACCTGCTCCCTAAGATGATCCCTTTCAGCTTCAACAGCCTGATCTTTCTCCACACGAACCACCTCTTTGTACACTGTCTTTTCACCTGACTTCTCTTTCTGCAGGATTTCTAGCTTCATTGTGATTTTCCGGATTTCCCTCTGGAGACGCAGGATCTCTCTGCTTTCCTGGTCCATGTCGGACCGTACACCACCCGTCATTCTCTCCAGTTTTGGATCTCTTTCAACCTTCAATACTTCCTCAACTACTATACTTTCTTCAACTGGGGGTGGGGCATTTTCCAGTTGAGTGATGCGTAGTCGGATCTCTTTTAGTTCAGATTCAGCTTGAATCCTTTTTTGGTGCTCATCACTCTCCCTTAAAATGCGCTCTTTGTCTTCCAACCTTGTTCTCAGTTGCTGTAACTCCAGATCCAGCTGACGTCGACTCATTACTTCATCATCCAGGTTTCTACTAAGCCTGTCATGCTCCATTGCAAGCTTTGGGTCCTTCTGGAGGCGCACAACCTCTTGCACCACAACCTTCTCTTCTGGTTTCTGTCTCTCCAACATTAGGTATTTGTTTTGAAGGTCAAAAACCATCTCCTCTGTGTCTCTCCTCAACTGTGCTTCTTCCCTCAGTTTTTTTCTCAAACGCTCCGCTTCCTTCTCCTGCAGTGGATCGGGCTCATATTTGATCACCTCTTTGTTCACCAGCTGGGTCTCTATCTTTGACTTTTCGGCCTTCCATTCATCTCTCTCTCGCCGCAGTTGTCTGACTTGATCTTCAAGGGAGGTACACTGGCTGTCTAGGCGGTTCACCTGATCATTAAGCCTTGCGATCTCTCGCTCGTTTTCAGGGCTTCTTTCTTCCTTCACCACCTCTTGGAGAACTTCTTTGACCTCTACTTTAGGTTTCTCTGAATAAAGTGCATTTAGATCAGTGTTGACTTGTCTGGTCTCTTTTTCTATATCTGCACGTTGTTTATTTGTATCCTGTATTTCTTTGCGAAGGCGCATAATCTCTACCTCTGTGTTTGGGTCGATCCGGTAAAGCTCATTTATGATTTCTTTGATCTCAACTCTTGGCTTCAAGGCTTGAACTTCTCTGTAGCGTCTTTGCAGGTCCATCACTTCCTGAGACAAAGAACTGTTTTCTATTCTTTCTTCCTCTAAGGTTGTTCGCAGCTTGGTTGATTCTGTAATGAGGTCGGGGTCTTGTTCAATCTTTTTCACTTCTTTTGTGATGACTTTAGGCTGAATGTTGGGGATCATTCTTTCAAGAGCATTAATTTGACTTCTTGTCTGAAAGATTTCATCGTTGAGTAGTGTGCACTTCTTGCTCTCATCGGAAATTTCAGTCTCATAAATTCTTAATGATTTCACCATTTGTGGATCTTGTTCTACTTTCACCACCTCCTTCTTAACCACTCTCTCCTTGATGGGCGGCCTCTTCTGCTGGAGAATTGAAACCTCTGTCTTCATTTGAATCTGCTCTCCATCTCTAACTCGGATTTCATCTCTCATTTTAGCTATTTCATCCCTTATCTTGGCAGCCTCGACATCCAATTGTGGATCTTTTTCAAACTCAGTCACCTCTCTAGTCAGGAGCTTCGGGGGGTTATTCTTGATGGTGTCTTCCAGAGATACAATTCTCTCATTTATTATCTCAACCTCTGTTTGGGTGGAGCTACGCTTCATGGCTTCTTTATCCAGTATGTCTCTCAACTCAGCCAGATCAGCTTCCAATTTAGGGTCCCGGTAGTACTGCAGGACTTCTTTCTCCTCAACACGTTCCACTCCTCTGCGGCTCTTAAGTGACATCATTCTGCTTTTGAAGGTTTTTAGCTCTGTCTGAGCATGGGTTGTCCTCTCCTTCTCTTCCTCTAGTTCTTTAACCAGGCTGTCCAATTCAAAGGCACTTTTTTGCTGGTTTTCCTGCTGAACCTGTTGCTGTGCCACCATCTGAACCTTTTCTTCATTCTGCAGCAGAAAAAACACAAAACAATTTTAGGCATTTCTGTACTTTATTGGGTTATTTTCTGTTTAGCTTTGACAATAGGTTAAGCCGGGCATACACTATAATTTTTTATAATTTTTTTCCCGTTTTGGGCCGATTTTCCAGTCATGCAAGAATTTTTTCAATTGGACCGACTTTCAGCCTCATCGTGCATCCAGCGTCGTGTAGTATACAGGGGGTAACGAGGGGCGATCAGCCTCTCACGACCACCTCCCGATAAGGAATCGTAAGGTCAGAAGAAAATCACACATTTTTGAAATTCAGACGGCCGTTGTAAGGTGGTCGTGGACAAATCCTGCTACTGAAGCAGAGCTATGAGCCAGTTTACCAGAACCTAGAGCACTCTGCATGCGCAAACAAGGAAGTTCCTCTTCTTCGTCTTCCAGATTGACGTGTCCGACCAGCGCCATCTGTTAGGTTTATTCAATGATGATTATAAAATTAATATGTGTTTATGAAACATTTGTACAAGGGGATGCTCCACTCCTGTGTCATGATTCAGTCAGGAGACCATCCTGCCTTGTCATTCTGATGGAGCATTCTGTCTTCATGAACTGATCAATTGTTCTGTCAGAACAATACTCTGTTTGTAACCATGCGTCATGTTCTGTTAATAAACGCTCTGCAGAGGAGGTCCAGTGGGAGACAGGGTGTTTGAGTCTGGGGTTCAACTGTCTCTCCTTTCTGCAGAAATTTTATCCATAATTGTGTATTTCAGTTCTTCCTTTTTCAAAAAACCTACATTTTATGAACCCGACACCATCTCTTGGCACTGAGTCTTAAGGGTGGTTTTTAGACGTGCAATGTGAGCAGATAGATCGCATTAGAGCATCGGGTCGCACAGTGTAAGAAGATACATCGGGAGCTGTAAACTTTTAAACCCTGCGATTTCATCGTACAGTGTGAGCTGTAGCTGCGTGCAAAAAATGAAAACATCGCACAGTGTATGCCCGGCTTAACAGTTTCAGGAGTAAAAATTATTTTTAATGGATTTCTTACTTGTAAATGGAAAGTCTGAGCCAGGTCCATCTGTTTTTGCCGTTGAATGTTTTCCGATTTTGCTTCGGCATAGCGCATTGCCAGATTTTTTTCCTGTAAGAAAAAACAGATACCATTAAATACATAGGAATCTTAAAAAACTCCAGTTAATAAATACATCATGGTAAAAACATGTATGATACCTCTTTGTCAATGGAATCACTGAGTGTCAGCATTTGAGGCTTCTTCGGAACAGGTGTACCGGCAGCTTCAAGTGTACCATTGAATTTGTCGACATCAGCTTCGTAGTCCTACAAAGCAAAAGTGACCAGTGTTATAGAATTTGGCATATACAGTAGCTCAGATGTTTTATATGAAATGTATGCGTAATACTCTGTATTTTCTATGTTGTTCTTACATTGAGCAGATTCTGTAGGTCATGAGAAAGGCCAGCCACTCTGTCTATGTCCTCTTCTCTCCGCTTTAGGTCGTCCACCACTCTCTATAGCATGAATCACAAGTCAGAGGTTTGAAAAATTTTTGTCCCTCACAGATTTGTTCTGTTTATCCATATCTTTTTACACTTCCATATTTCAGATTATCAAACGGCATGAAATTATATTAGAATATTTATTAATAGAAAATGCTATCGAAACCATTCTGGATCTTACGACGGAGTATTAGGGCCATGCTAGAGATTTTTTATCTTCTATTTCGAGAATAAAGTCGTAGAATTACGCGAATAATGTCGTAACATTACAAGAATAAAGTCGTAAAATTACAAGAATAAAGTCGTAACATTACCAGAATAAAGTCGTATCATTACCAGAATAAAGTCGTAGAATTAAGAGAACAAAGTCGTAACATTACCAGAATAAAGTCATAACATTACAAGAATAAAGTCGTAAAATTACAAGAATAAAGTTGTAACATTACCGGAATAAAGTCGTAACATTACCAGAATAAAGTCGTAGAATTACGAGAATAAAGTCGTAACATTACCAGAATAAAGTCGTAAAATTACAAGAATAAAGTCGTAACATTACCAGAATAAAGTCGTAAAATTACAAGAATAAAGTCGTAACATTACCAGAATAAAGTTGTAACATTACCAGAATAAAGTCGTAGAATTACGAGAATAAAGTCGTAAGATTACCAGAATAAAGTCGTAACATTACGAGAATAAACTCGTAACATTACAAAAATAAAGTCGTAACATTACCAGAATAAAGTCGTAAAATTACGAGAATAAAGTCGTAACATTACCAGAATAAACTCGTAAAATTACAAGAATAAAGTCGTAACATTACTGGAATAAAGTCGTAGAATTATGAGAATAAAGTCGTAAGATTACCAGAATAAAGTTGTAACATTACGAGAATAAACTCGTAACATTACAAAAATAAAGTCGTAAAATTACGAGAATAAAGTTGTATTTTATGACAACTCCTACAAGAAGCGCTTTCTTCCCTAAAATGAGGAATGTGGAGCATCATGTGACATTATACTTTAGCATCGGTTTGACAAATAAGGAAATCTTTTAGCAGCAGCATCAAACTGGGCAGGTTGTCAAAGTGGACTCTGGCTGCTGATTGGTGGAGCTGATCTGTTGTCATCTGCTGGGCGGAGCTCCAAGCTTTCTTTCTGAAACGGGTTGTTATACGATGACTTCCTTCTAGTAATATTAAAACTTTATTCTCATAATTTTACGACTTTATTCTCTAAATAGAAGAAAAAAAATCTCTAGCCTGGCCCTAATACTCCGTCGTAGGATCTAAACCTTTATGTTTGACAAAGAAAAGGAAAGAGAAGAAATCTTTTCATCATCAGATTGATAAAAGGCTCCGACATGCAAACTGTGAAAGAGCTGTAAAATCTCACGCTATTACTCTTGCATTGTCCAGTTTATATCTCACCTTTTGGGAGTTCTGCTTTGCAGAGACCTCGGACAGATCATCGCTGGGCTTTATTTGATTTTTAGGCAGGTTGTCTAGGAAGGAGTTCATGGACTGGCATGTATTCTGGAAGTCCTGGTGCTTAGCTGAAGCTTCTTGTAACACGTTTTCCCTAAAGGAGTTATCAGAGTTGTAAGCTGTGTTAACTTTGGGGGATTCTTTTAGAAATGTAAGGTTACATGTTTAAACTAAAGTAGTCACAGTTTTACTCACCTTTCCTTCAGCTGGTTGGCAACATTTGCATAGCGACTCTGCAGCTGCTTGACGTCCTTCCTCTGGCATTGGATGTCGGGGCAGTACTCCTGGTAATCCTGCTGCAGGGTGCTGCACAGCTTCTCAGTCGTCTGCAGATCCTGCTCCAGTTTCATCATGTCCTTCTGGGCCGCTGCCACAGACCTCTGCTGACTCTAAATACAACAAAGAAGGCACTCAGGTGTAAATATGGATCTAGTTTAAAACTTCATACCAGTCTACATGTATGTTGTTTGTATACTCTTCCCCACCTGAATGTCTTGGGTTCGGGCCTGAATTGCATTTGGTAGGTCTGGAATTGGACCATCTACACTCAGGTTCCTCTCAAATCCAGAGACAAGACCATCCACCTTCTTGATTTGATTCTCCAGGCTGAGAGATGCATTTGCTCTGAATAAAAAAAAAGGAGATGTAACAGATGTAGGGAGTCTAAGATAGAAAATCAAATTCAGTGATTCATTAGAATTTTGTGAGGCAAAATTTTCTATAAATCAAAACTTAAACAATACAGGTCAGGACATGGCCACAGGAAGTGAGGGGGGCTGGGGGTGTTGCAGCACCCCCTAGTGGCTAAAGGGAGATAAAAATTCTATTAAAAATACTTTCCACAATTTATAAATTTGTGCAAAGTATTTGCCTTTTAATTTTTTTTTTTTTACTGTTAAGTGTATTTGTATTTTAATTGAATAATTTGGAGGCCTATTCAACCCAAGTTCACCCTAGTGATCTTGTGTTCTTTGTGTAATGAATGTGGAGAACTGTTCAATTATGTTTAAATAGTATAATAATGTTTTTATTTTTATTTTTTCTGACACTGTTTTTATGCTTTTGTATGGTGACCTTGAGTTTCCAGAAAGGCGCCTTTTTAAATAAAATGTATTATTATTATTATTATTATTATTGTTATTGTTATTATTATTATTATTATTATATAATTATTTCCTTGTGGTTTGCATTAAAGGATTTTGGAGTTAATAGAGTCACGTGTGACATAGACACAGTGACTCAGATTCATGCCAACTGACCAAATCTACGTTGTTATAGTGTTATTTTGTAGTTTAATTAATGACGCATAAAATCACCTGAGAACTGATGATGTCTGTGTTATACAGTCCCTGGTTGCGTGCACTGGAGTTTACATGAAAATAAAATAGTGAGTCTTAATTTATTTATTTTTATTTATTGTATTTCAAATAGGCTTATAAGCTCATGGGTCATTTGTCCAAAGAAATATGTATATATTTTCACAGCACCCCCTGTTCTAAATTACTTCCTATGGCCCTGGGACAGGATTCTGTTTTAACCTAGCTTTAGTCTTCCCATCTACTTGAAGCTACGTTCCTCTAACCTCAGACATTTTTGCGTTTTTTTATGAGTCATGGTGTCTTTTGTTTCATCAATCGCTAATGTTGTCAAAATAAACTTCTTCCAGCTTTGGTTACTGGCTAAAGTTAAGCTTAATCTGAGCAGCTAGGACCTAGAAAAGGTAATTCATTCTTTATTGGTTCAAGGTTGGACTATGGAAATGCTCTTCATGTTGGACTGGTCGACTGTATCAATTCAGGCTGGCTTTTAATACCTAGCAGTGGTGTGACAATTTCAGTCTTTTGTTCATTTAGAACCTTTTTGATTTTAATCTTTTCTATGTTCATTCTTTCTACTGTATGTTGTGACTCTACCTATTTTGTTAAGCATGTGGAAACCTGCCTGTGGTTGCAGAGTGCTACATGAATAATTTTTGATTAATTTAATCTTATTTTTCTAAGTGACCCAGTTAAATTAAATCAATTTGTTCCCCATTTTCTGAATATGCATCACATCTGTATGTTTTATAAAGTCTTTTGCTCTCAAATGCCTTCATTATCGGCCTCAGCAGATGGCCGCTCACACTGAGACTGGTTCTGCTGGAGGTTTCTTCCTGATAAAAGGGAGTTTTTCCTCTCCACTGTCGCTACAAGCATGCTTAGTGTGAGGGATTGCTGAAGAGTCAATGAGTCGATGCAATCAGCTGGTTTTCCTTAGATAGAAAACTTTGGATCAGTTTCACTGTATGATCTGGTTGAACTGTAAAGTGCCTTGAGATAACATGTGTTGTGAATTTGGCGCTATATAAATAAACTGAATTGAATTGAATCCTCTTGTGAAAGAGATATTTTATTTATTTACTTTGTGTGACTAAAATATCATATTAAGAGTTTTACAAAAAACATACTTTTTGTTGTAGAGGTCTGCCAGAGCAGCAATGTTGTTGTACTTGTTGGGGTCACTGTTTTTAAGTGCAGAGGAGCCGCTGGGGTTTTTGGAAAGCAGGTCTGCCTGTGTCGCCTGCCTCTGCTGTTCCAGAGCCTTCAGCCTCTTAGCAGCTTCCTGTATGAAGCAGTACGAGAATTAATGAGCGACCAGATAGGAGATCAATGTTGAGTCCTTGTAATAAAACTGTAAACTGTACATATGTATTTTTTTATTTGTTAAAAACAAGCAATCATAATAGGTTGATTTATCATTTATGTTCTGCATGCATTTAGCTTAAACCGGAAAAAGTTTTTACCAGGATCTTGTTTCCTCCCTTCTTATAAAACCATCAGTGTTTGTGTCGTCTCACCTCCTGCTCCTTCAGCTTCTTGGCCAGATCTCCAGTCGGATCGCTGCGGTTCACCGGCGCTCGCAGGCTGCTCAGCATGCTCTGCTCCGTATTGGCCAGGTCGGCATCCAGCTGCTCCAGCTGCTGAGCCAGAGCTGCTGCTTTGGGGTCTGCTGGAGCTGAAGAAACTGGAGCTGAGTGAAAAAAACAAAACAACAAAATTATCCTCTGATTGATCTGATTTCATGCATATCTGGAACCTGGAACAGACTTAGACTTAACATCTAAATCTGATGGTGAAAAAGTGAGAGACAAACACCTGACTGTTGAACTCTTTGGACGTCTGATCGGTTATTCTTCAAGGACGCTGCCAGAGCTGCTCTTTTTTTCTTGATTTCTGCCAGCTCTTTCCCCAGACTGATACGAAAGTCACAAACAGATAGGAGTAGGTGGGTATGGCATTTTTTTCTTTTTTGGTTCCTTAGATTTAGTGCAGTTTTCCATTACTTACAGGTCAACTTTATCAATGGCATCTGGGTCAGGAGGTGGGATGTGGAAGCAAGCTCCTGGGAAGGTTTTAGTTGCTCCATTAGGTGACATAACCTCCCAATTCTCATTGTCAGAGATGGATTTCAGGGTAAATTTTTCCCCTCTTGATATAGTGTCCTACACAACAATAGAAAGGAGGAATAGAATCAACTGTTTGAAAGAAATTGAAGTAATATTTGACATCTAAGGTAATCAGAGCTCATGTTCCTACCTTGTCTGTTTCCCAGTCACATAAGGCCTCCACTGTGATTGGTCTGCTGGGGTTAACGCGGCGCAGCCTGAGAGGAGGGATGTTTGTGCTCCTTCTTCTTAGGTCGGCTAACAGCTGCTCGGAGTTTTGGACAGTATTTTCCTCCCCCTGCAGAGAAACAAAGCCACATTTTAAAGACTTTAACTCAGTATCCTGCACTCTAGACACTTGATTACAGAATATTGAAAAATTGTCATATTAAAAAAATATTTTTCAAGGTATGCCACATATTATTAAAGCGCACACTACAAAAAAAATTGTCAAATTTTTCTTATAATAAGTACATTTTTCTTGAATTGAGGAGGTAAGTGAGACACTTTGCTGATAGAACAAGACATTTTACATTTAAAATACAAAAAAACAATTGCCTTGTGTTATTCCAAGTGCATATTATCTAATTATCTTATTTTAAGAGAAAAAATACTCATTCCATTGGAAAATCATCTTATTTATCTACTCAATTTAATGATAAATACACTTAGATTTGCCTGTTTTTCAGTGTAGTCCTGTTTCTCTGACTGTGACTAACTGGATGTGCTCTCTTCATCCGAGCTGCCTCGGAGCTTGTCTGCCTGGCTGTGTTTCCTGGACTTTTACAGCTGCTTTTCTATGTCTGCTTCTGTCTCATTGAACCCCAGTCGGCCTCAGCAGATGGCCGCTCACACTGAGCCTGGTTCTGCTGGAGGTTTCTTCCTGTTAAAAGGGAGTTTTTCCTCTCCACTGTCGCTAGATAGAAATCTTTGAATCAATCTGACTGGATGATCTGGTGAACTGGAAAGTGCCTTGAGATGACATGTGTTGTGAATGGTGTTATAGAAATAAACTGAATTTCTCACATTTCTCTACAATAGTGATGTTTGGCTAACAGGACAGTCCGTTTATATTCAGAATTTAAACTCCTGAAAGCACTTTGAATATAAAATTATTACAAACTGTTCAATGAATGATAAGTGTTACATAATTTATATTTTCCCATTTCCTATTATTTTAAATCTGTTGATGTTTTAATTGCCTTACCTGCAGCTGCATCAGAGTCTCTGCGTTACTTTTCTTAGAGACAGACTTTGGGTCAACGGAGCTGTTGAGTTGGCTCAGTGTCTCTGACAGCTGATCACAGTCCATTTGATACTGGAAAGAGCGAAAAAGTGTCTTTATAAAATTGCTTCAGGAAAGATGCTTTACCACTAAAACGTGCGTCCATGAATACCATGTTCTGCCGTTATATGATCTTCGCCTACCTTTGTGTATTCCTCCATATTGTCCAGATGTGTTTCTTTGCAAATGCAGAGATTCAGGAATTTCTGCCACTCATTTCTTACAGCATCTCTTTGGGCCTTAAAGTGAAGAGTTAATCAAGAGTTAGCAAACATCTAAACAGTACATTTTGCACTGTTAAAGTAACACTTTAAGAGTGCATTTGGTCCCACTCGGCATTAGTGTTAAAGTAGAACTCTACGTACTATATGTCTTACTCCAGTTGTTCTTTTAATAACTCTAAAAGAGCCAATGTACTTTGACGCTACATATTTCACCTTGTGTAACTTCAAAGGTCTGACTAAGGTTAAAAAGTGTTTAAAGTACCTCTATTGTGTTGCTGGCTGGATGTTTCAGTTCCAGGAGCCTCTCACAGTCGTCCTGCAGATCATTCACTTTGCTCTCATGGGCCAAAAGGCTGTTGTTCTTGAAATGCTGATTGAGAAAAAAGGAGTTTTCTCACCACGCTATGCCATATATTGAATGGGTTTAAAACTGCATGCCAATCTAGGCAGCCATTATATAATCTAGATCAGCAGCAGAGAAAATATCATAAACTTCAGCAGCAGACAGTGGGATTTCTGGGATGTCTGCACTAACCACTGCAGAAATAGAAAAACAGATTGTGACATTCGTACAGACCTCATACTGCCTGCGGACGTCAGGCGGATCCACCATGTGGTCGCTCCAGTCCTGCTTCTTGATCTTGTCCTGCTCTTCACTCAGGAATTGCAGCTCTTTGTCGCAGCCTTGCGTGTAATCGTAGAGACTGTTCAGGTGTTGGCGGCGTAATTTGGATTTTTCCTGAAGGAAAGAGTCAGTAAAAAAAAATGCATTTTATGGGGGGGTGGTGGATTTACCATTAGGAAACGCTGAATATTGAATAGGGAATGGCCTTTTTAGATATGATAAATAGATTTTAGCAGTCTGCGAGGTCCCCTGATTAAGACACATCCTCAAAATTAGACATATTTAGAGAACTTTGGCAATTTGGAATCAACATTAGTGCTAAATCCAGATGTGGGGAAGCTGATATACTATCAATGAGGACTTAATGCTAAAAATGTATAAAAATATGGTTCATTAAAAAGTTAGCTTAAGAGCAGCAAAATTCGGTGCTTGGTTATTGTCGGGTTTTTGGTGCCACGGTTTTATTAAGTCATGCTTAAACATTAAGCCTTAAAAAGGAATCAAAACTTGCATTTTAAAACTGAAACAATGCAAAATATTTTCTGCTTTGTATGTAATCTACTCACCAGCATGCTGTTATACTGCTTCTTGAATTCTGAATGTTTTTCCTAAAAGACAAAGCAGTGACATGGAGGGTGAACCGTCTCTCCCAAATGTTCATTTAAGCTGAAGGCTTCATGTAGCGTGTTCTACTGCACACCTTGCTTCCAGCAGACGCCACACAGAGTTGAGAGTTGTAAGCTTCCAGCTCTTTTTCCAGGATGTTTTGTGCAGCAATCTGCTTCTCCAGGTCCGCCGTGGTGGTGCCGTATACATCTTTGCTTAACGCTTTCTAACAACACATGCAGCAAGAGAGCTTTGTTAATATATAACTCTGTTAGAGGTTGGAGAAAAGTTTAACATTAGACACTTTAAGTGGACCCAACATTATTTCATGTCAATCTTTAAGGACACTTTATTTGCTGCTGGTTAAAGTGGTGCGATTGGACCTCAGAATCAGGCTCGGACTGGGAACGATTTTCGGCCCTGGCATTTTTTCATCTACACAGGCACAGTTGCAGGAAGAACACCCACTCACACATACTAGCCTGAATGTTGTAAAAACACCAACATAAAACAATACAATATGGAGGCAGACAGGCAGTTCTTCAAGAATGAATCCATTAAGCTCAGCGGTGTGTCACTGCCAGTCTAGGCGGCATGTGGAAAATGAAATGGAATAACGTAAACAGATGAAAAACCCCATCATTCACCGCAACATATTTTTGCAAAAATATTTAAACATAAATTCGCCAAATATAAAAGGAACATTGTAGTTTGGTTTAAAGAAGGCATTTTGGCTTAATTATAATTTAGTATGTTGCAAGGATTTTACAGTTTTGTTAGGTTTATACTTTATACATCATGTGCATTGTTACTTTATTAGCCAGATTAGAGAGAGTAGATGGCCTTCCTTCACATTGTGGATGTCACTGTGTGTACGGAGGTCATCTAATCAGGACAGCCTTCGTGTCTTTAAAAATACACAGGATATGGGCACATCTTGGAGCCGGACTGATAGAGGAGAGCTATCTGTAATCCTTGGGCATGGATGGTGTGTCAGTTTCTGATACGGACAGCTAAGCATCCACCTGGTGCAACACATAGACTCATGAGCTATAAGAAGGAGAAGATGACCTTGTTCGGGGCTCAATCTTTGCCGGACGCTCGCGGACGTTATTTTTGAGCCCACATCTGTGCAAGCTCCAAGCATTTTCTCTGTCCTGTAACGACCTGATCTGGAATAAACTCTGTTACTTTTTTACTCCTGTTTTTATAGTCCTTTTTTATATGGTTTTTACCCAGTTTGAGTTAAGAGTAGTAAGTAACTTGCTCCCAGGAAAAGAACCGTGAGGAAGCCCCCGAGGCGCAACGGCTTTTTTAGGGGACATAACTTCCTCATTTGACAGTTTGAAGAAATGGAAAATTAGACCATATGCCAACCGTCACAAGGATGAGCATGACAAGGAAGGGATATATTTACTGCATGCTTCATTTAGTTAACATTGGATTACTTCTGGAGCTCCTTGAGTTATTTACTGTCACAGGTAGGAGCTTCGGCCGGAGAGGAAGTGTAGGGGCCGGTATGATTAAAGGAGGGTCGGTCCTAATTTCAGTGTGTGAGGGCAAATGCCCGCTATCACAGATTACCAGTCCGAGCCGGATCAGCACTTACTTGCTTCTGGTTAAAAACAGGTGCCCAATCAATTCTTGGCATCCGTTGCACGTCATCAATTTGCTCATAGAGATTCACATAAACAGATGTGTCGTCTGACCATCGGGTATGAAGAGCAATGATGCTGGAAGAAAAAACAGAAGAACCAAGAAATGTGAATATAGAAGACCAATAGAATAGAATAGAATCAGGTAAAAAAGTCTGTGAAACCCATTTAATCTTGTTGCCATTTAACAGAAACTTATATTTGTCATATTTCTCTCACTCTTTCTCAATATCTGCAGCTTGTGGGTGCTTGAGCTTCTTGAGTTTGTCAATGTCGAGGAAGAGGTCCCTAAGAAGGCCTTCTGCGTCACCCAGTTTAGCATTGATCTGATCCTGATACTGAAATTCGCGATCATGCTTGTCATTTTCTTGGTCCTGAAGTGTAAAAAAAAAAAAAAAAAGAGTCTTTAAGAGATCAAAAATGAGAAGTTCTTTGACTTCTCCTAAAAGACATTTCTCTTTTCTCACCACTTTCAGCCTTTCTTCAGCCCAGAGGACGTCTTTCTCCACCTGGTCAGCATCCGCCTGCATCTTAGCGAGCAGGATGGTCATACTGCTGGCCTGGGCCCTACACAGAGAGACAGCTGCCAGTTAAACTACAAAAATACAACAAATATAATTCTCCATATTTTATGCCCTTTTAGATCATTTTATAGGGTTTATACTTTTACAGCAGTACATTTTGTACTTTGTTAACAAAGTACATTTAAAGGAACAGTATTTAAGTTTCAGCCAACTCAATTAAGTAAATGTGAATAGCTGAGGATAAGAATGTATTTGGCAAAAATATTAAGGTAAAAAATCTGACTTCTAAAGGATTTTGGTAAATATTTAAAAGTAAGGCAGGGTAATTAAAATACTTTGCATGGAAAATCAAATTCTTTAATATTTCTCTATTTTTATTTATTTTAGACTTTAGATCAAGATGAAAATATTTTGATTTTATATAGCCTTAGATTCTAATATGATAAACATTTAGGTCGATAGAACTTCAAACCAGTGTTAAGGATGGAAATATAAAGTTTTGCAATACTGATACACTGGTGGGAGATCGAGCAACTGATATAAAGAAGTCGTTTAAATATCCTAACTTTTAAATAACTCACAAAAATATACAGAAAGGTGCATTGCCAACATGGACATACTAGAAATGCAAAAATAAAAGTAATCTTGATTTGTACTAACAGTTAATTGCCAATTTGGAACTTAGAAAATCGGATCTTTTCACAAATCATTGAACTCTTCATTGATTTGGGTACCAGGGAATCCAAACAACAGTCCTGTTCAGTAAGGATTTTAAAGACTGCTGTAGGTATCAATAGGAAGTCAAAGCAAACAGGAAGGTGAAAGAATCACTTTAAAGGAGGCTTTATTTCCAAACAGAGATGGAGACGTGCAAACAGCTTGTTCAGGGTGAGAGAGAGCAACACTTACAGCAGAAAACAGGATGGCTCAGTAAAACAGGGTAAAAACTTTGCTCTGGTTGTTTTTTAGCGTTCAACCTGTTTCTGTTCTAGACTTATCTTGTTAAGGTACAGATCTACATTTAGAGAAAATTTAAACACAGCCTGTTGTAAAATCTGTAATCACTTCTTTTTTTTACCTTAACAACCTTAGTTCTGCTGGAAGTTTCTTCCTGTTCAAAGGGAGTTTTTCCTCTCCACTGTCGCTACAAGCATGCTTAGTGTGAGGGATTCCCTACGATTCAATAAGTCGATGCAATCAACTGGTTTTCCTTAGATAGAAAACTTTGAATCAATTTAACTGAATAATCTAGTGAACTGTAATGTGCCTTGAGATGACATGTGTTGTTAATTGGCGCTATAGAAATAAAGGGAATTGAACTGAATTAGTTAAACCATTTCTTATAGTGACACATATGGTACCACTGACCATGGCAGGATGCCCACAATAAGTCCCATATTATCCTCACAAAGCAGTTTTTTGAAGAGAAATCAGAATTGGACAATATGTTTGTTGGCAAGTCGGAGTAAATTAAAGTTCACGACTGGGAGGTGATTCCTCTGATAAAGATCCACAAATTTTGAAGAACATCTTTTTACATTTGGGGACAAGAGCTATGAGAGGGCTTGCAGCTAAAAATGCTACTAAAGAAGAAAAGTGAAAGGGGAAGGATGAGTTTAGATATATTTTTTAGATGAGTCATTGTCCGATATACAGGTGCTGGTCATAAAATTAGAATATCATGAAAAAGTAGATTGATTTCAGTAATTCCATTTAAAAAGTGAAACTTGTATATTATATTCATACATTACATACAAACTCATATATTTCAGATGTTTATTTTGTTTAATTTTGATGATTACAAATGACAACAAATGAAAATCTCAAATTCATCATATCAGAAAATTAGAATATTACTGAAGACCAATAAAAACAAAGGATTTATAGAAATGTTGGCCAACTGAAAAGTATGAACATGAAAAGTATGAGCATGTACAGCACTCAGTATTTAGTTGGGCCTCCTTTGGCCTGTATTACTGCAGCAATGCGGCGTGGCATGGAGTCGATCAGTCTGTGGCACTGCTCAGGTGTTATGATAGCCCAGGTTGCTCTAATAGTGGCTTTTAGCTCTTCTGAATTGTTGGGTCTGGTGTATTGCATCTTCTTCTTCACAATACCCCATAGATTTTCTATGGGGTTAAGGTCAGGAGAGTTTGCTGGCCAATTAAGAACAGGGATACCATGGTCCTTCAACCAGGTACTGGTAGCTTTGGCACTGTGTGCAGGTGCCAAGTCCTGTTGGAAAATGAAATCTGCATCTCCAAAAAGTTGGTCAGCTGCAGGAAGCATGAAGTGCTCTAAAACTTCCTGGTATGTGGCTGCGTTGACCCTGGACCTCAGAAAACACAATGGACCAACACCAGCAGATGACATGGCACCCCAAACCATCACTGACTGTGGAAACTTTACACTGGACTTCAAGCAACGTGGATGAAGTGCCTCTCTTCTTTTCCTCCAGACTCTGGGACCTTGATTTCCAAAGGAAATGCAAAATTTACTTTCATCAGAGAACATGACTTTGGACCACTCACCAGCAGTCCAGTCCTGTTTCTCTTTAGCCCAGGCAAGACGCTTCTGACGCTGTCTGTGGTTCAAGAGTGGCTTGACACAAGGAATGCGACAGCAGAAACCCATGTCTTTCATACGTCTGTGTGTGGTGGTTCTTGAAGCACTCACTCCAGCTGCAGTCCACTCTTTGTGAATCTCCCCCACATTTTTGAATGGGTTTTGTTTCACAATCCTCTCCAGGGTGCGGTTATCTCTCTTGCTTGTACACTTTTTTCGACCACATCTTTTCCTTCCCTTCGCCTCTCTATTAATGTGCTTGGACACTGAGCTCTGTGAACAGCCAGCCTCTTTAGCGATGACCTTTTGTGTCTTGCCCTCCTTGTGCAAGGTGTCGATGGTCGTCTTTTGGACAACTGTCAAGTCAGCAGTCTTCCCCATGATTGTGTAGCCTATAGAACTAGACTGAAAGACCATTTAAAGGCTTTTGCAGGTGGTTTGAGTTAATTAGCTGATTAGAGTGTGGCACCAGGGGCCATCAATTTTGAACCTTTTCACAATATTCTAATTTTCTGATATGATGAATTTGAGATTTTCATTTGTTGTCATTTGTAATCATCAAAATTAAACAAAATAAACATCTGAAATATATGAGTTTGTATGTAATGTATGAATATAATATACAAGTTTCACTTTTTAAATGGAATTACTGAAATCAATCTACTTTTTCATGATATTCTAATTTTATGACCAGCACCTGTATTTTATTCACCTTAAACCTGTAAGAGTTAAGATCTGACCCTAAGTTTGCATGTTGTTGTAATTCCCTTTGTGAAATATTAAAATAAAAATAAAAAGATGCCGTTAAAAAAATCTGATCTACTGAAAACACCCCCCAGCATTGCCATGTTAGCAGAAACACAGCCATAAAAAAGACTGGTTGTTTTTACAGTTCTTCAAGCTGTACGCTGAGGCGCTGCTGCCCTTCTGTTCTTTCCTCCTTAGTCAAAAGGAGCCGGTTTGATCTGCTCACTCAGCTGGAAAAACAGGTAAACGCTCCACACACAAGCATCTTCATGGCAGCACCTACATTTTTCCCAACCTGAGCAACGGCTGATAGTTAAAGAGCTAAATCCTGGGCTAAATATCTAAATAAGTCATTTTTTCTTACAATATGTGCATTTTGACCTGAACTGAGGAGGTAAGTGAGACACTTTTTGTTATTTCAAGTGCATATTTTCAAATTATCTTATTTTAAGAGTAAAAATACTCATTCCATTGGAAAATCATCTTATTTACCTACTCAAATTAATGGTAAATACACTTAATTTAAGCCTTTTTTCTCATTTCTAGATCACTTTTGCAGTGTTGGAGGGTTCGGGGGAAATGCTGGATCAAGAATTAAGGACAAAACATGACAATCAGATATTTGATTGGGACTTTAATACTTTCACTGCTGTGCATCTCTGCTTGCTTTGCATTTGATTTCTTATCCTTAAAGGCACACTATGCAACATTTTTCAGTTAATTAATGTGTTCCATAACGTTATGGATGATTAAATGAGTCATTTCAGGTTGAACAAAGGTATTCTCGGCCGCCCTGGTGGTCTGTGGGGGAAATACCGCACTTGCAATTGCAGGAGCACCGACCCGCACCCACAGGCTCAGAAGTCTCGTGAGAGTCAGTCTTGCTTTACGGCGAGAACTGCTACACGCCCCCAGTTAAAAGCATTCTCGTTGCTAGCACAGTGGCGATCTATGTGCAGTTATGCTACGTTCACGCAGCAAAAGCAGCAAAATCGCGTCTGCTGCTTCCTTTTTGCTGCTTGTACCAGTTAGTTCTGACTCGTGGCTGAAGCAGCTTTGCTGCTCTGGCTGCGCCGTGCAAAAGTGTGTCTGAGGCGCGTTGGGCGGAGCTTCACTATCCTTTCTCTGCCTTGCAGCTATATTTGCTGTGATCAGTGGGAATAAAGTAGTTTTAATATGTGTTTAAGTGAGAAAATACACCTGAAAACGTAATCAGTGCAGTCAGTTGATCCAGATTATTATCTGCCTTCAATATTTTTTCTGTCGGAGCCGCTCAGACCCCCACATACCAGGTTATGCGCCGACAATATGGATCCCTTTATCAGCAGCGGTTCACCGCGGCAGCTGGTAGGTGTTTTTCATCTAAATAATCCAAACTGCATATTCTGCCGGCAGATTTCTGCATTTTAAGTTAATTTAGGCATCAATAAACTGTTTAAGAGGAGTGATCATCAGCGCTGTGTCTCTCTCCCTGCGTGAAACGCACCCGACGCGCTGCTTCAGCTGCTCAGACGTGCTGCGCCTGCTGCTCAAAACGCGCCGTGGGACCTTTTGCTGCGCCTTGAGGCGCGTCAACCATTGACTTTGCATGTAAACTCGCTTCTTCTGTCGCGCCAGCTACGTCCAGTGTGAACGCAACATTATTCGCTGCTAAGCTCAAAACAACCGCGCCTGGCTTGACGGAGAAACCAGGAGAACAGCTGAGCATATTTACGACAGTGCACTTTTACTTTCGCCCTCTGGGGGGAGCCTCGCTGGAAAATCAACACCGGTTGCATAGTGTACCTTTAATATATATAATTTTTAGAACAGACAAAATTTAGATACAAAGCCTGAATCTAAGTCTAAGTCTGGAAATGACGGATGCAGAAGTAAAAATCCCACATTAATGGAAATGTATAATAGAGCATCTGTAAGGTGGAGTAGATGTTTGACCTGTTTACCTGGGCGCTATGTGGACATGTGAGGTCCTTAGCAACAGCTCACACCCTCAGACATGTTTGGTTTCCAAGGCTTCTTCCTGTCTTTGCATCATTTTCTCATGTGTGTTACTCTCAAACATGGGTGGACTTTTAATGAAATGACTTTTTCGGTTTAATTGGCATGTTTTCTAAGGCTTTTGTTTGGGCCACTCTATAAGCCTGGAACTCAAACGTTACTCCAAATATTTTGAATTGAGAAAGTAACCACAGAATTTAAGCGTGTTATTTTGATCTTGTGTTCTTTGTGTAATGTAGAACTGTTCAATAACGTTTAAACAGTATAATCTAATTATTTCCTTGTGGTTTGCATAAAGGATTTTGGAGATGTTAGCCCTATTTGGAGCTAATAGAGCTAGCATCTTCAAACCTGAAAAACAAAGTCCTATGACCTGGATGACTGAGAATCTTCAGCAGTAAATTTAATGTTCTTTAGGAATCCTTTGCAGGGTCTCCAGTACCTTCAGTGCAAAGATTTAAACTTTTGTCAAATTGCTGAGATGTGTGGTTAAATTGCTCACACACCGTTTTCAATGTTTATTTCACATAGTTTTGTTTTGCCTTTGGTTAATTTCTCTATCTTTTCTCACGTTTTGTCAATTTAACCACATTTTTCTGCTTTGTAAAAACGATGTACAAGTGGATCGGGATTCTTGACAGTTTACATGTATTGGAATCAAATAAATAATAATCATAAAATAAAAGAATTTTGCTTTATTGTTCTCACAATGGAGAAATGAACTCTCTGCATTTAACCCATTTCCTTTTGGGAGCAGTGGGCTGCCATTGTGCAGCGCCTGGGGAGCAATCGGGGGTAAGAGCCAGAGTGGTAGTCTGTGGGAGTGGGTTTAGAACTCACAACCTCAGGATTCCAAGCTCTGTGCCCTAACCACAAGGCTGCCACTTCCCTTATAAAGATTTATACCTCCCTGAGGCAAAAATGTGTGTAATAGTTTATTTTATGGATAGCACCTTGATATATTAAATTGAATAGTGTTATACTTTTACACTATTTCTTAAATATTTAAAGTAAACAGCTCATCTTGAAATTACATATTAAAACTGTATAAATGCCCCAAATTAGTCAGATAAATAGAGCAAAATTAATCATAAAATGGACCATGTCATTTATTTTACTTTAAAGCATTAATCATATTAATGCATTTTAAGTCCCAGAAATATAATTTTTGGGTCACTGCTGTTTTTTCCAACAGCATAATATCTTCCATTGTGTGACGCAGCTTGTAGATAGAAATATGAGTTACTATGACTTTAAAAATATAACATTCTGTTCTATCATTCATGAATGAATGAGGTTGAGTGGTTAAAGTAACGCAGGACTGGATGAGCCACATTACTGAGAAGGGTTGGTCTGCATTTCTTTCACTGGAGTAGTTGTGAGATCAGAAAAGCTGGTTGGACAAACACTCCCTGACTCTCTGGGTTTGGCTCTAATTTTCTCCGCCTAGTGCAAAACTGACATTCTTTAATAAAATTTGGAGTAAAAATTCCCTTCAGAATTTTAAAATTTGGAGATTCAATACATGCAATCTCAAAAATGCATGATGTTTTTTACTGGACAGATTTGATAAATATTTGTTTTTGCTAAATAAAGTTTGCAGTAGTGAATGTGTTGGAATAAAGGCCACAGGCAGATATGTTACAGCCCACAGAAAGATCTAAACCAGAACATTTTTAGTAGTTCTATACGTGTGAAAGCAAATTTACTGATTATATTTACCATTATAACGTTAATCATTGAGGTATAAACAAACAAAAAATACCATTAAGACAAAAGTATTGCTTTTACTGCTTCTTAATTACTTTGACAAAATGCTCAACAGTTTTGGTTTGACATCTCAGCTGTGAAGCCATCAAAGCAGCAATAATAATGACTTTATTATCACTAAATCACTAAAAAACCTTCAGCTTAGTGGTTGCAGATTGATCATTAATAAAACATCTTTTTTAACCCAAGAAATTAATCGATTTTAAAACTCATTATGTAAGAAATTATGAGAGACGGTTGGAGAACCAACACCCATTAAGGAGAAAGGAAACCAGCTGATGAGAACAGGCAGCCCAGCCCTTTCACATCCCAGCAGGTAAAAACCTTTGGTATATAGAGTGTTAAAGAAGTAAAGTGTTTTTGCAGCATCTTTTCAATATTCCTCATAAACATTGTCCACTAAAAGCATCGATGCTCAGCCTTCCCTATCCCAGACGGTCGGTCATCCCAGAAAACCCAGAGCAGCAGACATTCATTAAGTGTCCTTAACCCTTTATAGGGTAACTTCATGTTTTTGATCACCTGCATCCCCCTTACAAATGGAGTCCCCTCCGTCCCTCAGTGAGGTCTAGAAGCACAAGATCTATATCAGCCATTCAGATGCTACATGGCTGTGCATCTTATTTTGGCATTTGACCAATTAGATGAGCCCTTGAATGATAGATTACCTACTTAAGTTGGAAAATAAAGTTAACAAGTCAAGAAAAAAAAGGTAAAAAGCTATTATAAAACATTAAATGTAAAGTTTAAAAGTTAACAATTATATTTAGGTTTATAAACTAAAAAAATGTAAGAGCCAATATCAGCATTAATGCCTCTAAGGTTATTTTGTACCAAAAACAAAATGTGTTTCTTTCTCTCTCAGAGTGTCTTTCTTTAATTTCTTATAGAAGCACTTTTGTTATTTTTCTTAATATATTCGTGCAAGTTGGTGTTTTTTGTTATTACATTAAAACAGATTTTTGTCATCAAAATATACATATTTTATTGAATGTTACAAAGGTAATAAGGTCCTGGATTCCAATAACACTTGTGGCTTGAAATATTTCAGTATTTCTCTGAACGCCCTGCAACGAGTTAATGTGTCTCTGATCCAGAGTTAAAAGGATGCAAATATCACATTGAGGATAAACGGGACGAAAACATTCTACCCAACATTTCTTCATTTGTTCATTAATATCCAAAGAGAAAAAAACAATAACTCACTTGCTCATCCTGCTGGACCCCTTGGTGTCCTTTGACTTTAATAATTTAGACATCTTGGTGGTGGAAAGTCCACAGACACTTCACCCACTCTGTCGTACTCCTTCTTGGCTTCTGTCCTCCTCACACTGCGCCTCTACTCTGTCTGTGCTCCGTCCTCAAACAGAGAAGAAACCCTCTGATACAGCAGGCTCCTCCCACCATGGCGACAGGTGTGCCAACGCCCAGGTTTTAGCTCCATGCAGGAAGACCAGACTGACCTGTTCTTCACCCATCCTGTCTCCTTCTTCAGCTTCTCCTTTTCACTAGGGATTCATGATTCATTCAAATCTTAGATAGAGAGCCAGTAGTTATGCACTTAGGGAGACTGGATGTCTGTAATGGTCAAGTAAATAAAACAGTTCTACTTGCAGTCCTCCGACTCTGCAGAATCTGTCAGTTCAATCTCTAACGTTCTGCTCTCTCTGCTTTTTCTCATAGTAGCTTCATCTGGTCTGTTCCTGTTTGGCTGTGACTCCATTCTGGAGAGAAATATCAGCTGTGCTGCTGCCATCAACACCTTTGTTTCTAGATGTTGGCCTGTTTTCCAGTGTAGTCCTGTTTCTCTGACTGTGACTAACTGGATGTGCTCTCTTCATCCTCTGACATGGGAGCTGGCTTGGAGCTCATCTGCCTGGCTGCGTGTTTCCTGGACGGGGTCACATTTTACAGTTGCTTTTTGTATCTATGCTTCTTTTTCTATGTCTGCCTCTGTCTCCTTTAACCCCAGTCGGCCTCAGCAGATGGCCGCTCACACTGAGCCTGGTTCTGCTGGAGGTTTCTTCCTGTTCAAAGGGAGTTTTTCCTCTCCACTGTCGCTACAAGCATGCTTAGTGTGAGGGATTGCTGAAGAGTCAATGAGTCGATCCAATCAGCTGGTTTTCCTTAGATAGAAAACTTTGAATCAATCTGACTGGATGATCTGGTGAACTGGAAAGTGCCTTGAGATGATGTGTTGTCAATTGGCGCTTTAGAAATAAACTGAATCGACTTGAATGAACATAAAAGATGAAGGTCAATGTAACAATGAGCCATTGTTATTTGTATATTGGCCAAAGTAGCAGCTAAACACAGGATCTGGTTTTCTACATTGGTTTATTTTTGTTGTTTTGGGTGAAGTGGATTTGTTTGGGTTGTGGTTCTTTGGTTGGCCACATCTTGTTTTCATTTTTGTAAAAAGGTAAATTGATTTCACTTTACAATATTTTGTTTTGTTTAACTATTCATAAAAGGGAAATTCATGGATTAAGGAGTTAAAATATAGTGAAATACTCACCTCTGCTGTTTCACTCTCCCAAGCAGGTGTGCACAGGACTGCACCATTAGACAATTGAAGAGTTTGGGTCCCAACTCCAAGACTGCTTGGCCTCCTGACAAGCATGCGACAGTCAAATTCAGTGATTCTCAGTTTAGATTCATGAATGGGCGACTTGCAGTACACGAGTCTTGGATTAATATTCCCAACCCTTAAAGCTTTTTATAATTTGTCACATTATAAACACAGACCTTTATTATATATTTGCAAAACAAAGTAGGGTATGATTGTGAAATAAAAGTAAGACATATTATTGCGGTAAAAATCACCAAAGTGGTAGTTAAAGTCATTTTGTTTGATTAAATCTCAGTAAAGCCTCGAGTTTTTTTTAGAAAAGGCCATGAAACACAGCAGACAGGTCAGGGAGAAGATGAAAACATTGTACGGTGTTCTGTCAGATGAGCATACCGCATCAGACCAGCATACGCAAAGTCAATACGCATGGCCAAGACGTCAGATTTGCATTTATCTCTTTAGGTTTGTACGAAATATAGACTTTAAACTACCTTAACGGGTGTGTATCCCTTTAGCCATGTACAAAAAAACAACTTAAGGTCAGATCACCATATACTTCAAAAAACACAGAAAAGTAAGTAATTAAATAGTTTTTTTGAGTAACACTAAATTCATTAAATCACCGCAAACATATTAGTTTTAGGTGTAAATGATGCTCCATTAATCATTCCTTGCTGACCAGACTTTTCCCTAAATAGAGATTAAGTTTGTAAATCTAGTTGAAAATGTCTTGGATTACTTTGTTGTTTACTTTGCTCTCCGTTCAGTTTGCTTTGAGAGGAGGAATGAATTTTTACCAGAAAGCAGCTGGTTGATGGAAACCCCAACAGGTATACTGCTTTAATTTTAGTGAAAGTTGGTTAGTCAAAGCGTTGACTCAAGGATGGGGGAGAGTGGGACCTGAATATAAATGCACGCCGCACTTTGAAGATTTTTAGTTGTAAACATTTTGTAACCCATACATCATTTTGTTTTCTTTATAATACATTACTTTTGTGTTGGTTAAGGCCATAAAAGCGTAATGAAATACGCTAAACCTAAATAATAGGTTATAATTTGACCTGGTGAAATTATGTTAAAATGTCTAGGTGCATAGAAACGTTTACGAGAGATTATTTATATTATAAAGCTATCTTCAATGCCCTAATTCCTTTTCTCATAAATTATTTCCCCCTGTTGGTATCTTGCAGAGATGGGAAGTAACGAAGTACAAATACTTCGTTCCTGTACTCAAGTAGATTTTTCTGATATTTTTACTTTACTTTACTACTTATTTTTATGGCGACTTTTTACTTCTACTCCTTACATTTTTAAACAAATATCTGTACTTTCTACTCCTTACATTTTAAAAAATTGGCTCGTTACTTTAGTTTTGAATCATTTCAATGGAGTTACCGTTATTATTTTTCACGTCATCAATACCAAATTCAATCTAATTGGATGGGAATCTACGTTGCATTTGACGCACCACTACAAGATGAATCGACAGATTCGGCGGTATTCATTGGCGGCAAATCATTGCAGCTTGGTGGCGGTGGCGTTAGCATAGTAGCATGGACGACGAGATGATTGAAAATGAACACAACGGAGATCTAGTCCTATTGGCAGACATCCATTTAAAATGTAGGCAACGGCATGAAAAAAGTGGTTTCTACTTTTACTTTTATACTTTAAGTAAATTTACAAGCCTGTACTTTGTTACTTTTACTTGAGTAAAGAAGTTTAATCAGTACTTCCACTTTTACCAGAGTATTTTTTAACACAAGTATCTGTACTTTTACTCAAGTACGGAAAGTGAGTACTTTTGCCATCTCTGGTATCTTGTTGCACACTGACCAGGTTCCCTGAATGCTTCAAAGCTCTGACACCCACTGTGTCCAATCAACAGTGGAACATCCAGAGGGTAAAAGTGAGCTGATCCGTTCACAAAGCTTCCCCTCACAGCGTATGGCTCCCAGTGTTGCACCTACAGCACAGACGGGTAAGGCATCCAGGGCGTCTCTCTGCAGCTTTTTTCATTCACCGGGAGGAATGCAGCTGGATCGCTTTCTACACAGCAGAGTGGAGCGAGCACATATTTCTGATTGGTCAGGTCATAAACCTGCTCTCTGGGTGTGTTTACCTGTCTGGAAAAAACAGATACTTTTTATGTTGCCTAGAAACTTATTTTAATACTATGTTTACTACCAAATACAGTGTTTACAGTTTATAAAGGAAGAGGTGAGCTGAGGTGTCATGGAAACCAGAACAAACTGAAAAACGTTGAGCACCAATATTATGTTTTCTACATTAGGGGCTGAAATCCTGAGTGTTTTGTCTTATTTAAACATTTACAGATTCATGTCATTGGGACATCTTAGTGATGGACGATGCAGACAGGACTGGTCGCCAGTCTGTGCTGCCCTGCTTCAGACTGGTGACCAGTCTGGGGTGGACCCCACCTTTCACCCACAGACAGCCATAGATAAGCCCTGCAGGAATAAACAGGATAACATGGATGGATGGATGAATGGATATATTAACAATGGATGGATGGATGGATGGATGGATGGATGGATGGATGGATGGATGGATGGATGGATGGATGGATGGATGGATGAACGGACAGACGGACGGATGGATGGATGGATGGATGGACAGACGGATGGATGGATGAACGGACAGACGGATGGATGGATGGATGGATGGATGGATGGATGGATGGATGGATGAACGGACAGACGGACGGATGGATGGATGGATGGATGGACAGACGGATGGATGGATGAACGGACAGACGGACGGATGGATGGATGGACAGACGGATGGATGGATGAACGGACAGACGGACGGATGGATGGATGAACGGACAGACGGACGGATGGATGGATGAATGGATGGACAGACGGACGGATGGATGGATGAACGGACAGACGGACGGATGGATGGATGGATGGACAGATGGATGGATGAACGGACAGACGGACGGATGGATGGATGGACAGACGGACGGATGGATTAACGGACAGACGGACGGATGGATGGATGGACAGACGGACGGATGGATGGATGAACGGACAGACGGACGGATGGATGGATGGACAGACGGACGGATGGATTAACGGACAGACGGACGGATGGATGGATGGATGGACAGATGATGGATGGATGGATGGATGGATGGATGGTCAGACGGATGGATGGATGAACGGACAGACGGACGGATGGATGGATGAACGGACAGACGGACGGATGGATGGATGGACAGACGGACGGATGGATTAACGGACAGACGGACGGATGGATGGATGGATGGACAGACGGATGGATGGATGAACGGACAGACGGACGGATGGATGGATGAACGGACAGACGGACGGATGGATGGATGGACAGACGGACGGATGGATTAACGGACAGACGGATGGATGGATGGATGGATGGACAGACGGATGGATGGATGAACGGACAGACGGACGGATGGATGGATGAACGGACAGACGGACGGATGGATGGATGGACAGACGGACGGATGGATTAACGGACAGACGGACGGATGGATGGATGGATGGACAGATGATGGATGGATGGATGGATGGATGGTCAAAGGGAGAATTGTCATTTCCTATGATCAGTCATTTCCTGTCTTTCCTATTTGCCCATTTAAATATTTATTCTGTTGTTTGTCAAACTGAAATGTTTCAGATGAGCTGGAAAAAACTCTAAGATTTCACACATTGTTAGAAAATTTATCCAAATCAACTCAGTTCTACGAGGAGAATATTTGTCACCAATTACCGCTATGAATGTCTA